GGTCAGTTTTGTCCCAGGATGCGACCCACACCAGTCCACTAACACCCAGGATGCGACCCACACCAGTCCACTAACACCCAGGATGCGACCCACACCAGTCCACTAACACCCAGGATGCGACCCACACCAGTCCACTAACACCCAGGTACCCATTTTACTGATGGAGGAACAGTGACAGCAGGTGTCTTATGGAAACACATCCTAATGTTTACCAGCTGTACCGAGGGATCGATCCCAGGGCTTCAGTGTGTGAGGTGAGTGCGCTAGCGATCGAACTACGAGCCACTCACAGCTCTGTGATTCTTCGTCTTTTCCTATACAGCCAGCGCCTCTCCTTTTCTAGTTTACATCTCTTATTTTCTCAGTGCTACAACCCTTCACCATATTTCTAGCGCCGTAGAATTAACCCTTCCAAGACGTAGTTTAGATCCCTGTTATTCAATATATCTCCCCAGCACATAGTGGACAGGATTTATTTCTCCCCAACTGATGCTGGTGTTGTTGTAAGATAAGATAAGATTTCGTTCGGATTTTTAACCCCGGAGGGTTAGCCACCCAGGATAACCCAAGAAAGTCAGTGCGTCATCGAGGACTGTCTAACTTATTTCCATTGTGGTCCTTAATCTTATCCCCCAGGATGCCACCCACACCAGTCGACTAACACCCAGGTACCTATTTGCTGCTAGGTGAACAGGACAACAGGTGTAAGGAAACGTGTCGAAATGTTTCCACCCGCCGGGAATCGAACCCGGACCCTCCGTGTGTGAAGCGGGAGCTTTAGCCACCAGGTGGTGGTGTTTAATTGCTCAGGATCACGTACATGCATTCTGAACTTCCATTAGATGCAAAAACAGACACAGATGCTGTATAATGCGATGGTTTGTTGACAACGTTTCGCCCACACAGTGGTCTTGATCAACACACAAACAGATTCACTAGAGTTTGATCAGAATTCAGTGTTCAGCACGCTGGTTTTGTGTACTGGTTCTTGTACTCTTTGTATCACAGGAACCAGTGAGGTTCCAGGACCGAAATGTCTCGTAACGAAACATCTGAAGTGTGTACACAGGTGTTGTGTTCCTTTATCAGATAGTGTGAGATAGAGGGGGCTGGGCTTGTGGTATACAGGGATCCCTATCTCGGATCACTGAGGTAGAAGAGGCTCAGCTTGAAGGATATACGGATTCTATCTGACCGAAAAGCATCTAATTATTATTATTATTATTATTATGACTTATTATTATTATTACTATTATTATTATTAATTATTATTATTATTGTTATTATTATTATTATTATTATTATTATTATTATTATTATTATTATTATTATTATTATTATTATTGGGGAAGGGATAAAGCAGTATGGGTCATATATCACCTAGGTAATGGGAGGTAATAAGGTTCGATCCGAGGAAGGTGAAGGCAGCTCCAAGTGCCTGGATCACGAGCCTTCACCAACACAGCTTCAGTTAAATGCCAACTCTGGCATTTAACTCCACTTAATGCTTACATTAAACCCTAAACCAACGCTATATAAACCCACTGCCTCACCAGAGACGTGGTTTATCACTCTGATACTAGAAATAGGGTGCTAACTTACCTATTTACTAGAAGGTAAGGGTGTAATAGGGTGTAGTAAGGCAAGAGGGGTGGAGAGAGGCAGTGACACACCCTCACCTTACCACTGTCACAGACACACTGGTTGAATTGATCAGTTGATGTTCACTTTATAGTGCACATGTTGCTGTTACTTCTCTTATTTTGAGGTATTTCTACTGGATTTATAGTGAGGTTGTTGTTGTAGGGGGTTGGTTGTGGGTGGGGGTGGTTAGAGGGGTGGTGAGGGGTGTGGGAGGGGTTAGTTGAGGGGGGATATTAGTGTAGTTTCCCCTTGATTCTACACCCCACCCTTTACTCTCCCCTCTCTCTCTCTCTCTCTCTCTCTCTCTCTCTCTCTCTCTCTCTCTCTCTCTCTCTCTCTCTCTCTCTCTCTCTCTCTCTCTCTCTCTCTCTCACTTCCCCTCTCCTCCTCCTCCCTGAGGTATACTAACATCAAGTATACCTCTGACATTATTTTTTCATTGGGGAAAAGGGATGAACAGTATACCTTAGTTCTGTTGGTAGCGCACTCGCTTCACAGATTGGGGTCCGGGGTTCGATCCCAGGTACAGGTGGAAATACTCGGGAGTGTTTCCTTCAGATACCTGCTGTTCATGTTCACCTAGCAGTAAGTAGGTACCTGAGTGTTAGTCACCTTACACCTGCTGTCACTGTTCAGCTAGCAGTAAGTAGGTACCTGAGTGTTAGTCACCTTACACCTGCTGTCACTGTTCAGCTAGCAGTAAGTAGGTACCTGAGTGTTGGTCACCTTACACCTGCTGTCACTGTTCACCTAGCAGTAAGTAGGTACCTGAGTGTTGGTCACCTTACACCTGCTGTCACTGTTCACCTAGCAGTAAGTAGGTACCTGAGTGTTGGTCACCTTACACCTGCTGTCACTGTTCACCTAGCAGTAAGTAGGTACCTGAGTGTTGGTCACCTTACACCTGCTGTCACTGTTCACCTAGCAGTAAGTAGGTACCTGGGTGTTAGGTGACTGGTATGGGTGGCATCCTGGGGACAAAATTAACCTAAGTTGCAGGAAATGCTCTACATAACCAGGAACTTTCTATATAGTATGTCATTGGTGTCAGCTATGGTATGTATAAGTTGAACCATCTACTGCTGGATATAAACATTATTATTATTATTATTATTATTATTATTATTATTATTATTATTATTATTATTATTATTATTATTATTATCATCATCATTATTATATGTTATCACTGGTCATATACACTGAGAGGTGTATATCTCAGTGTATATACACTGAGAGGTGTATATCTCAGTGTATATACACTGAGAGGTGTATATCTCAGTGTATATACACTGAGAGGTGTATATCTCAGTGTATATACACTGAGAGGTGTATATCTCAGTGTATATACATTGTTGCCATCGCTGAGAATGCTGAATTACGCTACATTTACTTCCTCTTGCCTCTGCTGCTGGTGCTCTTGATCCCAGGAATCCTATTAAAGTATATAACCTCCCGTGACACAGGTGTGGTGCGGCCCCCTACCGGTTTAACTCTCTAAGTAAAAGAAATAAATTTATTGGCGCTGCATTCTCGCTAACGCTGAAAAGTAGCGGTTATTTCCCCGACAAGATTTTTAAGAGTTTATGGTGCTCTTGATCCAAGGAACTGGATCCAACCTTGTCATTCTCTATTTACCAGGGATGACATGGCCCCTACAGGTTTAGCGCTTCGATTAACTCATATTTAAATTTGCGGTAACATTGAAAAAAGTAGCGGGATTTTCCTTAATAAATTTAAGTGGTCGACCTTAATTAAGGGGCGACCCTTGATGCTGGGGCTCCTGATCCAAGGAACTGGAGCTATCATTCCTTTTCCTCGGAACAAATATGATTACATCTCCCTTTTTACCAGCCGATGTGTCACTAGCGAAGAGGCGGGGCCAAGAGCTGTGACTCGACCCCTGCAACCACAAATAGGTGAGTACACATAATAATAATTATTTTATTATTATTATTTTATTATTATTATTATTATTATTATTATAGAAATTATTAATTTTTAAATAATGCAATTTTCTTTATTGTGAGAGTTTAAATGGATTTTTTGTCAAAATATTTTGCCTATTTTTATTTAATAATTTAAATATGACTTATTTCACAGTTAGAAATGGTAAAAAAAAAGAAATTAGAAATTTGTTAGTGAGACTATGAATGTTCCTTTCCAAAAAAATATGTCTGTTAATATTAAGATATATTCTCATTTTTTTTTACCTAATGAATTAATATAAAGAACTGACGGCGAGATATTCTTAAACAATACTGAAAAAAATTATTTTTTTAATAAGTATATGAATGTTCACTTTCAAAACAAGTATATTTTTGTGCTAATATGAATGCACATAATTATTTTTTTTATAAATTAAATAAAACTTTACAAAGGTGAGAAATCAATAAAAAAGGATGGCTTCTTTTTATTTAGAATTTTAAACAGCCCAAAATAATCATTACCACAAGCTTTCCCAAATGCTTAAAAAAAAAATCTTAGATTAATAACTATATTATTGTTTTTTTATAGTAATTAAACTCTATAATTTCAGAAATAAACAAATTTAAGTTTTACATCTGTTTATATCTTAATATATCCCTTTGATTTTTTGGGTTATCTTGGGTAATTTACACTATGTATGATAATTATATTTAATTATGTGTGTGTGTGTAAATAAAGTTACTTACTTACTTATTTACTTACAATGAAAATAAGTACAAGCACCTAAATGGAAATAAGTAATTTTGTCTGCCTTTTTGGGGATTATCCTGGGTAATTTATATTATGTATGATAATTATACTTAATTTTACTTGTGTGTAAATCAACTTACTTACTTACTTAGTGACTTACTTACAATGGTAATAAGTAAGAACCCTAATGGAAAATAAGTCTTTTTGTCTGACTTTTAGGGATTATCCCGAGTAGTTTACACTATGTATGATAATCCTACATAATTATACCTATGTTTGTATCAACTTACACACTTAATGACTTACTTACAATTGAAATAAGTACAAGAACCCTGATGGAAAACAAGTCACTTTATCTGACTTTTAGAGATTATCCTCAATAGTTTACAATATTTATACTAATCCTACATAATTTTACCTCTGTCTACATAAACTTACTTACATACTTAATGACTTACTTACAATTGAAATAAGTACAAGAACCCTGATGGAAAACAAGTTTTTATCTGACTTTTAGAGATTATCCTCAATAGTTTACAATATTTATACTAATCCTACATAATTTTACCTCTGTGTAGATGAACTTACTCACACACTTAATGACTTACTTACAAACTTACAAGTGTTTCATGCAGTAACGAAGGCATGTTTGTGTGAGGTGCGCATGCGCGTCCTCACAGCTGAGTTGAGCGTCTGGCGGAATAAGCTGAGTCTTGTCTCTCTCACTCTCCCGCAGATTTACCTTATTTTCTGCGTTATACGATGCTCCTGGGGGCTGGTTCTGCCTACACACCTACAAGATAAACCCAGGTGTGTGCCACACCCGCCATTTTTAATTTTTAACTGGTGGGAGGAGTGTAAATATGGCGAGAAGTGAGACGGGGAGGATTTGGGTTTTTAGGTTTGAAATACTTGTGGTGGGTTAGGGCTTAATTGGGTTGAAATAATGGGTTGGGTTGGGTGTCTGGGTTTGTAATGGCGGGATATATGTCCGTGGAGGGAGGTGGGAAGAGTGTGTGATAAAGGAGGAGGGGAAATATGTGTGAATTATCCAGGATGGAAGGTTAAAGTAAACCTGGATAAATGGGACAAAGCCCAGGTGGGTTACACTTAATATTTCACATAAATCCATGACGTTAATCACCTAATTATCCAGGTAATTGGTGGTTCAGTACCACCTGGTAGTTTGTCTGGGCAGAGTCTAATAATCTGGTATATTAACACTGTCATTATCCTCGGATCAACTACCTGTGTCACCCCTACGCGTTTAGTGCTTCCTTCTGAATATGATGCTCATAATATGCTACCTTAATCCAGGTTATATTAATGGATTAATATCCACCTTTTATCCTGGAGGCTTAACTTAGGCTGTTTGGCCCCTACGGGTTTGGTGCTTCCTTGTTATTACTACTAATAATAATAATAATTTGGTGCCTTAATCCAGGATATTTACACTAATATAATGGATTATATCCACTTATATCCTAGAGGCTTAGCCTCATGACGAAGTTTGACCCCTGTGGGTTTGGTGCTTCCTTGTGACTAATAATAATAATAATAATTAATAATAATAATTATGGTGCCTTAATCCAGGATATATTAATTCCTTGGATTACTATCCACCTGTCTTTATCCTGGAGGCTTAACTCAGGCTGTTGACCCCTACGGGTCTACCTTTTCTGGGTGAAACGTTTGGCATGTTTCCTTACACTGTTCACCTAGCAGTAAGTAGGTACCTGGGTGTTAGGTGACTGGTGTGGGTGGCATCCTGGGGGAGGAGAATAAAGGACCATAATGGGAATGAGAGAGAGAGTTGTTAATGACGTAGATGTTACTGGGTTACCCTGGGTTACTAACCCTCAGGGTTTATACACAAATAACCTAAATAGCTTATACTTAGGACAGTTGGTTGTGGTTGTGGTGGTCCGTGGTGTGGTTGTGGTGGTCCGTGGTGTGGTTGTGGTGGTCCGTGGTGTGGTTGTGGTCCGTGGTGTGGTTGTGGTGGTCCGTGGTGTGGTTGTGGTGGTCCGTGGTGTGGTTGTGGTCCGTGGTGTGGTTGTGGTGGTCCGTGGTGTGGTTGTGGTGGTCCGTGGTGTGGTTGTGGTGGTCCGTGGTGTGGTTGTGGTGGTCCGTGGTGTGGTTGTGGTCCGTGGTGTGGTTGTGGTGGTCCGTGGTGTGGTTGTGGTGGTCCGTGGTGTGGTTGTGGTGGTCCGTGGTGTGGTTGTGGTGGTCCGTGGTGTGGTTGTGGTGGTCCGTGGTGTGGTTGTGGTCCGTGGTGTGGTTGTGGGTGGTCCGTGGTGTGGTTGTGGTGGTCCGTGGTGTGGTTGTGGTCCGTGGTGTGGTTTGTGGTGGTCCGTGGTGTGGTTGTGGTGGTCCGTGGTGTGGTTGTGGTGGTCCGTGGTGTGGTTGTGGTGGTCCGTGGTGTGGTTGTGGTGGTCCGTGGTGTGGTTGTGGTGGTCCGTGGTGTGGTTGTGGTGGTCCGTGGTGTGGTTGTGGTGGTCTGTGGTGTGGTTGTGGTGGTCCGTGGTGTGGTTGTGGTGGTCCGTGGTGTGGCTGTGGTGGTCCGTGGTGTGGCTGTGGTGGTCCGTGGTGTGGCTGTGGTGGTCCGTGGTGTGGCTGTGGTGGTCCGTGGTGTGGCTGTGGTGGTCCGTGGTGTGGCTGTGGTGGTCCGTGGTGTGGCTGTGGTGGTCCGTGGTGTGGCTGTGGTGGTCCGTGGTGTGGCTGTGGTGGTCCGTGGTGTGGTTGTGGTGGTCCGTGGTGTGGTTGTGGTGGTCCGTGGTGTGATTGTGGTGGTCCGTGGTGTGGTTGTGGTGGTCCGTGGTGTGGTTGTGGCGTGACCAGGCCAAGGGCCTGGTTACGGCAGCCCTTGGCCTGGTCACGGCGGCCCGTGGCCTGGTCACGGCGGCCCGTGGCCTGGTCACGGCGGCCCGTGGCCTGGTCACGGCGGCCCGTGGCCTGGTCACGGCGGCCCGTGGCATGGTGGCAAAACATCTCGCTTCACGTGGTGAGGGTCTGTGTTTCATTCCTAGCGAGGGTAGAAACACTGGGTGTGTTTCCTTACACCGGTTGCCTATGTTCACCATCAGTAAAATAGGTACCTGGGTGTTAGTGGACTGGTGTGGGTCACATCCTGGGTGTTAGTGGACTGGTGTGGGTCACATCCTGGGTGTTAGTGGACTGGTGTGGGTCACATCCTGGGTGTTAGTGGACTGGTGTGGGTCACATCCTGGGTGTCAGTGGACTGGTGTGGGTCACATCCTGGGTGTCAGTGGACTGGTGTGGGTCACATCCTGGGTGTTAGTGGACTGGTGTGGGTCACATCCTGGGTGTCAGTGGACTGGTGTGGGTCACATCCTGGGTGTCAGTGGACTGGTGTGGGTCACATCCTGGGTGTCAGTGGACTGGTGTGGGTCACATCCTGGGTGTCAGTGGACTGGTGTGGGTCACATCCTGGGTGTTAGTGGACTGGTGTGGGTCGCATCCTGGGACAAAACTGACCTAATTTACGGGAAATGCTCAGCATAACACCCTAATTTCTATATAGTAGTATGTCACTGATGTCAGCTATGGTTGTCACTGATGTCAGCTATGGTTGTCACTGATGTCAGCTATGGTTGTCACTGATGTCAGCTATGGTTGTCACTGATGTCAGCTATGGTCTGTATACCTTGTACATGTACTGATAGTAAATAAAGATATTATTACTAAGTTGAACTGAAATACCTCCATAAGCTTGGTCTCCTGTGCGTGTTACTTGTGTATTGTTCCAGCTACAGTGTTACTTTTTATTGCTCTGGATTAATACTAATCCCAATTGAATCCACACATGTAGCCCTCTCCCAGGGATATAGTTTTCTCCACAAATTTGCAAGGGATTATGTTCAGTGTACCTTATTGTTAATATGTCTCCTTATATTGTAACTAATTTTCACACCGTACTGTCGGGAATTGAACTTGCGGCTGATGAGTTGTAGAACTCCAGACCGATTTTCATACCACTGAGTTGGCTAGCTGTTTTAACTTTTAAGGTTTAAATAATAAAATATTACAAGGACTATCCTGGTGAGTAATTTACACACAGGTTCCTATGTATGATAATTTGTTTAACTGCACTTGTGTACCTGTAACTAAATAAACTTACTGATGTAAACTTCCTTCAGATTTGTAGGTTATGTTATTGTAGGTTGGTGGGTTATGGCAGCACCATGATGTATATTTCCTGAATAGACCGCTGGAGAGCATGTATTCACCAAATTGTGTTTGCAGAAGTCAAGTCATAGCTCCTGGCCCTGCCATCTCTTTCTTGGTTCATGGCTTGGTGTGGCTTGTGGCTCACACACTGAGGGACCGGGGATTGCTCTCCCAGCACAGGTGAAATGTTGAGCATGTTTCCTCACACCTGCTGTCCTTGTTTACATAGCAGTAAGTAGCTACCTGAATGTTAGGCATCTGTTGTTGGGTCGCATCCTGGGGATGCCAGTAAGGGGCTCTTGATCCAGCGAATTAGGCCTAACCACCCTTCTTTAGATGGAATCCGATTCCATCTCCTTATTCTGCAAGCACTATGTAATCCCTAAGGGTTTAATGCTTCTCCCATTGATGTAACAATAATTATAACATGCTCATGGTGTCCTGTCTTCATTAATATGTTCATCATAAAATTAAAATTTCCAGTTGTTGTATCACTTGTTACAACTTTCATTTTATTCAATTTCTGCTTCACCTTTTTAAAGGAAAAATTTCTGAGCATATCTTATGCTCAATTTTTCCATAATTTACTGTTGTGACACCTCTTGTTATCCTCGCTGACACTTAAAAATACTTTTTTTGTATCTTTTTTTTTTTTTTTTTTTTTAACACATCAGCCATTTCCTACTGAGGCAGAGTGACCCAAAAAATAAGGAACTTCTTCAGCACTCGCTCCATCACTGTCTTGCCAGAAGCAAGTACACAACTTTTTCATTTTTCTTACTCCACAGGTTGTGAGAACCATGAGCGGACGAAGTGGAATGGTTGGTTCCAGTGGAGCATCACTGGGCAGTTCGGGTACATCGTGTGATCCAACCAACCAGCCAATGGACTTGGCCCAGAAAACAGTGGCCAGATCTCTCGAGTCTGTAAGTAACAGAGGCAAGGAACTGAAAATTAGATGACTGAGAACTGTAAAAAGCCTTTATTATAGAATCTTTTCACTCAAGCAGGGCATTATCCTGTTATAGAACTTGCCTTGAGTTAAATGTTATGACAACATAAGAAATGAGGAACACTTCAGCAGGCCTACTGGCCCATACTAGGCAGGTCCTTTTTAAACCCAAACCCTGGTGGACAAAAAGTCTTTTAAAAAATGCTATAAACTGCATATTGTCATTAACATGTAAAAATTTGCACCTTTTCATACATCTATGTTATCATGTCTAAGTTGAAAGTAATAGCCACTTTATTTTTCAGTTTTAGCTTAGTTTGTGTTCAATTTTGTTTTTTTATGGGGATGTCCTTCTCAGTTCTCTGCTGGGCATATGCTTACATCATGAGCAGTTTACGAATAGTAAGTTAGTATACAGCAACCGTCCCAGGAGGTACTATCATCATGTTATGTGACGGTGACACAGAAGCCTGTTAGATGTTTTGCACTGACAGGATTGCTGGTCTTTTCTTTGTCTCATGATCATGATAGATGTATACTGACAAGATGAAGAATTAGACATATTCAACATCTGGGTATCTTGACCTAGATGTTGCATGTCTTAATTCTTCATCATGGAAGATGACAGGTAACTCTTACAATGTCTACCTAACATTCATATACACTACTTTCATGTGTATATTAATAGTTTTCATTTCTCAGTGTCTAAATAGTTTTATTTTTAATATTCTGTACTGTTTCCTGTGTCTTTTATCACCTTTCATTGGTGGAAGATCCCAGTGCATTAAAAAATACTAAATTGTACTTAAGATTATTTATTATTGCAGGGTGGGATAGTGAAGAGTGGAGGCACTACATTAGTTCATTATACAACTGGTGGAGTGGCCCAGATATTAACTACAAGTGGAGGAACTGCACACGTTGTTACTGCCAAGCCTGGTTAGTAGCCAGCTGGACTTGCTGAATGTAACCATCTGTCTGCTCTATAGTGAAAGTGCAGTAAATCACAGTAAATCTTTGGTTATCTGGCAACTTTGAGGATAATGGATGCATCTGATTTTGGAATGATTGCATCATTTTTATGATCCCTTCATTATGCAGCTTTTTTTTTTCTATACTTATGTACTGGATCAAATAAGACCGAGATAACATAGTGCTGAATAATAGATGGCCAGGTAATTGATGATGCACTGTATTTTCAGTATTTAACATAGGGTGTTGAGAAGAAGGAAACTCGTTCATCAAACTCAGTAATTTTCCCATCAGTGTTTAAATGAATCTCCAAACTACAGCAAACTCGTCCATGGATTAAGGAAAACTTACACATGGGCAGAAAGGCGGAGTAAAAGAGACTATATTGTGATCTGTGGCATCTAATGAGGAAATTGGATTATTCTCTCGAAGATGTATGTAGTACAGTATAGTGCTTCTTCATACAATTTCCTCAATCTATTGACTGGTAGCCGTGGCTTAGACGCTTTTGATTATATACATATATCTATACAATAATATGACTGGTATCCATCACACTTTGATGTTTCAATTCCACAGATATAAATATTTATAGGTTTATTTTTGACAGATAGTTAACTTTTTAGTTCTTTTATTATTTAGTTCCTGTAGTTTATCTTTAGACAGTTGTAGAGGTCACTGCCCAGGCTTCCCAGTCCTAGACCAGGCTTCCTGGTTGATGGCCTGATCAATCCAACAGTTGGTGCTGCCTGCACAGTTGAATGTAGACAGCATAGCCAGGCTGATCAAGAACTCACAAACTTAACAAATTCCTTCTTTTAGAAAGCAAGGGGAGTGTTGGTAATTGCTCTTAGGTATGAAGAGAGGTGTTGGAAAGTCTTGCTCCCTCATTGCTACTCTGTTTTTCATTACGATATTTTGCACCATCTGCAGAGCTTCTTGCTTTCATTGGGAATAACTTTGGTGTGCAGATTTTGGGACCAGTCACTCCAGAATTTTTCAATTGTATATTTTGATGTACATTTCATGCATTTCACGGAGTACAGTTCAATTTTATAATCACTGATGACTGTATGAGAAGTGCTATGTCCTGTTTTTTTAGAAGTTTATTGTGATAATTTATTATGAAGCAGATGTATACCTGTAGTATACCTGGAGAGGGTTTTGAGGGTCAGTGCCCCCATGGTCCAGTCTGAGACCAGGCCTCATCTCAGATATTTTTTATTAATTATTTTGATTGGTATCTACTTTAGAAAACTTTAATAATAATATACCCTTATGAACATCATTACGTAAGTGTACTACAGGTGACCACCTAATCTATTACCACTTTCCCTGCATTTATAAACTTGTTCCTGCTGATTGACCTCCCCCCCCCCCCCCAAAAAAAAAAAAATAGTCAATTTAGACCTTTTTTTGGGTTATCCTAAGTAGTTTACATTGTGTATGATAATTGTACTTGTGTACCTATGCCTAAGTAAACTTTGTACAAAACCTAGAGGAATTTCACCTTAAATTGACTTGCACTGGCTCTTCTTGAACCAAATAGATTTTCAAGTGTAGTAGGTCACTTGTATTTATAAATATTTGCAATTTATTTTTTGACACTTAATGCTCCTTTCTCTTTACTTCTAGTGGGTAGAACAGAAAGTATGGGAGTCGGGGGACAAACAGTAACTCTGGTTTCGCGCACCTCTGGTCCACCAGCAGCCCTTAACCTGGCCTCCCCTGGGTCTGGCGGTGGCGGTGGTTCATCTGTGCGTGCAGTGTCCCATCCTGTAGGTGTCCCAGCCAGTAATGCTATTGTCACTTCTTCACCTGCTCATATGGCATACCATATTCCAAGAGGCGCAGCTGCTGTTGCTAATATGGCAGCTCCTAGATCTCAGACAGTTGCCACTCCTATTGTTAGAACAACGGGACAACCTCTCAACCAGCAAAGTTCAAATGTTCCTGGACAGTAAGTAACTTCTTATTGCAACATCCTTGCCCATTTTTAACTATATTCTATTCCTTTATTCTCTGCAATGCTTAGTTCTTGTAGTTTGCAGGTTTTAATATTTTGTTTAATGTAAAAGATTAAATGAATACATTAATTTTTTTGATTTGTTGAACCTAAAGAACAAATATACAATACAGTGGACCCCCGGTTAACGAACTTTTTTCATTCCAGTAGTATGTTCAGGTGCCAGTACTGACCGAATTTTTTCCCATAAGGAATATTGTGAAGTAGATTAGTCCATTTCAGACCCCCAAACATACAAGTACAAACGCACTTACATAAATACACTTACATAATTGGTCGCATTTGGAGGTGATCGTTAAGCGGGGGTCCACTGTACCATGAATGAAACAATACACAAATAACCAGCATATAAGAGAAAGAAACTTATGACGTTTCAGTTTGATTTGAATTGACTGGTCACACACTTAATACGTGAAGGTAAGGGAGCCAGAATATATACAAGAGATTAGCAACTTACTCCTTAACTTTTTTTTCTGTCAGGCGTAGCAGTACAATGGGGCAGCGAGTAGTGCCAGTGTCGACCAGTGCGGGGTGTTACCGTGGTGCACCATCCCCTGCTCACACTGGCAAGGTTAGCCCAGCCATTCACCCCAATGTCACTGGAACTAGTCTAAGGTAAGACAGTTCGCATAGCTTGGTTTATTAAAAATTAAACCCATAGATCATTCTTGTAAATAGTATACAGTATTAAAATAAGACTCCATAGGGAAGTTGAGAAGAATCCTTCCTCTGTTAGCTATGCATATTGTGAAAGGAGAGTAAAATACCATGAGCAAGGTGCTAGTAACCCCTTCTGTATAAATTACTAATCTTAAAACGAAGAAAAACCTTACAGTTTTCTTCTTTTTTTGGGTCACCCTCCCTCAGTGGGGTGACTGCTGGTATGTTGAAAAAAAAATCACAGGGCTAACGAGTCTTAAAATTTCAGGTCAATGTCATCAGGTTGATGAGTAAGAAGCATGTGCAACACTGAGGTATCTTTATTGCTGAAATGTTTAGCCACCACTGCAGACTTCAACAGATTTCATACCTTCTGGCATATAAAGCATGCTTCTTTTCTGCAAAAAGTCTAGGAAAATCAGCCTGCAACTTATATGCTTCAGGGTAGGCTTTGGGTTACGCTTTAGCAGTTTTTACTAATGTTACATCACAGCTGCTTGTAAACATTGTGCCAGCAAACAGCCGACACTCAAGTACCTTATGTGCCACTGAAAAATATGTTAAGTCTGTGGTCTCGTGCTTCTGCTTCAAGCAGACTGACCATCTATCAAGGTTAATTATCTCAAAATTCTCTCCTACTGTCTCCAGTGTTGCAGTCACCTCTGTATTCAACTGATGATACTTAATGTGCAGGAGAACATTGAGGTCATAACTCTACCTAAGTGTTGTACATGTCTCACTCATTAGTTGTAAGTTTTAATGGTGTTTATTACCTGAAGTACTTTATATTGTTGGTCATTTTGGAGTACCTAATCACTGAAATTGCTTTCCTTGGCATTAGGGTAAAGGAGGTTTTGTATGCAAGGGACTTGGACATGCAGCAGGCATGTGTGAGCACGTTCGATAGGAGTAAGTGGAGATGAATGGGTTTTGAGACCTGACGAGCTGTCGGAGTGTGAGCATGGTAATATTTTATATTTTATGAAGGGATTTAGGGAAACCAGTTAGCTGGACTTGAGTCCTGGAGATGGGAAGTATAATGCCTGCACTTTAAAGGAGGGGTTTGGAATATTTGCTGTTTGGAGTGACATCTAAACTTTCGTATCTGAGTGCCTCTGAAAGATGGTGATTATGTGAATGATGGTGAAAGTGTTGAATGATGGTGAAAGTGTTGAATGATGGTGAAAGTTTCTCTTTTGGGTCACCCTGCCTTGGTGGGAGACGGCCAACGTGTTGAAAAAAAATGCACTGCTACTTAAGTATTGCATTAACCCATGAATCCCACTTCACTACTAACCAATCACAATGCCACCTGGAGATTTAAGTTTGGTTCTTGGGTCTGTGGTGGATTTTCTATGTATGTTATTGACTTTTTCTTTTCAGCTCAACTTTATCATGTAGATATAAGACTGTCATTTGAAGCTTTTTGCCATATGTATCTACAAATGCTTAGAATTTTTTTTTTTTTTTAATGTAACAGTGGTAGAGTGTAGGACTAGCATGTGCTAGTCCTACAGTCTACCACTGTACTCTGATGCTACTTGTAGCTATCACTGATGGCTACTTGTAGCTATCACTGATGGCTACTTGTAGCTATCACTGATGGCTACATGTAACCATCACATGGCATTTAACCATCAGTGATGGCTATAATCATCACTGTAGCCATCAAGATAGAGTGCAGGACTAACAGATCTTGGCCTTGGGTTTGAACTTCTTTCTTTCCTTATAAATATTGTACATCCAAAAAAGTCTTACAATAAGAGGTAAAATGAAATAAAAAAAATACCAAAAAGGGTAATGCATAGCTTGCTAGTGAGAGCATTCATCGCTCATAGAGTTTGAGCTTGCTACCACCTGCAGCTCATAAGACTGCCATCCCCACGAGCCCCTTTGAGGCGGGGTAGATGGTAGACCAGAGGCCTAGCTTCTCCCTACGAGCCCCGTGAGGGCGGGGCATGTGGCTAGGCATGGGGACACTTGGTCCCAAAGATGAGGAGGTACTGTACCTCCTCCCATGGGAGACTTTAGTCTCGAGACACTCCCCAGATAGGGAGCCAAGGCCGGGTCACCACTACTTGGAAAAGACCCGGGCCGGGAGAATACCGGCGAATAAAAAAAAAAAAAAAAAAAAAAATTCATCGCTCAACCACAAGGTCCTGGGTTCGATTCCCTGACACAGAGAAATTTGTGGGCCAGTTTCCTCACACTTCTCAAGCCCCTGCCCACCTAGCAGTAAAAATAGGTACCTGTGTGTTAGCTGACTGCTTGGGTGTGGTATCCTGTGTAATAAGCCTCTATCACCTCCTGGAAGTATTCAAATGTTGAATAAAAGGTATATATGTGGGATAATGGAAGTTGAATTAATTATTTGTACACTATTAATCCCTGTTTTCTCTGATAATCTCAAATTGGCTAAAATATTTAAAAACTACACTATACCTTTGAAATACCTTTGACAAGTTTCGAGAGTTTCACTACTCTCTCCAGGTAAACTCTTCGAGCCTGGCCATGGGCCAGACTCGTCTGGTGCTTGCCTGGTCACCCAGGCTGTTGCTGCTGGAGGCCCGCTGCCCTACATATCCATCACAGCCTGGTTGATCTGGCACCTGGTGAAGATACTTGTCCAGTTTCCTCTTGAAGGCGTCTACACTTGTTCCAGCAGTGTAGCAAATTATTTTTTTCATGATCAGCTGAGATGACGGTAAATCTTAAAAAATTGTATACGAGGAGGCAACTTCTTGGAAGGCCGTCCCTGCCTTGGTGGGAAGCGGCTCGTGTGTTTAAAAAATGAAACTTGGAAATGCCTAAGTTACAATGATCTACACTTACAAATGAAATTCAGAAGATATTGACAAAATAATTGCATTATGGATGCTGTTCTGTAGTTATCAACATGTTTGACACAACCATGATATTACTTAAAATAAACTATATTTCAACTGGTAACATGTCTCTCTGCAGTCTTGGCGTAGCTCGAGGTTCCATGCCTGTAACTCGACCAGGTCAGCCATCAGGATCCATAACCACCTACCATGCTGGAGGACGAGCTGGTGGAGTGCCGAGTGGGACTATAAGAGGAGCTGGAGGCACAATGAGAGGGATGGTTACTGGTGATGGACCTAGAGGAACCGGGCCTAAGGCTGTTCACATAACACAACCTTTAGTTCAACCTCAGGTGAGATTTAAATGGAATAATTGTATCTACTTATGTCACATTACACATGCATGTATATGTATACACATCCATCTAAGTTTTCTATTCTTAACCCTTTGACTGTCGAAGGGCCCAATCCTGAAGTTGCTCCTGGTGTCGCAAAATATTCGAAAAAAAAAAATTTTTTCTTAGGAAATGATAGAGAATCTTTTCCCGATTGTAAAGACACCAAAAAAACGAAATTTGATGGAAAACTGACGGAATTACGCTCTCGCGAAGTTAGCGACTTCGGCGATATTTAAAAATCGGCAATTTCGCCCACTTTGAGCCCTATTTTCGGCTAATTCTGTTATTCCAGTCAACCAAACTCATATCTATTTCTTCAGAACTCTATTTTTTCTATCGATTGAGCACAAGAAACTGCCCATTTACCGATTTCAACTACCCAATAACATGGTCAGAAATTTGCAATTTGGCCAATTTCACGAAAATTAAAAAATACGACAATTTCAAAATAAGGTCCAGAATGAACAATGCAGACATTCCTGGCTCTAAAATAAGATTTTCTTTGTTCATCAGTCATGTCTCCAGGTCCCTGTGATATTACTCTTGCTTTTTATTTTGAAATTTTATTCAAACAAAAAATAGAAGATTTACTGTTATGCAGACTACTGCAATACTGTAATAATTGTAAAATTACATCAACCCATTCATGACTGCGTATTAGAATGGCTATTTGGACATTTATTGGACAATGACATCATTTGTTTACTTTTGAACATCGGCAAAAATCAAACATTTCCTGTACTTTGTGCTCCATTTCCAGGTTCTTTTTATAGTAAAATTAATCAAAATCACCTCCATTTCTATAATATAGTTTCCATTCTATCAAATGAGACCATGAAAACGAGAATACAACCACAAATACTATACGAAAATAGACCACAAAGTCGGCATTTTAATTAAAAAAAACGGTCGGAGTTTTTTTTTTCTCATTATGCACTGCGTGCTCCAGGATTTTTTTTATGTGGTGCACACTGACCACACAGACCCATTCTCTCACATGTGGGCCTACTAGCTTTCTCCTGCCTGATTTGAAGCCGCTAGAATTTATGAGTATATATACGTCAAACACGGTACTTCACAAACGTATATATACGGCCGCGACAGTCAAAGGGTTAATACAGTAGCTCTTGTTTTTGTTTATTTCCTTTCATCTCTATGGGGAAGTGAAAAATAATCCTTCCTCTGTAAGCCATGTGTATCATAAGAGACAACTGAAATGCCAGGAGCACCGGGCTAGTAACCTCTTCTCCCGTATACATTAATAAATGTAAAAGGAAAAATTCTCTTCTCTTTATAGGTCACCCTGCTTCAGTGGGAGACGGCCGGTGTGTTAAAAGAATGACATTATACAGTGGACCCCCGGTTAACGATATTTTTTCTCTCCAGAAGTATGTTCAGGTGCCAGTACTGACCGAATTTGTTCCCATAAGGAATATTGTGAAGTAGATTAGTCCATTTCAGTCCCCCAAACATACACGTATAAACGCACTTACATAAATACACTTACATAATTGGTCTCATTCGGAGGTGATCGTTATACGGGGGTCCACTGTATATGTAAATCTTCTAAACATATTTATGGTACAGTAAATCGATTGTCTGGCAGTCAGTTTGACTTCAACATCATCCAGCTGATTTGTTCGTTTCAATACCTACACAGATAATGTTGAAAATGAGTGTGATAGAATCATCTGGTATTATGATAATTTGGTACCTCCTTTCTCCCCAAAGGAGCCAGATAATCAATGATCTACTATACTGTACAAGTGAACCTACTTGGAGATAATGTAATAAAACCAGAGGATCTCTGCATTTTTTGATCTTCAACTGAGGTACTCTTCAGCAGAGATGTCTGTTGAAGTGGACCTCAGCAGTAAGTCAGATTATTCACTCATCCTCTTACCGTCTCTCTCATTTTCTCCATGTAAGTCCACTTGTAATTTTAAACAGTGTTGATGCTTCTGTGTTTGGATATTTTTATTAATTTATCAAATTGTACATATTTCAGAATTAGCTCTTTTTGAGGACAAGACATTTAATGAAATTTTGAAGTCTTTTTCCCTTTTATAGTTTTCTCTTAGTTTATTACACCCTCTTTCTTTCTTTCTTTTTTTTTTTTTTTTTTTTTTTTTTTTTTTTTTTTTTTTTTTTTTTAGCCCTTTATCCATATTTTACCAAGCCTTGTGTTCATCAATATTTTTCCATGCCTCCTGTTCATCATTATTTTTCCATGCCTCCTATTTGTGAAGATTTGAGAGTGGCACCTCTAACATTTTTCGAGTATAAATAACGAAAGTAATTTGCAGTCGGAAGGTCATTTAGATTGTGTGTGCTTGCAATAATAATAGTAATTGTAATAATATTTTGCAATGAGACACATTGTTTAATACAAAGGTTTGTTGGAAAAGCCTATATTTAAGTTAGGCAGCTAGAGAATGAGTGAGGAATATATTTTCCTGTGGGACTTCCTACCTTGGTGGGGAAAGCTCATATGTTAAGGGAAAAATAGTTATGAGGCTATACCTTTTTTTTTTTTTAACTCGCTGGCTGTATCCCACCAAGGCAGGGTGACCCGAAGAAGAAACACTTTCGCCATCATTCACACGATCACTGTCTTTCCAGAGGTGTGCAGATACGACAGTTTAGATGCCCCGCTAAACAGCAGATATCCCAAACCCCTTCTTTAGAGTGCAGGCATTGTATTTCCTGCTTCCAGGACTTGAGCCCGGCTAACCAGTTTTCCTGAATCCCTTCACAATATAGTGCTTTGCTCACACTCCAGTGGCTGGAGAACAAACAGTAGTTAACTGACTTAGCTTGTAAAGAGTCTGAAGTTATTGACAGAAGACTGTAACTATTATGCTTTTGGAATGCAGGTGTATAACTGCTAATACTAGTACTAGTATCATTGTTGGTTCAGTTATTGTTAGCACTGTTGCCACTATCACTGTTATTACGACTGTTGTTAGTGCTATTACTTCTAGTGTTGTTATTGTCTGTATTCCAAACTGAGCTGAAGTTTTTATAGGGATTAGTCACTCATAATTGTATGATACACAAATAACCCGCACATAAAAGAGAGAAGCTTACGACGACGTTTCAGTCTGACTTGGACCATTGACAAAGTCACGTCGTCGTAAGCTTCTCTCTTTTATGTGCGGGTTATTTGTGTATCATTCCAGTCACGGTATTGTGCCTTTTTTTTTTATTTTATTTTATTATCACACCGGCCGATTCCCACCAAGGCAGGGTGGCCTTTTTTTTGTTATTCATAATTGTATGCTTCAGAGATAACATCTATAGATGAACATTTGCAGTGTATACATTGTAAGGGTTTTGATTATATTTTTTGACATTTTTTAGGGCCTAAATCTTTTATTTTAGGCTCTGGGCACTGTACCCATTGGTTAATACAGGCCTGATATGTGAGAGGGGCTTGAACATTCAGCAGGCATGTGTGACCGTGTTAAGAGTGAGGGGAAGCAAATGGTTTTTGGGACTTGACATGCTGTTGGAGTGTGAGGAAGGTAATACAGTGGACCCCCGGTTAACGATATTTTTTCACTCCAGAAGTATGTTCAGGTGCCAGTACTGACCGAATTTGTTCCCATAAGGAATATTGTGAAGTAGATTAGTCCATTTCAGACCCCCAAACATACACTTACAAACGCACTTACATAAATACGCTTACATAATTGGTCGCATTCGGAGGTGATCGTTATGCGGGGGTCCACTGTATTTTGTGAAAAGATTCAGGTGGTAAGTACAGTGCCTGCACATTGTAGGAGGGGTGGTGATATTTGTAGTTTGGAGGGACATCTGGACTGTAGTATCTACATTCCTCTGGCAAAACAGTGATAAAGTGAATGATGGTGAAAGCTTTTCTTTTTTTCAGGTCACCTTTCCTCAGTGAGAGACTGCCAGTGTGTGAAAAATTATTAGTATTACTGATGCTATTGTCAGCATAGTTGCTGATCCCTGTGTTCCCAGTATTATATAGCATAGCAGTAGCATCATCCATGTGCTTTAGACACGAGACCCCTCGTAGGCCTGTGGCTTTGTGTGACGTCACGGGATGCACACGAGGAGGCTCGTGTCTAAAGCACATGGATGATGCTACTGCTATGCTATATAATACTGGGAATACAGGGATCAGCAACTATGCTGACACTATTACTGCTTTTATGTAATTCATGCCTTAAAGAATAATTCACATCAGTTAACTCTAAAAACATTTGCTTATTGATATAGAAATATGGAAGCACCGTGAGCGGGGTAATGAGCAATGTAGGACGCGGCGTGGCACCAGGATCCGGAACAGTGGCGTGCTCTACTGGTACCATCTATACGGGCAACCCCATGGTGACCACCATGGCTGGGCCTAACATTAACTCCCAGGCTACCATGAGAACACAAGCTCCCCCGGCTATAGCTGTGAGAATTACTACAGCTCCTGGTCCTAGTTCTGCTACATCGGCAGCGGTAAGATTACTTTTTATTGGGAAAATACTTAGCATGAATGATAAGTGATGTTCCATGCAAGTGAATGGTTAGTGTAACTTTTGGTTGGCAAAGCATATAATATATGAAAATATGTCCTTGTTTACCTACTGAGGCCTCCCAGCTCAGACTGATATATTTAAACACTTTATATAGGCCCAATCCATTTTGATGGAATGACAGGAAAACAGTTATTTTTTTCAAAGGTAACTATCATACTATCATTATTTTTAATCATTATTCAACCCTTGTTTGTACTATTTTTAATGCCTAAATTTATGTGTACCTACTTAACAAGCTATGTTTAGTACTTTAGTAGTGTGTAAACATTAGTATTTGTCTGCCTGAAATGCTTATGTTAGCGGCTTTGTTTTGTGCCTCACAGTATTTTATTACATGTAAACTACATTATCTGTATACTTCAGAAGAGAAATAAACTTATTACAGGTCGGCCATCACTAATCTGGTACCATCACTAATTAAATTTTTTTTTTTTTTTTGTTTATTAACACACTGGCCGATTCCCACCAAGGCAGGGTGGCCACCAAGGCAGGGTGGTCACCAAGGCAGGGTGGCCACCAAGGCAGGGTGGCCCGAAAAAGAAAAACTTTCACCATCATTCACTCCATCACTGTCTTGCCAGAAGGGTGCTTTACACTACAGTTTTTAAACTGCAACATTAACAAATTAACATTAACACTTAAAACACCATCGCTAATCCGGCACTAATTTCACTTAGCATCTCTATTGATAGGTTAATTCAGTTAACACGAGTGGGCTGCTCAAAGGTCTAGAGCAACGCAGTTTTATAAGTGAATGAGAAATAATGAACATTTATGTGCCAGATTAGTGATGGTCGACCTGTATTATTAAGTGTATCAGCACACTGCTGATGTATCCAAATTTGCTTAATTCAAATAATTAATTCAAATAAGTAAGTGCCTTGTTGCTGGTGAAGGCTTCTGAATTTAATAAAGCTAATATTTGCTTCCATGGATCAAACCTCCCATTCCCAAGGCAGTTTGATCTCTACAAGTTTAGTATTTCTGCTTAAAGATGATGATAATCTGTAAAATCTGTACATTGCACAGCTTATTTTTCATTCATTGATTTTTGATGTCTGTAAAAGGTTGTGCATCCCTTTTTATGGAAGCTAAACTGTTGTTACTAATATACTACTACTACACCTGTAGTATAAGGATCTACAAATAACCAGCAATAAAATGAGGGACTTTAATACATCATCATAGTTTCTCTCCTAAGTGCAGGATATTTGTGAATTGTTTTGGGCATGGTATTGTAACCTTTAATCTTTATGAAGATAATAAAGATATCTTTCTTAAAACGCAGGTAACATCACAGGCCGGTACAAATATAGGTGCCATAGCAATGACTTCTCCGTCTGGCACTACTCCCAGCACCATTTTGACTCACCATCCTACGCTGCAGCGAGCACACCAGGATCATCACGTCCCACTTAAAACACCTATTGGTCAGTACTGATTACCTATATTTTCTAGGCACAATATGACTCTCTTTTTACACGCTGGCTGTGTTCTGCCGAGGCACGGTGATCTGAAAAAGAAACTTTCACCGTCATTTACACTATAACTGTTTCTCTACTAATTATAACAATGGAGGTTCTATATATGTGTATTACATTATTGATGTAGATCATAAGGTATTTTGTGTCTTATACATACTAGTACTCTTCCTTTTTCCTCAACAAATTGTGGTTTATTTTCTGCTATAGTTTTTGTGGGTTAATTTCTGTGGAGTAACCAATTCTTGGCTTTCTTGATGTGAGTATCCTTCAAGAATTGCCTTGATGCTCATGATGGGCCCTTGATCCAATTTATTGGAGTTACCCTTTCCAATTGCCTACTGGTTTATTTGCTGTATGACCTCTATGGGTTTAGCACTTTCCCTGGAATTGATGCAGGGAAAATTTAGGGGGTGCATTGAGGCATCTCTGGAGACAATGAACTTCATCCCAAGAGGCAAAAAAGGGTATGTATGAGAGTATAGTGGTACCAGCACTCTTGTAAGGGTGTGATGCATGGGTCGTAAATATTGCAGCGAGGAGGCGGCTGTATAGTAGTGTCTGTATAGGTGTCGTGTATTACGAGCTTTTATTCTTTTTTTTATCCCCGTTTCTTAATGGTGTTCCTGTGTTTTTTCCTTTTTTCTTTTCTTTTTTTTTTTTTTTCAACAAGTCGGCCGTCTCCCGTCTCCCACCGAGGCAGGGTGACCCAAAAAAGAAAGAAAATCCCCAAAAAGAAAAATACTTTCATCATTCAACACTTTCACCACACTCACACATTATCACTGCTTTTGCAGAGGTGCTCAGAATACAACAGTCTAGAAGCATACACATATAAAGATACACAACATATCCCTCCAAACTGCCAATATCCCAAACCCCTCCTTTAAAGTGCACGCATTGTACTTCCCATTTCCAGGACTCAAGTCCGACTATATGAAAATAACCGGTTTCCCTGAATCCCTTCACTAAATATTACCCTGCTCACACTCCAACAGATCGTCAGGTCCCAAGTACCATTCGTCTCCATTCACTCCTATCTAACACGCTCACACACTCTTGCTGGAAGTCCAAGCCCCTCGCCCACAAAACCTCCTTTACCCCCTCTCTCCAACCCTTTCGAGGATGACCCCTACCCCGCCTTCCTTCCCCTATAGATTTATATGCTTTCCATGTCATTCTACTTTGATCCATTCTCTCTAAATGACCAAACCACCTCAACAACCCCTCTTCTGCACTCTGACTAATACTTTTATTAACTCCTCACCTTTTCCTAATTTCCACACTCCGAATTTTCTGCATAATATTTACACCACACATTGCCCTTAGACAGGACATCTCCACTGCCTCGAACCGTCTCCTCGCTGCTGCATTTACCACCCAAGCTTCACATCCATATAAGAGTGTTGGTACCACTATACTTTCATACATTCCCTTCTTTGCCTCCATAGATAACGTTTTTTGACTCCACATATACCTCAACGCACCACTCGCCTTTTTTCCTTCATCAATTCTATGATTACCCTCATCCTTCATAAATCCTGTGTTTCTTAATAGTTCTTATTCTTGTCAGGCTCATCTGAGACTGGGTCATGATCAGTCATGGTCCCCAGAGCCTTGAACAGTCATAAATTGGTTAATTTGACTTGAAATACAACTGCATTTTTTGTTTTGCTTTATAAATTGATTCAAAGATTTTTACTGCCTACAAAAGTAGCTTTTCTGTTCATTTCAGTGTGAACACCAGTACCAGTAGCACTACAAAAATAATTTTTGTTTACAGTGCGAACACCAGTAGCTGCACACCAGACAAACAAGTCGGGGGTTCAAGCCCAGGCATTGGCATTTTCTGACGGCCCTAAAGTGATCACACAGCCAGCTCAAGGTCCACCTCTGGCCTTGGCTCAGATCTCTGGGCTCACAGGGGTTAGTACTCAGAAGACCCAGGTTCAGACACACACTGTTCAACAACATCCCACCAATGTTCAGCTCAGAGGTTGGTAACTTTAGCATTACATCTTATTTGTGAGTACAGGTGCTCCTCGACTTACAATGGGGTTATGTTCTGATAAACCCATTGTAAGTTGAAAATATTGTAAGTCTAATGTGAATATGTGCTAAATAAATAACTGAATAAGTAAATAAATTATTGCAATGAATACAAGTTATGGACTTGCCGCCTTCACTGTGGGTAATTATCTTAACTTTCCTCTCCAGAGTACAGGAGGGCTTCACTTACAGCATTTTGCTAATACAGCAGTTTTCAATTATGTGACTCACGAAATCGTAATGACACGATTGCAAACAAACCATACCACGGGCGGGATTTGAACCTGCGGTCAGAGTGTCTCAAAGCTCCCGGCCGTCGTGTTAGCTGGTCCAGTGGCTAACACGATGGTCTGGAGTTTTGAGACTCTGACCGCGGGTTCAAATCCTGCCCGTGGTATGGTTTGTTTTCAATTATACACATTCTTCATTTATTCAGACTTCCTACAATAATTATATTCACTATTCATTATAAGCTAAGGATGAAAATATTTTAAGGTAAGTAATGTGTGTACTGTACATGCATTTTTTAGGCCTAGTTCTATTGCTCACTTAATATATGATAGTGTAAACATGTTATAAACATGTTAATATATGATAGTGTAAACATGTTATTGGGCTTTTATATGCATTTGAAAGAGGAAAAAAGGCTGTTTTGCTTTACAGCAGCAGCCTGGAACATGACCTGCTGTATAAGCGGGGCCCTCCTGTTGTATTTATTTTTTGACATGTATTCATCTGCACATAACCCTTAGTGAAATTTATGTAATGTTCTTTTGAGCTTACCCTTTCAGTGGCCGTCATGTAGATCTGTTATTGATGCCAGGATCCCTTGTGTAGATTACGTTATTGATGCCAGGATCCCTTGTGTAGATTACGTTATTGATGCCAGGATCCCTTGTGTAGATTACGTTATTGATGCCAGGATCCCTTGTGTAGATTACGTTATTGATGCCAGGATCCCTTGTGTAGATTACGTTATTGATGCCAGGATCCCTTGTGTAGATTACGTTATTGATGCCAGGATCCCTTGTGTAGATTACGTTATTGATGCCAGGATCCCTTGTGTAGATTACGTTATTGATGCCAGGATCCCTTGTGTAGATTACGTTATTGATGCCAGGATCCCTTGTGTAGATTACGTTATTGATGCCAGGATCCCTTGTGTAGATTACGTTATTGATGCCAGGATCCCTTGTGTAGATTACGTTATTGATGCCAGGATCCCTTGTGTAGATTACGTTATTGATGCCAGGATCCCTTGTGTAGATTACGTTATTGATGCCAGGATCCCTTGTGTAGATTACGTTATTGATGCCAGGATCCCTTGTGTAGATTACGTTATTGATGCCAGGATCCCTTGTGTAGATTGTTATTGATGCCAGGATCCCTTGTGTAGATAGTTATTGATGCCAGGATCCCTTGTGTAGATTGTTATTGATGCCAGGATCCCTTGTGTAGATTGTTATTGATGCCAGGATCCCTTGTGTAGATTGTTATTGATGCCAGGATCCCTTGTGTAGATTGTTATTGATGCCAGGATCCCTTGTGTAGATTGTTATTGATGCCAGGATCCCTTGTGTAGATTGTTATTGATGCCAGGATCCCTTGTGTAGATTGTTATTGATGCCAGGATCCCTTGTGTAGATTGTTATTGATGCCAGGATCCCTTGTGTAGATTGTTATTGATGCCAGGATCCCTTGTGTAGATTGTTATTGATGCCAGGATCCCTTGTGTAGATTGTTATTGATGCCAGGATCCCTTGTGTAGATTGTTATTGATGCCAGGATCCCTTGTGTAGATTGTTATTGATGCCAGGATCCCTTGTGTAGATTGTTATTGATGCCAGGATCTCTTGTGTAGATTGTTATTGATGCCAGGATCCCTTGTGTAGATTGTTATTGATGCCAGGGATCCTCAAAGAGATCTACATTTTGAGCACAGCTCCCTTAGATAAGCTGTGAGTGGTAAATTTTGACCTAGACATGAGAGAATGGGTCTGTGCAGTGAGTGTGCACAGTATAAAAAATCCGACCCTATGCAGTGCATGATGGGAGAAGTAAAATTGACCTTGTGTTTAGTTTAAAACAGCAAATTTGAGGTGTTTTCTAGCATGGTTTTCATGATAATACAGTGGACCCCCGCTTAACGATCACCTCCAAATGCGACCAATTATGTAAGTGTATTTATGTAAGTGCGTTTGTACGTGTATGTTTGGGGGTCTGAAATGGACTAATCTACTTCACAATATTCCTTATGGGAAAAAATTCGGTCAGTACTGGCACCTGAACATACTACTGGAATGAAAAAAGTTTGTTAACCGGGGGTCCACTGTATTAGCCGTTTCTTGGTTTCATTTGATGGAATGGAAGATTTACTACTGAAATAGAGATGAATTTGGTTGGTTTCAAAATCAGAAGTAGCTTGAAATTGGGCTCAAAATAGAAATGTTCGATTTTTGCCGTGTTCCTATAAATGGTTAAGACTCCCCTACACCCCCCTTGGTGTGTTTTATGACATAGATGTGATTCAGCTATCGGAACATTGTAAACCTTGAACAGTCATTCCTAGTTACATTTTATTATCTGAAAAATGAAGTAAATCTTTGATCTTTTGGGGTGATGAATTTAAAATTGAAGCAAGTGTAATATAGGAGAGGCCTGGAGATGTGATTAATGAACAGAGGAAATGTCTACAGTCTACAGTGTTTATTTTGAACTCTATTAATTGGATTTTTTTTTAATTTTGTGTAAAACTGGCCAAATTACTGACTAATATGCATGTTATAGGGCAGTTATGATACTTGAATGTGTGGTTTCTTGTGCTCAGTGGATGGAACGGAAAGCGTACTAGTGAAAGAACTAATAATTTAATAGATTGGACCAATAAAATTAGCTTAAAATAGGACTCAAAGCAGATGAGGTCACCAACATGTAAATTATGCCCATACTGCTAACTTTGTGCCTGTGTAATCCCATAAGTTTACCATCAAATTTTGTACTTTTGGTGTCATTACCTTCAGAAAAGATTCTCTGCCATTTCAGAAATTTTTTTTAATACAAACACTGAGAGCAATATTAATATCGAGGATTAATTACAAGTTGTGAAAAAAATGTTTTTGAAAAATAATTTTCCAATCTAATTATAACAAATTATTGCAGCTGGTGGTGGCGGTGTCGGTCGTGTCATGGGTGGAGGAGGCATCCCTGTCGCTAAAGTACTTCCACAGCAAGCCACAGCTACCTCCCAGGGGCCAATATCTGTTGCCACCACACAGAGAGCTTCTCATGGGCAGGTGCGGGCACAGTCCCCCGGACAAGCGGCCGATAGTCAACCTGCCCACACCAGCGTGTTCTTGCATCGGGCGCATGCTGGTAGGTTTATCACTTATTGTATTCCTCATCCTTGCCCTCCTCTTGTATATATATATACTGGCTCTCTTACCTTCGTTTGTTGGTGTGTGACTAATTAATGGTCCAAGTCAGACTCAGTTGTCTTACAAAGTTCTTCTATATAATGTGATTCTTTTGTACATATGATTGAAAAAGAACATTCTGAATTGAAAAGTTCATACTATGAAGGCCTTTTGCATGCTGTTCAGTTTTGGATGTAATTTTTCAGTTGCAGATACAAAAAATTGCACCAAATAATCAGTTTTATTGAAGAACTCACTGTATTCATTTGGTTTAATTGATATTGAGAAGCATAACTTTGACAGAGTAGTGTGCCTGTGTTTTGATTAGTAAATGGAAGATCGTATCTCACCACCTGTGTAGTCGACCGAGTATCGTACTTCCTCCACTTGTGTTAAATGATTATCAGATGTAGCATTTTTTATTTTTATTTTTTTATTAACACACTGGCCGATTCCCACTAAGGCAGGGTGTCCACCAAGGCAGGGTGTCCACCAAGGCAGGGTGTCCACCAAGGCAGGGTGGCCCAAAAAAAGAAAAACTTTCACCATCATTCACTCCATCACTGTCTTGCCAGAAGGGTGCTTTACACTACAGTTTTTAAACTGCAACATTAACACCCGTCCTTCAGAGTGCAGGCACTGTACTTCCCATCTTCAGGACTCAAGTCCGGCCTGCCGGTTTCCCTGAACCCCTTCATAAATGTTACTTTGCTCACACTCCAACAGCACGTCAAGTATTAAAAACCATTTGTCTTCATTCACTCCTATCAAACACCCTCACGCATGCCTGCTGGAATTCCAAGCCCCTCTCACACAAAACCTCCTTTACCCCCTCCCTCCAACCTTTCCTAGGCTGACCCCTACCCCGCCTTCCTTCCGCTACAGACTGATACTCTTGAAGTCATTCTGTTTCGCTCCATTCTCTTTACATGTCCGAACCACCTCAACAACCCTTCCTCAGCCCTCTGGACAACAGTTTTGGTAATCCCGCACTCTCTACAAATATAATTTACTTACCCACAATACAGAATTACTGTTGATTTGTGCTACATTGCTTTTAGGAATGACTGCAGGACTGGTATATAATTGTTACATGAGAGGTCCTCAAAACCTGGATTAGTGTTCCATGTGTTTCAGCTTAAAAACAGATTGTGCCTCAGGTGTTCCATCTAGCAAATAAGTCACAATTGTGGTGTTTCGATTTAATAACAAGTTTATGTTGAAAACAGTAGTTCAGACGATGTTTTTTTCATATGCTTGTACTATAACTTTGTGATATAGGTGAACTGTTTTTAAATTTGGCTCCCAGTGAGGCTGAGTGACCCAGAAAAGAAGAGACACTTTCACCATCACTCACTCTATCACTGTCTTGCCAGAGGGGCACTGATACTACAGCTCAAAACTGCAGATATCCCTACCCCTCCTCAGAGTGCAGGCACTGTACTTCCCACCTCCAGGACTTGAGTCTGGCTAACTGGTTTCCCAGAATTCTTTAATAAATGTTACCTTGCTCACACTCCAACAGCACAGTCACAAAAACCATTTGCCTCTGCTGAATCCTATCTGACATGCTTACACAAGCCTGTTAGCACATGAAAGTGTATTAAATTGTGTGTATTATAATTGAATTATAACTAATCTCAATCATGAATCATAACTAATATCAGTCATGAATCATAGCTAATCTCAACCATTGTAGCTTATATGTATACTTCATTCATTCAATAACTGTCTTGTCAGAAGGGCACTGGTGTCACAGTTCAAATGACCTTCAAACTTCATCTCCACCCCTCCGTTTGTATCCTGTTGTATTACTTGTGCACTGACAAATAAATTACTTATCAAATGTTGATACTGCAGGAGTGACTGTAACAAGTGGGGTGACGGTGGGCCAGGGAGAGCGAGTGGTGACGACGATGCCGCAGTACAGCATCGCACCACCCTATTACTATGAACAAGCACAGAACACGTACCAGGTAAGTTTTTAAAAGTTCTCCCCTAAGTAATATTGTTTTGTTTTTTCTTTTTTCTTTAACAAGCTGGCCATATGTATATATCCTACTGAGGCAGGGTGATCCAAATTTAAATCAAAGTTTCTCTCTTTAAATTTAGTAATGTATACAGGAGAAGGGGTTACTATCCCTTTGCTCCCGGCATTTTAGTCGCCTTTTACAACATGCATGGCTTCCGGAGGAAGAATTCCGTAATATTGGTTATGGAGACTTTAACACACCGACTGTTTCTCACTGGGCGGGGTGCCCATCCCCCCCCCCCCCCCCAAAAAAAAAAAATTCTTCTTACATTTAGTAATTTATACAGGAAAAGGTGTTAAAAACTCCTTGCTCCTGGCATTTAGTTTACCTGGAGAGAGTTCCGGGGGTCAACGCCCCCGCGGTCCAGTCTGTGACCAGTGGGTTATACAAGAGAAGGGAAAGGGAACCATTTGCCTGTTTTTCCCTGGGTCAGAACTAGACCATTGATGTCCAAATCTGAGTTGACCTGTTACTTTGCCTTTATACCTTTAATGACTTTGTCAGCATAGTTGCTGATCCCTGTGTTATATAGCATAGCATATTAGTATCGTCCATGTGCTTTAGATACGAGATCCCTTGTAGGCCTGTGACTTTGTGTGACGTCACGGGATGCGCATGTGTAGGCTCGTACCTCTGCCTCCCTCTCAGTCGGCATAGACCTACAGGCGAAGACAGGCAGAGGCTGGGCTCCACGTTCATCATCACAGTCTGACAATATATATGTTACCATCCAACAAGCGTGTCTACCTTCAACCCTCGATATCTCCATTTAAGAACCCCTTACGATAAATGGTGGCAGCGGTGGGATGGTGGCTAAAGCTCCCGCTTCACACACGGAGGGCCCGGGTTCGATTCCCGGCGGGTGGAAACATTTGACACGTTTCCTTACACCTGTTGTCCTGTTCACCTAGCAGCAAATAGGTACCTGGGTGTTAGTCGACTGGTGTGGGTCGCATCCTGGGGGACAAGATTAAGGACCCCAATGGAAATAAGTTAGACAGTCCTCGATATCTCCATTTAAGAACCCTTACGATAACTTCTGAAAATTTAAATTGTTGTCTTTGACATGATATAAGATTAGAAACATCGAACACAGAATCTGTTTGGCTACAGTTACTTGAGGGACGTGACAAATTAATTTTGGGTGTGATTTATAGGCCCCCAAACCTTGATAGGGAGTGCAGTAAGCTGTTATGGGACAAAATTCATAAGGCATCTAGATATGAAAATGTTGTGATAATGGGAGATTTTAACTTGAGACAAATTGATTGGAACAATATGACAGGAAATCTTGAGTCTAGTGACTTTCTTGATACGGTTCAGGATTGCTTTTTAGAACAGGTTGTGACAGAACCAACTAGAGGCAACAATCTGCTTGACTTGGTTCTTGCCAACAAAGATTCACTAATTAATAATCTTGAGGTTAATGATGAGCTTGGGGAAAGTGATCACAAATCACTTAGTTTCAATATATCATGGAATTACCCAGATAACTGCAATCAAATCTCTGTCCCAGATTTTTGCTTGGCCGACTTCATGGGACTGAAAAATTACCTGGGTGGGCTAAATTGGGATGTCCTGACTATGGGTCAGGTAGGTGATCTTGGTTGCCAATATGACGTTTTTCAGAGCATAATTATAGCTGCTCAGACAACTTTTGTTCCGAGTAGGGAAATAAGATCTAACAAAAATGATCCCAAATGGATGAACAATAGATTAAAACATCTCATTGGTCAAAAGAGAGGCATACATAGGCATATTAAAAGAGGGGATGGGCAGTTAAGAAATAAATATATTCAATTAAAGAGAGAAATAAAGAAAGGAATAAGAAAAGCAAAAAGGGATTATGAGGCTAAGGTCGCAAGGGATTCAAAGACTAACCCAAAAGGGTTCTTTCAGGTATACAGAAGTAAGATTAGGGACAAGATTGGCCCACTTAACTCTGGTCAGATCACTGACAGTGATAAGGATATGTGTGAAATTCTAAATACCTACTTCCTCTCAGTTTTCACCCAGGAAAATACTAGCGATATTCCTGAAATAATAGATTATGTAGAACAGGATGATAAACTGTGTACGATTGCGGTAACTAGTGACATGGTCCTCAGACAAATAGAGAAACTAAAACCTAACAAATCCCCAGGCCCTGATGAACTGTTTACAAGGGTGTTAAAAGAATGTAAAGAGGAACATATCACTACAAACTGGCATAGTGCCAGATAAGTGGAAAATAGCAAATGTAATTCCTATTTACAAGGCAGGTGACAGGTCCTTGGCTTCAAACTATAGACCAATAAGCCTTGCCTCCATAGTGGGAAAATTTATGGAATCAATAATTGCCGAAGCAATTCGTAGCCATCTTGACAGGCACAGATTGATTAATAAATCTCAACACAGTTTTACAAAGGGGCATTCCTGTCTTACGAATTTACTAACTTTTTTCACTAAGGTGTTTGAGGAGGTAGATCATGGTAATGAATATGATATTGTGTATATGGACTTCAGTAAGGCCACATCAGAGGCTATTGAGGAAACTTAAGGCACACGGAATCGGAGGAGAAATTTTTCCCTGGGTATAGGCATGGCTGACAAATAGACAGCAGAGAGTTTGCATAAATGGGGAGAAATCAGAATGGGGGCACGTCACAAGCGGTGTTCCTCAGGGGTCAGTGTTGGGTCCGTTGTTGTTCACAATTTACATAAATGACATAGATGAGGGAATAAATAGCGACATAAGCAAATTTGCTGATGACACCAAAATAGGCCGTCCAATTCATTCTAATGAGGACACTAGAGCACTCCAGGATGATTTGAATAGACTGATGCAATGGTCGGAGAAGTGGCTGATGCAGTTTAATATTGACAAATGCAAAGTTCTAAATGTTGGACAGTTAAATAACCATGCCACATATAAACTAAATAATGTAGATCTTAATACTACTGATTGCAAAAAGGATTTAGGAGTTCTGGTTAGTAGTAATCTAAAACTAAGACAACAGTGCATTAGTGTTCGCAATAAAGCAAACAGAATTCTTGGCTTCATAACTAGAAGTATAAATAATAGAAGTCCTCAGCTTGTTCTTCAACTCTATATATCCTTGGTTAGGCCTCATATAGATTATGCTGCTCAGTTCTGGTCACCGTATTACAGAATGGATATAAATGCTCTGGAAAACGTACAGAGGATGACAAAGATGATCCCATGTATCAGAAATCTTCCCTATGAGGATAGACTGAGGGCCCTAAATCTGCACTCTCTCGAAAGGCGTAGAATTAGGGGGGATATGATAGAGGTGTATAAATGGAACACAGGAATAAATAAAGGGGATGTAAATAGTGTGCTGAAAATTTCCAGCCAAGACAGGACTCGCAGTAATGGTTTCAAGTTGGAAAATTTCAGATTCTGGAAGGATATAGGAAAGCACTGGTTTGGTAATAGAGTTGTAGATGAGTGGAACAAACTCCCGAGTACAGTTATTCAGGCTAAAACGTTGTGTAGTTTTAAAAATAGGTTAGATAAATACATGAGTGGGTGTGAGTTGGACCACTACCTTGTGCTGCTAGGTCTGGTGCAGTGCTCCATCCTTGAGTTTAGGGGACCAGACTGGGTGGGTCATTGGGCTAATCCGGGGGGGTGGGCCATTGGTCTTATCCGGGGGGAAGACATGGACCTGCTCTGCATGGGTCAGTAGGCCTGTTGCAGTGTTCCTTCTTTCCTATGTTCTTATGATGGTGAATGTTTCCTCTCTCTTTTGGATCACTCTACCTCAGTGGGAGATGGCCAGTGTTAAAAATAAACAAACTCTCCTAATACTTTTTTTAACATTCCATTGCAACAGGTTGGTGGAACAAACCTGGTATCTCACGCCCACTATGGTCCCGCTAATATGCAAGGTACGAGCCTGAGAGTAACGGCTGGACCATCCAACACGAGTGTGCTGGGTGCCAGTGGAATCAATGGACCTGGACAAGTGGGAGAAGTTCCTACTACTCAAGGCACTGTTCCTCTTCCATCTATGAAACCTAATGCATCTCCAAGACCATCCATTCTAAGAAAAAGACCAGATAATGATGGGTAAATAAACCTTTTCTTTAGGCTAAGTTTTAAATTACTGTATTTTATGGTGAACGAGACGCTCCAGTGTCAAGAACCTCCCCAATTCTGATTGGCAAAATTTTTGAAAAAAAAAAAAAAAAGATAAAAGGTACTTCACCCTCCAAGATGCTGGGTAAATCTTTGAGACCTGTTTTGGAAAAAATAGTGTCTTTGACACCGTAAAATACGGTACCCCGTACAGGAGGGCCCCGCTGATACAGCTCTAAATATGGCACCAGTCGGCTTTCCCTTACACAATTGTTGTATGACAATGGCAATAACAGTCGTGCAGCAGTAAAAGCACTGAATATAATGAACAGTGGCTCAATTGAAAGCCAACTAAAACATGGAACAGTGAAAATAGATGCTGTATACACAGGACCCTTCTGCATGTCTTCATTATTTATTTCCTGTATCCAGGACTGGAGTCCTTATTGTGGCAGGTACAGTGCCTGCCCTCTGAAGGAAGGGTGTGGGATAATGCAGTTCAGAGAGCCATTTGAATGTTGATGTATGTGCGCTTATGGCAAGACTGCTTTTAATGAATGATAGTAAATATGTGTTTTTTTTTGTCACCTTACCTTGGCAGGAGGTGGCTGATGAGGTAAAAAAAAAAAAGTAATACATCAATGCACTGCACAAAAACAAGAAGAGGTATATAGATTAAGATCCCCATTCCGTGGGGGATGTTACACGGCCCTGCCATGGATACCAAAACCACGAATAGTAGTGGACCCTATATATATGTCCTATACATACCTAATATAAAGTTAATTTGATAAATTATGCACACTAAGTGGAGAATTACCGCTTTTTTTTTTTTATCGATGGGAAGCACTTCACGGCTTCTCTTAGGCTTTGAAACACTTCTGCTATCACTACCTTTGCACTTTGAGGCCATTATTCAGTAAATTTAAGAGTTATTTTAGGGTCGTGGTAAACTGCGGATAATTGAAACCACGGATACCTGACTCGGGGGGGGGGGGATATGGAGGTCCTTCTGTACAGAGAAATAGCTTTGATCCCCCTCACACTTTCATTAATTTCATTGTTTGAATGTGCCATTTTATGGTGCACAGCATCTCGTACATGGCACTGCAAGGGGTGGTATTATTGGTTATAGTGCACAGCACTTCGTACACAGCACAGGAAGGGCAGTATTATTGGTTATGGTGCACAGCATCCTCGTACATGGCATTGCAAGGGGTGGTATTATTGGTTATAGTGCGCAGCACCTCGTACATAGCACAGGAAGGGCAGTATTATTGGTTATGGTGCACAACACCTCATACATATCACAGGAAGGGGCATCAGTCCTAGTTGATCAGAACTCCCAGGACTGAGGTGCCAGGTTCAGACAGGACCGTTATGGAACCAAATTGGAATAATTTAGGTTTAGGAAGGATATAGGGAAGTACGTACTAGTTTGACACTGCCAAGGAACATCATTGAAGCAGGCACTTTAGGTACCTTTAAAAGTAGGTTGTGTAGGTACACGAGTTGGAGTGGTAAGGTGCGATTGGGACCTACTTAGCACAGGCCAGTGCACCTACTGGAGAACTCTAGTTATGTTTTTATGTATAAGTACGTGGAGTCCATAACTATGTAAGCTGGAACTCGGCAGCAATTAGACAGACTGATCTGGAAAACAGAATGGAAGATATGTTTCTGAGTAAGAGATATTCCAGAATAAGTGCGCAGATAAGTGGTGTTTTGCTTAATAGAATTTAATTTCTTTTATCAAAACTTGAAAAGTTTCTAAATTGGCTCGGTTTTTTTTGCTATGGGCAAATGCTTTATAGTACGGCATTATTTTTTTACCTTGAAAATCGGTATGCATATAATTTTACCTTCAGGAACTTGAAAGTAAATATATGTAGTACACAAATCCTCACAAACTTTGGAATGTGTTAGATAACATTTTAGATAAAATGTTTAATTTTAGCTTTTTCTTCACAGAATTCCCTTAAAAGCCACCAAAAACCTGACTGCAGCACTCTCTCTACCAATGCCCTCTCCTCCATCTCCCAAGAGACCAGACTCACGGGGTAATGGCAATGCATCCTCAGGATCTACAACTATTTCTGCTAATTCTTCACCTGGTAAGCATTGACTAGTGTGTGTGTGTGTGTGTGTGTGCGTGTGTGCACGTGCATGTGCACAAAAAAAACCACCACATCTTGATTTTAGAGTTTATTTTGTCTGGTGTCGAGAGTTTTTCTGCCACTGCAGTCTGGCTTTAGTTCCAACCTCTCTGAAGAACGAAAGCAACATTTGATAATCTTTGAGGAAATGTTTTTTTAGCCAGTGACTTCTCTGTATTGGATTGAAGAAGTCGCTGGCTGGCAAAACATTTCCTCGTTAAAGATTCCCAAGTGTTGCACAAGTGTCTCATTCTTCAACTTGTTGGATTTTCTATACCATTTACATCACAGGCCTCTTTGTTGAGTGCTTGATCAACCAGGCTGTTGCTGTTAGCAAGCCAAGACTAACTGGCATACCTATCACTTGCAATGGTGGTAATCCAGTTTCCTCTTGTTTGCCTTGCTGACACTAACAGCACTCTTCTGTCATTTTAGAGATTATATCCATCCTTTCAACTGTTCTGTCAGCGCAATGGCCGTCTCCCACCAAGGCAGGGTGACCTAAAAAGAAAAACGAAAGCTTTTTCTCTTTACATGTAGTAATTTATGCAGGTGTTCTTTAATCTGCTAAAACTCTACCCATCTACTAGATGCCATCTTGAATTAATCCTGATACACAACATTACTAACATGAATCTTAGTCCCAGGTTTGTTTCCATAGATACCTGCTTTTCTCAGTATATCTCTCTCACCTTCAGAATACTGGGTACTGGACATGCTTTCTCCTCACCTTTTCTCTTCAACTTCAACTAATGTACTTTGATTAGGTTTCCCTCGCTTTATGTGAATCTGCTGTTACGTGATCTGATACATGAGACACTTCTGCAACATTTGGGTATCTTGATTCTGGAGAGGTTTTGCTAGCCACTGACTTCAGTCCAGGCTGAGGGACTGATTACCTCAAACTCCTCATCTTCCACCTTTCTCTGCACTGAACTGAAGAAGCCACTGGGTAGCAAAACATTTCCACAAAGAAGATACTCAAATGTTCCGCAAGTGTCTCATTTATCAACTTGTAAGTTTACTAAATCATTTATTCACGTGTGATATTCTATCTTCTGGTAATTAACTTTATGGCATGCCATTCATTGGATGCATTTGATATGGTTTGCAAAGTGTGTTGAAGATTCTGATTGACCTTAATACAACTGCTATTGTCCTGGAACACATGTATGGCATAAAATGAGGGACACCTGTAAATATAATCATAATATGACAGTAAATTAGTCACAGCTGCACAATTAAGACATAATAGAGGGTCAGAAATTTTGATGTGCACTGACTTCTGGCAAGACAGTGAGAGGTGACTAGGTCCACCTACCTTACTGCAGTAACTACTGCCAAGATGGTTAATACCAAAAAAAGGCACAATACCGTAACTGGAACGATACACAATTTTTTTTTTTTTTTTTTTTTTCCCCTCCAACAAGTCGGTTGTCTCCCACCGAGGCAAGGTGACCCAAAAAAAGAAAGAAAATCCCCAAAAAGAAAATACTTTCATCATCATTCAACACTTTCACCACACTCACACATAATCACTGTTTTTGCAGAGGTGCTCAGGATACAACAGTTTAGAAGCATACACGTATAAAGATACACAACATATCCCTCCAAACTGCCAATATCCCAAACCCCTCCATTAAAGTGCACGCATTGTACTTCCCATTTCCAGGACTCAAGTCCGACTATATGAAAATAACCGGTTTCCTTGAATCCCTTCACTAAATATTACCCTGCTCACACTCCAACAGATCGTCAGGTCCCAAGTACCATTCGCCTCCATTCACTCCTATCTAACACGCTCACAGCATGCTTGCTGGAAGTCCAAGCCCCTTGCCCACAAAACCTCCTTTAACCCCCTCTCTCCAACCCTTTCGAGGACGACCCCTACCTCGCCTTCCTTCCCCTATAGATTTATATGCTTTCCATGTCATTCTACTTTGATCCATTCTCTCTAAATGACCAAACCACCTCAACAACCCCTCTTCTGCCCTCTGACAATACTTTTATTAACTCCACACCTTTTCCTAATTTCCACACTCCGAATTTTCTGCATAATATTTACACCACACGTTGCCCTTAGACAGGACATCTCCACTGCCTCCAACCGTCCTCCTCGCTGCTGCATTTACCACCCAAGCTTCACACCCATATAAGAGTGTTGGTACTACTATACTTTCATACATTCCCTTCTTTGCCTCCATAGATAACGTTTTTTGACTCCACATATACCTCAATGCACCACTCACCTTTTTTCCCTCATCATTTCTATGATTAACCTCATCCTTCATAAATCCATCCGCCGACACGTCAACTCCCAAGTATCTGAAAACATTCACTTCTTCCATACTCCTCCTCCCCAATTTGATATCCAATTTTTCTTTATCTAAATCATTTGATACCCTCATCACCTTACTCTTTCCTATGTTCACTTTCAACTTTCTACCTTTACACACATTCCCAAACTCATCTACTAACCTTTGCAATTTTTCTTTAGAATCTCCCATAAGCACAGTATCATCAGCAAAAAGTAACTGTGTTAATTCCCATTTTGAATTTGATTCCCCATAATTTAATCCCACCCCTCTCCCGAACACCCTAGCATTTACTTCTTTTACAACCCCATCTATAAATATATTAAACAACCATGGTGACATTACACATCCCTGTCTGAGACCTACTTTTACCGGGAAGTAGTCTCCCTCTCTTCTACACACCCTAACCTGAGCCTCACTATCCTCATAAAAACTCTTTACAGCATTTAGTAACTTACCACCTATTCCATATACAGTGGACCCCCGCATAGCGAACTTAATCCGTGCAAGAGGGCTGGTCGTTATGCGAAATGTTCGCTATGCGAATTAATTTTCCCCATAAGAAATAATGGAAATAAAATTAATCCGTGCAAGACACCCAAAAGTATGAAAAAAAATTTTTTTTACCACAAAAAAATGTTAATTTTAGTACACACAAACTGAAAAAGGCATGCACAATTACATGACACTTACTTTTATTGAAGATCTGGTGATGATTGATGGGATGGGAGGGGGGAGAGAGAGTGTTAGTGTTTAGAAGGGGAATCCCCTTCCATTAGGACTTGAGGTAGCAAAGTCCTTTTCTGGGTTACTTCCCTTTTTTCTTTAATGCCACTAGGACCAGCTTCAGAGTCACTGGACTTCTTTCGCACAACAACTGTCCTAGTGGCCCTGTACTCTCGTTCCTTTATGATTGTCTAAAGTGGTTCACAACAGTGTCATTGTAACAGTCACCAGCACGGCTTGCCAATAGCTGTGTGAGGGTGATTTTCACAAAAAAGGTTTGCACTTCAAGCCATTTTGCACACATTTCCTTAATCTTTGAAGTAGGCAATTTCCTTCAATTCTCTCTCTCCCCTCCTTTGAACCAGTTTTCCCCAGGTCTGGCCCTCTTGCTCTTGAAGTTGATCTATCAGCTCATCATTGGTTAGTTTCTTCTTGTCCTCCCCACCAACTCTTCCACATCCTCCCCCACTAACCTCCAACCCCAAGGACTTCCCCAATTCCACAATTGATTCCTCAACTGGTAACAAATTTCCTCTCAGGGTTTAGCCTAAAACCCCTTCAAAATCCCTTTTGTCTACACATTCTGGCCACAGTTTTCTTCCAAGCAGAGTTCAAGGTTCTCTTAGTCACTCCCCCCCCAAGCCTTACCTAAAAGGTTTACACAATTGAGGATATTAAAGTGAACCTTCCAAAACTCTTTTAGAGTCAATCGAGTGTCTGTGGTCACTTCAAAGCACTTTGAAACAGAGCTTTGTGTACAGTTTCTTGAAGTTGGAAATGACCTGTTTGGTCCAGGGCCCCCCTGCAGGAGAGGAGTGGTATTAGGAGGCAAAAACTTCACCTTAATGAAGCTCATGTCCCCATAAAGTCGCTCTGGCCACGCCCTGTAGGATGACCGGGGGCATTGTCTAACACCAGGAGGCATTTAAAGGGTCTAATTTCTTTTCATTAGGTAATCTTTCACATTGGGGGCAAATGCATGGTGTAACCAGTTATAGAAAAATTCCCTAGGGGACCCAGGGGCCTTTACTGTTTGCCCTCCACAGCACACAAAAATTTATCCTTGAGGACATTCTTTTGCCTAAAACGCTCTGGGAGTTTCAGAGTGATACACTAATAAAGGCTTAACTTTGCAATCACCACTAGCATTGGCACACATTCAACAAAGTAAGCCTGTCTTTCATAGGCTTATGTCCTGGGAGTGCCTTTTCCTCCTGAGTAATGTAGGTCCTGCTTGGCATTTTCTTCCAGAACAGGCCTGTTTTCATCACAATAAAACACTTGTTCAGGTTCCAGTCCTTCAGTTTCTATGTACTCCTTGAATTCAGCACATATTTTCAGCCGTTTTGGGTGGTCCGAACTGGCAGCCTCACCATGCCGTATCACGCTATGGATGCCACTACGCTTCTTAAATCTCTAAAAACCAACCTTGCTGGCCTTAAAATCACTCACATCATCACTAGTTGCAGGCATTTTTTAATTAAATCGTCATGAAAATTTCCCTAGCCTTTCACAAAATGATCATTTGAGAGACGCTATCTCCTGCTAGCTGTTTTTCATTTATCCACACCAATAAGAGTCTCTCAAAAATCTTCCATCACTTGCGATCTTTGTTTCGAAAAACAGTTAAACCTTTGGCAACAACAGCTTCCTTGATTGCCGTTTTCCCCTTGCCCACAATAGAAGCGATGGTTGATTTTGGTTTCTTGTACAACCTACCAGGGCGGTGATACGTACTCCACTTTCATACTTATCAATGATCTCTTTCTTCATTTTCAATGGGTATCTTACCCTTTGAGGTGTAGGGTTTTGGGACTAGAAGCTTTCTTGGGCCCATGGTCACTTATTTTCCACAAACAGCACCGAAAACACTGTAATAATACGAAAATTTCCGAGTGTATGCTTGAATGTTACCGCAGAGGCTGGCTGGTAAACAATGGACGGGCGGCACATGTGAGGCTGGCTGAGGGCGCACATTGGACGCGTCTCGACGAAGGTCGCTGAGCGGTTTTTGTCCACTATTCGGGGCAAAATTTTAGGGGAACAAAGCGTTCGCTAAAGCGGATTTTTCGCTAATGCAAGGCGTTCGCTATGCGGGGTCCACTGTACTTGCAACATCTGCCACGTTTTCTCCCCAATCCACTCTATCATTGCCTTTTCTAAATCCATTTAAATGCAATAAAAACTTCCCTACCTTTATCTAAATACTGTTCACCATATATGCTTCAAAGTAAACACTTGATCTACACATCCCCTACCCACTCTGAAACCTCCTTTTCATCCGCAATCCTACATTCTGTCTTGCCTCTAATTCTTTCAATTATAACCCACCGTACACTTTTCCTGGTATACTCAAATAAACTTTATTCCTCTATAATTTTTACAATCTCTTTTGTCCCCTTTCCCTTTATATAAAGGGGCCCATACATGCTCTCCCGCCAATCCCTAGGTACCTTCCCCTCTTTCATACATTTATTAAACAAAAGTACCAACCACTCCAAAACTATATCCCCCCTGCTTTTAAACATTTCTGTCATATCCCATCAGTTCCAGCTGCTTTAACCCCCTTTCATTCTACGTAAATGCCTCGCGTACCTCCCCCACACTTACATTCTGCTCTTCCCTTTACTCCTAAAAGATGGTATAAACCCCCCTGACCAGTGCATGAAATTACTGCCTCCCTTTCTTCCTCAACATTTAAAAGTTCCTCAAAATATTCTCGCCATCTACCCAATACCTCCCTCTCCCCATCTACAACCTCCCCTACTCTGTTTTTAACTGACAAATCCATACTTTCCCTAGGCTTTCTTTAAATTGTTTAACTCCAAAAATTTTCTTATTTTCATTAAAATTTCTTGACAGTGCCTCTCCCACTCTATCATCTGCTCTCCTTTTGCACTCTCTCACCCCTCTTCACCCTTTTTTTTACTCTCCATATACTCTGCTCTTCTTATAACACTTCTGCTTTGTAAAAACCTCTCATAAGCTAACTTTTTTTCTTTTATCCACCCTTTACTTCATCATTCCACCAATCACTCCTCTTTTCCTCCTGCCCCCACCCTCCTATAACCACAAACTTCTGCCCCACATTCTAATACTGCATTTTTAAAACTATTCCAACCCTCTTCAACCCCCCCACTACTCATCTTTGCACTAGCCCACCTTTCTGCCAACAGACGCTTATATCTCCCCCGAACTTCCTCCTCCCTTAGTTTATACACTTTCACCTCCCTCTTACTTGTTGTTGCCCGCACATAAAACCCGCACATAAAAGAAAGAAGCTTACGACGACGTTTCGGTCCGACTTTGACCATTTACAAAGTCACACTAACCGTCCTGCTCCACTTCTGGTTAGTGTGACTTTGTAAATGGTCCAAATCAGACCGAAACGTCGTTGTAAGATGGTTAATGAGAGGTGACTAGGTCACCCTACCTTACTGTGGTAACTCCTGCCAAGATGGTTAATGAGAGGTGACTAGGTCACCCTACCTTACTGCAGTAACTACTGCCAAGATGGTTACTGAGAGGTGACTAGGTCACCCTACCTTGGGAAATGACTGTTATGGTGCAATTTAATTAAAAACTGCAAATTGGTAGTGTTAGTAGCATAACAAATTAAGACAGAAATTGGTGATGATAATAGTGAATTAGTAATGTTTTATTTTTGTTAAAAATACTGAACAGTCGTCATACACCGCAACCCTGCAGCCTTGTCATTTTGAGATTTTTTTTTATAATTAACACATTGGCCGTTTCCCACCAAGGCAGGGTGATCCGAAAGAGAAGAAACACTTTCATCACCATTCACTCCATCACTGTCTTGCCATAAGTGTTCTGACACTACAGTTCAAAATCTGTAAAAAAAATCTGCAAATTTATTTGTTTTCCATATTTCCTGTTGGCTTTGGTGTAATTGTTTCTTTTACTAACCTGTGCCTCTTATTAATTAGAACTTGATTGTTCCAATATGCATACAGGTGTTCCTTTCTGTATGATGTAGAGGCATTTCAAGCCTCTGGCAGCTGTACTAAACTTATTCATCAGCACTTGATTATCTGGTCATGGACAAAGCTGTGGGGGTGTTGGCCCCCCAGAACATCCGCCAGGTATACCTATACAAGGCTTCTTGACTTACAATAGCATTACGTCCCAACAAACTCATATGTCGAAAATACTATTGTAAGTCAAATATGGATATTTGATAAATAAATAAGTAAATATACAAATAATTACTGTAACTAAATACCAGTATTGAAAAGTACTAAATGAATACAAGTTAGGGACTTGATGCCTTCATGCTGGGTAATTGTCTTCAGTTTTATCTCCAAAATAATTGCTTTTGCACTATCGTAAAGTTGAAATATTGTAAGTCTAACCATCGTGAGTTGAGCACTTGTAATGAGAATCTTCAATATACAGAGTTGCATAAAGAAAGTTAGACCTGTACTGCACATGTGGAATTAAAAGTTACGTACATGAGGAACACTTGTGTAAGTGTTGTGTAAGTTTGTGATTTTAATACGTTTCATATATTTGGTATGTGTGTGTTCTTTATGTGTGATACTAACAGTCATTGTTCTTGTACTCTCAAGACTCTTCCTTATCAGGACTTCAAATAGAAGAGCTAGATGGTAACAGTGCACCAGGGGGTGGCAACGACACTCGTACTCCCCCGGGTATCAAACAGGAACCCCCGGATGACACTAGCCACGTGCTGCCCAGACCATCACTCTCCATCTCCACTACAGATATAAGTGGCAACTTGGCCACCACCACCACTCTAACAGTGCCTCAACCATCACTATCACTAACTGGCTTACAGGGGGCAGCTCAGATTTTAGCCGACGGACTGTCACCTAGAAAGAAGCCTAGGAAACAACAGCTGTGAGTTACCTAGGGATGTCATAATGTCTATTTTAACCTTTAGTGGAGGTGCACTGATGCTAGGAATGTGACCCAACCCTCCACTTTTGATCAAACCAATTGTCTCCAATTCCTTAGACACTGCATGACTCCTATAGGTGTAGCACTTACTCATAATTACAGAAGGGCCCTGCTTATACAGCAGGCTAGGTTCCAGGCTACTGCTGTAAAATGAAAATCGCTGCAATCTGAAAGCTTTTTTTTTTTCACTTTTTCATATGCATATAAAAGCCTGATAACATGTTTACAATATATATTAAGTGAGCAATAGAGCTAGGCCTTAAAAATGCTTATACAGTACACACATTACTTCTTCTTCTTTCAACAAACCGGCCGTATCCCACCGAGGTAGGGTGGCCCAAAAAGAAAAATAAAAGTTTCTCTTTTTAAATTTAGTAATTTATACATGAGAAGAGATTACTAGCCCCTTGCTCCCGGCATTTTAGTCGCCTCTTACAACACGCATGGCTTACGGAGGAAGAATTCTGTTCCACTTCCCCATGGAGATAAGAGGAAATAAACAAGAATAAGAACTAGAAAGAAAATAGCAGAAAACCCAGAGGGTTGTGTGTATATATATGCTTGTACATGTGTAGTGTGACCTAAGTGTAAGTAGAAGTAGCAAGACGTACCTGAAATCTTGCATGTTTATGAGACAGAAAAAAGGACACTAGCAGTCCAGCCATCATGTAAAACAATTCCACACATTACTTACCTTAAAATATTTTCATCCTTAGCTTATAGTGAGTAGGGAATATATTTGTAGGAAGTCTGAATAAATGAAGAATGAGTATAATTTAAATTATTATTATTATAATCAAAAAGAAGCGCTAAGCCACAAGGGCTATACAGCGGTATAATATAAAGCCACTGCATTAACAAAGTGCTTTAAAGCAGCGCCTGTCTGTATAGCATCAGTCACCTTTAACCCATTTCTTGTTGCATGTTGAAGTGTGAGTTTCAGGGCAGTTTTAGAGCTCTTAATAATAACTACTAATAGTATTTTTATTTAGCATTGGGAATTTGATTTTTTTCTTTTAAGATGAAATTTTTGAGGACTGAATTTTTAGCATTAGCATTTGTGTGTGAATGTGTGTGTACAAGTGTGTATATCTAGTGCTAGTGTTTATGTACGAGTGTGTATATCTAGTGCTAGTGTTTATGTACGAGTGTGTATATCTAGTGCTAGTGTTTATGTACGAGTGTGTATATCTAGTGCTAGTGTTTATGTACGAGTGTGTATATCTAGTGCTAGTGTTTATGTACGAGTGTGTATATCTAGTGCTAGTGTTTATGTACGAGTGTGTATATCTAGTGCTAGTGTTTATGTACGAGTGTGTATATCTAGTGCTAGTGTTTATGTACGAGTGTGTATATCTAGTGCTAGTGTTATGTACGAGTGTGTATATCTAGCTAGTGTTTATGTACAAGTGTGTATATCTAGTGCTAGTGTTTATGTACGAGTGTGTATATCTAGTGCTAGTGTTTATGTACAAGTGTGTTTTATCTAGTGCTAGTGTTTATGTACGAGTGTGTATATCTAGTGCTAGTGTTTGTGTACAAGTGTGTGTATCTAGTGCTAGTGTTTATGTACGAGTGTGTATATCTAGTGCTAGTGTTTGTGTACAAGTGTGTATATCTAGTGCTAGTGTTTATGTACGAGTGTGTATATCTAGTGCTAGTGTTTATGTACAAGTGTGTATATCTAGTGCTAGTGTTTGTGTACGAGTGTGTATATCTAGTGTTAGTGTGTATGAGGGTATGTACCTGGTGTCAGTGTATAATTGCACATACTTTTATTGGCAAGAGTGCTGAACAACTTCATACATCTTAAGATCTTTGGGCTGTGAGGGCATATACAGAAACTTTACTTTTTTTAGTGTGCCTAAGTGTGTACCTAATATTGTGTGCTTAACCCTTTGACTGTCGCAAGCCCCTTTCTGAAACTGTCATTCTATGTCGCAAAATTTTTGGAGAAAAAAAAATTATCTTGTGAAATGATAGAGAATCTTTTCCCGATGGTAATGTGATCGAAAACTCACGGAATTACGCTCCCGCGAAGTTAGCGGTCTCAGCAACACATACGCATCGGCAATTTCTCCAACTTTGAGCCTTGTTTTTGGCCAATTCCATTGTTCCAGTTGACCAAACTCATAGCTATTTCTTTAGAACTCAATTTTTTCTATCAGTTGAGTACAAGAAACTGCCCATTTACCAATTTGAACTACCCAGTAAAGTGGTCAGAAATTGGCAATTTGGCCAATTTCACACATTAAAAAAGATGCCAATTTCAAAATAGGGTCCAGAATAAACAATGTAGACATTCTTGGCACTAAAATAACATATCCTCTGTTCATTAGTCATGTCTCCAGGCCCCTCTTATATTACTATTGCTTTCTATTTTGATTTTTTATTCATACAAATAATACAAAATTTACTGTTATGCAGGCTAATGCATTATTGTAAAAATGGTATAAATAATATCAGTGCACTAGTGAAAGAATATTAGACTCCCCAGTTGACGTGTATTAGACGTGTGGTGTGATTTCCTTACTCCTGAACATTTGTAAAAATCGAACATTTCCGCTACTTTGAGCTCACTTTCAAGGTCATTTTCATCATGAAACTAATCAAAATCATTTCTATTTCTGTAATATGTTTCCCATTTTATCACGTGAGACCATGAAAACGAGAATACAACGATAAATACTACACGAAAATTCACCTCAAAGTCGGCGTTTTAATCCAAAAAACGGTCATTTTTTTTTTCTCATTATGCACTGCGTGCTGCAGGATTTTTTTTGTGGTGCACACTGACCACACAGACCCATTCTCTCACATATGGGCCTACCAGCTTTCTCCTGCTTGATTTGAAGCCGCTAGAATTTACGTGTATTAATACATCCGAAACAGTGGCGCGTAAGACATATATATTCGACCAAAACAGTCAAAGGGTTAAAAGTCCCAGGAGACAGAGCACTTCATACCTAGATGATGTAATGGGTATTTCCCAACACTAAAATGGGCATAGATGTCAGCCATAGTGGACTAGCAGGTATTGTCCCAAGACAGTCATATGCCACTCTTCTGGAAAGACTGTAATCCCATCTGGGCGATTATCCGGATTACCCTACTAACTTTCACAGTTGCTGTCTGGTTGAATCCTCTTATACAGAACTTTCCTTGTATGAATCTTAGTCCAGGCTTTGTCTCTGTAGATGCCTTCCTTTCCCATTACATTGTAAAATGCTCCAAACTTCAGAACACCCGTGACTTAACCTGATTCTTTTTTCTCCTCCCTCTTCCCTTTTCCTCTTTCTCCTTTGGGTTTTCTTTCTTCTGCCTTGGGTGTTTGGTCCATTATTATATATTTTCTCCTGCTGTGTTTTTGTTTCTACCCTTTGTGGGTCCCTAGCTCTTTCTATTGTTTCTTTTTCTTTGTTTTTGACTGACTCCACTACTATTACTACCTTTACCATTACCTCTCTTTTTACTTCTTTTCTACCCTTCTTGGCCTGTCCCTATCTGCTGGCCTATATATACTGCCTCCTTCTCTCCTTTCTGTTAGTGTGACTGTAAATGGTCCAAGTTGGACCAAAACGTCGTCGTAAGCTCCTCTCTCGTATATGAGGGTTATTTTTGTACAGGTGCTGTGTAAATAAGTACATCTTGCTTCCTTATTGTTGGGGGTTTAAACTTATTCACTTAGGTTATATGCTGGGTAATATTTTGTGACTGGATTCACAGAAACCAGTTAGCTGGACTTGAGTCCTGGAGGTGGGAAGTGCAGTGCCTGCACTCTAAAGGAGGGGTTTGAAATATTTTCTGTTTGGAGGGACATCTATACTGTCATATTTGCATGCCTCTGGCAAGACATTGATACTGTGAATAATGGTGAAAGTTTTTCTTTTTCAAGTCACCCTTCCTCAGCGGGAGATAGCTAGCATGTTAAAAAGTCATTCTGTATTCACCTTGAATTTTTTTTTACAGAATGGGTAATGAACTTCAGGAGGCTCGTTCCAGTGAGGATGACATGGATCATCCACCAGTCAAGAAAAATAAACGAGATTTAACTGAAGATAATCATGGTGTGTAACTGTTTAATGCATGATATGGTAATAGATCAATAATAAATAGCTTTAAGCAGTGTTTTGCCTGGTTAATACAGTAGATCGTCAGTTATTCAGGGTCCTCGGGGGTAAATTGGATTTTCAAAAACTGCTTGTTCATGGTATTTTTTATGGTACATTTATATGGCATATTACTTTTTCACATTATCTGTTTTGGTGCTTGATTGGACAAGACTTTCAGATAACATTGAATACCAAATATAACCAATCATAAAATAACAAATTTTTTCTTTGAGAGTAGTGATAATCTTAATCAAAAGCTCTGCAATCTCTTGTGATAATATTTAGACCATAATGTTTTTAAAAATTCATTTGTGAAGAAAATCCTGAAAGGGGCTTAATTAAGTTAGGGCTCAAACACTACTTGAATGAATTCCATTGTATGAACAGTAGTCTTTATTTACTTTCCAGAGGCTGGAAAAATTGCACAAATTAAGTCGTAACTCTCGACCCAGTAAGAGATTTTTCCTGAGATATTGCGAGACAAATTACAAGGTCACAGCTGTGTGGCATGCTATTATACCTTGCAATGTTGCAATTTTGTTTAGTGAACAGAGGATCAAACCTTCACCACTCCTTGTGCTGATTACCCCGTATGGGTTAATGCCTCGTAAGATACAATACAGCCTCTCCTTACTTAACGACAGAGTTCCGTTCCTAAGGCCACGTTGGTCAACGAATTTGTCGCTAAGCGAGGAGCACGCTATAAGGGTTTGTGTTAACCATCTCTGATATTGTTTTAATGTCAGTGGCTAACGCGACGGTCTGGAGTTTTGAGACTCTTTGACCGCGGGTTCAAATCCCGTCCGTGGTATGGTTTGTTTGCAATCGTGTCATTACGATTTCGTGAGTCACGTTTTAATGTCACCTTTGCATCATATATAACATTTCTGGTACATTTTTAAATGTTTATACAGTAGTGTACTATATATTGTAATAAACAGAATAGAGGAAATCAGCTCTAATATACATTATTTAGGTATGCATACTAGTCAGAGAGCCCGTCGTAAGCCAAGTCGCCGGTAAGCGAGTACATCGCTAAGTATATTCAGTGTGTATTCCATGTTGTAATTAGTGAATCTTTTTTTCCTTTTTTTTTTTTTTTTTTTTTTTAACAAACTGGCCGTATCATGAGACAAAAATGGACACCAGCAATCCTACCATTGTGTAAAACAATTACAGGCTTTCGTTTTACACTCACTTGGCAGGACGGTAGTACCTCCCTGGGTGGTTGCTGTTTACCAACCTACTACCTAAAAAGCTCCTTTATTAGTGAAATACCATGATATAGGGAGTTTAAATTATATGTACTAGTAGTTTCTTCAGCACTTCCTACACTTCTGCTTCTATCAACAGGTGTATGATTAAGGTCATCAGTATTTTAATATGCAATTACCTGTTTTTAATTGTGTTTGCAGGAGTGACAGGAACTCTACTGGCTTAACTTCCAGCCTGTAGAAATGATCTCTTTTTCAATCCCTGGCAGGAAAAGATGTCTCCTAGCTGATTAAATAGACATAGCAATAATGACTCTAGCTAGAATCAGGTAGGAAGGAAAGCAGGGTAAGGGTCATCCAAGGAAAAGTTGGAGGGAGGAGGGAAAGGAAGATTTGTGTGTGAGGGACTTAGCGTACATGAGTGTGTTAAGAAAGAGTGGAGGCAAATCGTTTTTATGAATTGAGCTGTCAGTGTGAGCAAGGTAATGTTTATGAAGGGATTCAAGGAAACCAGTTAGCCGGACTTGAGTCCTGGAGGTGGGAAGTACAGTGCCTGCACTCTGAAGGATTGGTGGAGAGATGTTTCAATTTTTGAACTATGGTATCTGCATGCCTCTGGCAAGACAGCAATGGAGTGAGTGATAATAAAATGGTTTCTTATTCTTTGGGTCACCTTGCCTTGATGGGAAATGGCCTTTGTGTTAAAAAAAAAAATGGTAAAATTAGTATTGCCATAGTTGTTTACTTCTGCTCAGGGTTTCAAAAAATAGATCATGGAAGTTAGTCCAGAGTTCCTTGTCTCTTCCCTGAAACAAATAATTACTGGTAAGTAATTACTTTCAAACCAGGGAACAGGTGAGGTTTGAATTAATGGCAAGTGAGTTGTAAAACTTGAAAGGTGAGAGTGTTAACCACTGGCTGTGGTTAACACACTTGTAAAACTTGAAAGGTGAGAGTTAACCACTGGCTGTGGTTAACACACTTGTAAAACTTGAAAGGTGAGAGTGTTAACCACTGGCTGTGGTTTAAACACACTTGTAAAACTTTGAAAGGTGAGAGTGTTAACCACTGGCTAGTGGTTAACACACTTGTAAAACTTGAAAGGTGAGAGTGTTAACCACTGGCTGTGGTTAACACACTTGTAAAACTTGAAAGGTGAGAGTGTTAACCACTGGCTGTGGTTAACACACTTGTAAAACTTGAAAGGTGAGAGTGTTAACACTGGCTTGTGGTTTAACACTTGTAAAACTTAAAAGGGTGAGAGTTAACCACTGGCTGTGGTTAACACACTTGTAAAACTTGAAAGGTGAGAGTGTTAACCACTGGCTGTGGTTAACACACTTGTAAAACTTGAAAGGTGAGAGTGTTAACCACTGGCTGTGGTTAACACACTTGTAAAACTTGAAAGGTGAGAGTTAACCACTGGCTGTGGTAACACATTGTAAAACTTGAAAGGTGAGAGTGTTAACACTGGCTGTGGTTAACACACTTGTAAAACTTGAAAGGTGAGAGTGTTAACCACGCTGTGGTTAACACACTTGTAAAACTTGAAAGGTGAGAGTTAACCACTGGCTGTGGTTAACACACTTGTAAAACTTGAAAGGTGAGAGTGTTAACCACTGGGTGGTTAACACACTTGTAAAACTATGAAAGGTGAGAGTGTTAACCACTGGCTGTGGTTAACACACTTGTAAAACTTGAAAGGTGAGTGTGTTAACCATGGCTGTGGTTAACACACTTGTAAAACTTGAAAGGTGAGTGTGTTAACACTGGCTTGGTTAACACACTTGTAAAACTTGAAAGGTGGTTGTTAACCACTGGCTGTGGTTAACACACTTGTTAAAACTGAAAGGGATGTAACCACTGGCTGTGGTTAACACACTTGTAAAAACTTGAAAGGTGAGTGTGTTAACCACTGCTGTGGTTAACACACTTGTAAAACTTGAAAGGTGAAGTGTGTTAACCACTGGCTGTGGTTAACACACTTGTAAAAATTGAAAGGTGAGTGTGTTAACCACGGCTGTGGTTAACACACTTGTAAAACTTGAAAGGTGAGTGTGTTAACCACTGGCTGTGGTTAACACACTTGTAAAACTTGAAAGGTGAGTGTGTTAACCACTGGCTGTGGTTAACACACTTGTAAAACTTGAAAGGTGAGTGTGTTAACCACTGGCTGTGGTTAACACACTTGTAAAACTTGAAAGGTGAGTGTGTTAACCACTGGCTGTGGTTAACACACTTGTAAAACTTGAAAGGTGAGTGTGTTAACCACTGGCTGTGGTTAACACACTTGTAAAACTTGAAAGGTGAGTGTGTTAACCACTGGCTGTGGTTAACACACTTGTAAAACTTGAAAGGTGAGTGTGTTAACCACTGGCTGTGGTTAACACACTTGTAAAACTTGAAAGGTGAGTGTGTTAACCACTGGCTGTGGTTAACACACTTGTAAAACTTGAAAGGTGAGAGTGTTAACCACTGGCTGTGGTTAACACACTTGTAAAACTTGAAAGGTGAGAGTGTTAACCACTGGCTGTGGTTAACACACTTGTAAAACTTGAAAGGTGAGTGTGTTAACCACTGGCTGTGGTTAACACACTTGTAAAACTTGAAAGGTGAGAGTGTTAACCACTGGCTGTGGTTAACACACTTGTAAAACTTGAAAGGTGAGTGTGTTAACCACTGGCTGTGGTTAACACACTTGTAAAACTTGAAAGGTGAGTGTGTTAACCACTGGCTGTGGTTAACACACTTGTAAAACTTGAAAGGTGAGAGTGTTAACCACTGGCTGTGGTTAACACACTTGTAAAACTTGAAAGGTGAGTGTGTTAACCACTGGCTGTGGTTAACACACTTGTAAAACTTGAAAGGTGAGAGTGTTAACCACTGGCTGTGGTTAACACACTTGTAAAACTTGAAAGGTGAGAGTGTTAACCACTGGCTGTGGTTAACACACTTGTAAAACTTGAAAGGTGAGAGTGTTAACCACTGGCTGTGGTTAACACACTTGTAAAACTTGAAAGGTGAGAGTATTAACCACTGGCTGTGGTTAACACACTTGTAAAACTTGAAAGGTGAGAGTGTTAACCACTGGCTGTGGTTAACACACTTGTAAAACTTGAAAGGTGAGAGTGTTAACCACTGGCTCGGTTAACACACTTGTAAAACTTGAAAGGTGAGAGTGTTAACCACTGGCTGTGGTTAACACACTTGTAAAACTTGAAAGGTGAGAGTGTTAACCACTGGCTGTGGTTAACACACTTGTAAAACTTGAAAGGTGAGAGTGTTAACCACTGGCTGTGGTTAACACACTTGTAAAACTTGAAAGGTGAGAGTGTTAACCACTGGCTGTGGTTAACACACTTGTAAAACTTGAAAGGTGAGTGTGTTAACCACTGGCTGTGGTTAACACACTTGTAAAACTTGAAAGGTGAGAGTGTTAACCACTGGCTGTGGTTAACACACTTGTAAAACTTGAAAGGTGAGAGTGTTAACCACTGGCTGTGGTTAACACACTTGTAAAACTTGAAAGGTGAGTGTGTTAACCACTGGCTGTGGTTAACACACTTGTAAAACTTGAAAGGTGAGTGTTAACCACTGGCTGTGGTTAACACACTTGTAAAACTTGAAAGGTGAGTGTTAACCACTGGCTGTGGTTAACACACTTGTAAAACTTGAAAGGTGAGTGTGTTAACCACGCTGTGGTTAACACTCTGACCTGGAGTTTTAGGACATAATTTCCATGGGTTCAAACTCCACCAATTCTGTGGTTTGCATTTATGTTATGATTTCATGAGTTATATACTTTCAGTGTATAACATCAATACCTAACTCATGTGCTCTATCTATTCTGGGAGAGAGAGGGGCTGTGTTCCTAATCCATTTTATGCCGAGAAGGTCATGTTTTTGAGGTTAAAACTCTGAGAGGGATGCCATGATGCTGGTGAATGGATCTTGATTCAGGGAACTGGAGCTGCCCTTCACCTCCTCAAATTCATATGTATTTCCCAGGTGCTGTATGACACTTGTGGGTTTAGTGCTACCTCATGACCAAAAATCCATTTTTCAGATTTGGAAGGAAGTGATGAGGAAGGTGGTGGTGGTTGGTCTGAGCCAGGTGGTGGTAGCAGTGGTGGTAGTTGTGGTGGAGGAGGCAGTGGTGGCAATGCACTCAGTGCCACCGTTGTCCTCACCAACCGTCCGACAATGTCGCTCTTGAGCACTTTCCGGCAAACGTGGAAACCCAGGCACAACCACTTTGTTAGACACACTGATGTTAAACCTAAAGATGAGAAGAGGATGACAGTTAATGAAATTGCAAACCAGAAGATGGCTCTTCAGAGAGTGAATGGATGGAAGGTAAGACATTATGTATAGTAGTTATGTAAGAAGGCCGGACTTGAGTCTTGGAGATGGGACGTATAGTGTCTCCACTCTGAAGGAGGGGTATTAATATTGCCATTTTATAACTGTAGTGTAAGTGTGCCTCTGGCAAGACAGTGATGGAGTGAATGATGAAAGTTTTTCTTTTTTGGGCCACCCTGCCTTGGTGGGAAACTGCCTATGTGTTAATAAAAAAAAAAAACTAAAAAAAGTTATGTAAGAAGATACAGCAGTATTGTAGTAGGCTCGTAGTCAGCCACTGGTTAGGGAGGTACTGGTGTTCCATTGTGGTGGATGGGTTGCAGGCCTATTTCACTTGTACTCATTTCATTCAGGTCATCAGCACTTTATTTTGCATAGTGAGAATTTTCAGTACGTTATATAAACCACATTACCTCCCTAAAAGTACTGTTACAGTAGGTTAACTTGACCTAAGATTCACTCTTCTTGGGGGAGCCAGCAGATAACTTCTTGAGCACCTTGACTGAGTCTTGGTCTTGTTCCAACTAGACTATGGGAGCTGGTATTTATGTTTCTGCAGCTGTTCTTTCTGAGGCTCACTGTTTATTCATTATAGAAGATATTATTTGGAATTAAAGCTCCAGAGGGTTAATAGCCCAGAAAAACCCAAGAAAGCAGGTGACCTAAAAAGGAAAACAAAAGTTCTCCTTTTTAAATTTAGTAATGTATACAGGAGGGGTTACTAGTCCCTTGCTCCTGACATTTTAGCTGCCATTTGTGACATGCATGGCTTGTGGAGGAAGAATTCTTTTCCACTTTCCCATGGAGATAGAAAATAAAGAAAGAAGAGCTATTGAGAAAATAGAAGAAAACCCAGGTGGGTGTGTAAATACATATCCATGCACAGTACATGCATGTGTAGTGTGACCTAAGTGCAAGTAGAAGTAGCAAGACGTACTTGGTATCCCACGTGTTTATGACTGGAAAAAGAAAAACGCCAGGAATTCTACCATTATGTAAAACAATTACAGGTTTCCATTGGCAGGATGGTAGTACCTCCCTGGGTTGTTGCTGTCTACCAACCTAGGAAGAAAGCTAAATAGTTTGGAATATTTCAGTTGTGATTTTTTTTAATGTATCTTCATGCTACAACCCACAGTAGTCTACTAACTCTCAGGTACCTAATTACTAGGTACCTAAGTAGCCATCTCTATATTATCCAATCTGCTTAATACATGTATTAGATAATCCACGAACATGGAAGCCCTTTAATTCGTAGAGAATTAAAGGGCTTCTATGTATTTAAGCTTAATGGTTGGTTAGAGCTTTGTATCCATTATGTTACAATGTGACAGCTTTTAATCTTGGTTTGACAGATCGTTCACTTATCAGGACAAGTAGATGATCTGGTGGAACTTGAAGCTGAAGTAGTTGATCGCCTTCACATGCTCCTCGGCTCATTAGAGAAGAGAACTCATCCACGAAAACCATACAAGGTATAAATAACTACATTTTGTTTTCTCCTAAGACACTTGAACTTTAGTTATATGTATAACCATAATTTTTCCCTAAATTACAGTAACTTTTGTACAAAACTTTGGGGTAATAGGGATGACTATCAGAATCATCTAATTTGTGGGAAAGTTCCCTTTATGGGGATGGGTGCCTTGATGCTAGTAAAAGTGCTTTTGATCTAAGGAATTGGAGCTACTCTCCCCTTCAGATTAAACCTAATAACCACCTATTCCCTAGGTGAACTGTGACCACTACAAGTTTAGCAATTCTTTACAAATATAATTGAGGACTGAGGCTTATAATGCTCTGAAGAATAATACCGAAGTCAAGCTAAGATTTCAGAAGGGACGAGCATAAAAATTTTATAAGATAGTAATTAAATGAGCAGTGATGTTACCTTTGGGGTCTCCCTTATATAAGACTATCTGGTTGGGGAAATAATTCTTCAGAGGCGAGCCTTGGGTTTATTGTAGAAACAAGTACAGGCTGTGTGTTGTAATGCTAGGCCAGCCGGCCTGATGATGATTATTATTATCGTGGGGGAGTGCTAAACCCATGAGGATTATACAGCGCTTGAGGGGGGGGGAACTCAAGGTAGAACTGGGCCCACCCAGATGGCAGCACAAGGCCTATGCTGCGTGGCATGAAATATGCAGCCAAACAGCTCTTACACCCTACCTTGGAGGGAGTAATATCTGCTTTGCATGGGGAGGCGAGTTCCAGCTCCTGGTTATATTTTAACTTTCAACTTATTGATGTGACTGAGCCAGGATGTTGTACAGTATATTTTTGAACCTCCCTGTATGGAGTGCACTTCCTGATGGTGCTCTCTATTTGGATTTATAATTTCAACTATTTCTTCATGTGCATTGAACTTGATTTTATATAGATTTTTTTTGTATTCTTTTCACATTTTAACCCATAATTTCTCCAGTGTGAAAATTACTTACTCATTTTTTCAAAAATCATTTACAAAATTTACACTGCTGATTCTGCAGTTTATTAGGTTATTTCCTGATCTGTTCATATGTACGTATATTTTTTTCAGGATTTTGAGAAAGATGTTAACAGATTGTCTGAGCTTGTAAAGGCCAACATTCAACGCTCAAAAATCATTAAGGACCAGATGTCTGAAGCAAGATCACAGATGAACAAACTGTTCGACCATAAAGGCAAGATTGTCGATATTATGACTAAATATAGCAGTAAGAGGAGTGTCCGGAAGAAAGAAAAGAGTTAATTTGTATTGTGTGTTGACGACGTTACTTGAAGTTTGGTATGTATTGTTATAAAAGTATTTTTCTTTCTTAAACAGTCAACTATATTAACACTTAACAGTACACCATGATCAGAATAAAATAGGAAAGTTCATTTTGATGTGCTATACCTGTGACAGACATGTCTTAGAGACATCAGAACAGTACAGGGAGAAGGTTGCAACTTGCTAACACCCATACTTTTGAACATGATTAAAAAATATTTAATATATAGTCATTCTGGGACTGCCAGTGTGCAGTAATGAACAAGTGGTGCATCCATTATTTGTACAGTAATTTTCCTTTGGAAAATGGGATCTGATTTATGAAAAACTTATTTGTAACTTGTATCATCAGGAATGTGACATGATGATTACCTGAAACCAAGAACCCAATTCATTCTTAGGTTAGAACACCAGTGCAACGTGTTCATGTACTGGAACACCAGGAACGTAATTCATTCATGTGGTAAAACACTAGAAGTGCAACTTGTATATTGGGCATCTCATTAATTATGTAAAAGTTAACCCATTACTCTTAGATTACCTTTACTAGATTAGATATAAGCATCCAGATGTTCACTCGGCAGGTCCTCAGCTTACAAAAAGCGTGCTCCTGATTTTTCAACTTGAAACATGTTTGTGTAGAAAATAACTGTACAGAGAATGTTTCACACATTTCTACTGTAGCTTGGCAGTTAAAAAACTTGAATTGGTCACTAAGTGCTGTATTTATGAGTGTGGATGTTTGTAATTTGAGGTGTTTATAACCTAGAGACCTGTATGGCCAATGCCAAGTATTTATTTACTTTGTGGTAAGATAGTTATGTTAATTTTTCAAATTACTGAACTTCAGAACCCTCTTATATTGTATCGTTTAGAGACATGTATAAATATAGTTTTTATATGTCATGCATTTTAATCAGTCAAACAAGCTGAACTGCCCAAAAATAGATTTTTGGAAAATTTATTTTGTGTATCGATATATTTTTGTGAGTAAACATTGTATACAACTTTAATTAGCCTTGCCTAAAGTACCTGTAATATAGTTTGTTATTCAACCTATTTTAGGGCAGCTTCAATTTAATATTTAACGTAAATAGGTTTGTGATTATGCAGAAATGCAGTAAAGAATTGGTTTGTTTAGCAAAGCAACTGTTGCTCTATAAGCCAAGTCTGCAAGCTCTTCCTTAAGGTTTGGCTTACAGAAGTTCCTGGTTAGTGCTCACAGTTGGTTCTGTTAAGTGAAAGAAAATGAGAATTATCCCATAGATGTAAAATTCACAAATGGCCTTCATAGATCTTAGACTCAGAAAATGTGATGCAAAAAAAAAAATAATTGACGCTGTTTTTTAATTTACATTCAGTTAACAATGTTAATGTATAAAATTGCATGTGGAGTGCAAGACCTGGCTGGGCAGTGAGATGTGCATGTCCAACACAAGCATACGTATGTATACACTTCTCACAACGTGTTTCAACTCCACCAGAACATTTAAAATTAGGAATTAAAGTTTAATAGTGTAAACACTACGTAAAGAACATAATGAGAACTATCTTGTTAAAAATATGTAACAAGCCACAAAGTACGGCATCTTGTAGATGCAGATGCCATTGGCCATTTTCTAATTGAGAACAGGTTGTAGTAATCCTCCAAAATAACTGTTTTAATAGTAATTTTTAAGCATTTTTATTTTCTCATAAGTTATCTTTTTGTTAATGTTTTGGTGTTATTTATTATTAGTATTATTGAACAGATTAAGTGGCCAAAGGCTACCTCTTCCAACTCAAGTACAAGTTTCTTTTTATATTGTACATAAACTATTGTTTGCAGTGCAAACCTGTAGCTTCAAGCTTGCGTATCTGGGCATGTGTAGTTCATGTTCTTAATGTAAGAACTTAGTGTTCTCAGTTGGCTTATGTTTTTAAAGTTTGATATTTGGGAACTGTTATATATGCAAAAACTTTTTGCTTGATAGAAGGGAAGAAAACCTTAGTAAGAGAAATTGTAAAAAACTAATTCAAAACTAACCCATTTAAGGCTTCCTGGTCCCATCAGGGTATATCCTGACATTTAAAGAATAAAGGCACAATACTGTGACTGGAACAGTACACAAATAATGCGCACATAGAAGTTATTTGTGTACTGACATTTAATTCCAAGTAATATTGTGAAAAGGTATTGTATTTGTCTAAGCAAGAATGAGATAGAATATTGCCAACAAGTATGAAGACAAAATTGCAGAACAAGCTTTTATTGAGACAGTGTTTTGTCTTGTACATGTTACAAATTGCACACACAAAAGGTGTTGCCTGCATACACTTGGCAAATGATAATTTTAAATGTCTTGTATGGCTGCTGTGTAGGTGTCCAAATCCCAGGCAAACGTTGGTTGCAAGCTTGGTTGAAAAGGCCAGTCTGCAGGTGTTGGCTGTCTGATAGAATTTTGTGCTCAAACAATAAGAGCTATTAAGGCTGAGAATGTTAATTTTTAAGAAAAAATTACTGTTAATCTTTCCACCACTATACTGAGAAGCAAAATGAAAATGAATTCCTGGAAGAGAACGTGTTTTTGGCAAGGGTGGCATTTACCAAGTTTGTGCAGCGAATGACATGTATATTCTTGGAGAGTAAGGTGGAAGGAGGTTAGTAGAGGTGAGGTATCTTGTAGACATTGGTCTCCTGAGCCTTAATGATTAAAATGTAACAAATCAGCGAGGACAAATGCAATGGTTTAACTGGCCAGTACATCTTTGTCCCCTAATCAAATGTTGATAACTGTCTACATAATGTGTGATTTTATTCAGTGTAATTTCATATACTAAGTGCTGCTTTTCAATGTCTGGTCCTGTTTATTTCCTGGAGTTTGGTTCTTTAGCATACAATAAGGTGTGACTGTCTTGGCATGACAAGGTGCCAAACTCATCATGGAGCTTCACCCCAGGATAGGCTGTGGAGTCCTCAGTCACAGCTATATCATAAGTAAGGAAAGGGACAAGTCCAGATGTTGAGAAGCACCAATCATTGATACACAGAATGCCATTAAACAAAACTAAAGTGCTTTTAGCTTGGCAAAACCTCTGGCACACATTACATACAGTTCAGTGACCATTATTATTATAAGCAAGGGGAAAGTGCTAAACCCATAGGATTATACAGCACCTGTGGGGGGGTGGAAGGTATTCAGGCTCAATTCAGGGAACTGAAGCACAGATCCAATTCCCTAGATCAAGAGCCCCTTGCCAGCATCATGGAACCTCCCTTGAGGGGATCAGTGACCTCCCTTCAAGGGAGGTTCCTTGACATTGGCAAGGGGCTCTTGATCTAGGGAATTGGATCGGTGCTCCATTCCCCCCCTCCCCCCCACCATATGCACTGTATAATCCTATGGGTTTAGCACTCTCCTGTGATAAGTGACCAATAGACCTGCAACCTTGCTCCTCTGACTTCTGATTTTTTACACTTTAAGGCTTCCAGCTCTGGCAAGTACAACTCTACTCACCTGCTCTGACCTTGCATTCCCATATATACGAGGTTCTATCAATTAGTTCCCATACTTGTACATGTATTTGTGGTGGCACAGAGCATTCTGTGCAGAGAACTCCTATGTAAAGGCAAATTTGTGTGGTCAGATAGACATTTCTTATCATATCTTTTATTTTTAACAGTTTTTACAAGAAAGAACACTGCATGTGTGTGAAATTCCGTTTTAAATTCAGTAAAACTGCTACTGTAACTCAGTGCTGGATAAAATGCTTTGCATGTTTTTTTTAGATTATGTATTAAAATTAAAACCAAATGCTAAACCCACAAGGGTTCAGTGTAGGGCAAACTTTAGTTGATAAATGCTTTGGTCAGCCATCAAGATAAGATGTCAGCATTGAAAAAGAAAGGAAGGCTATTTATGAAGATTATAAGAATATTTAGGACATTGCAAGTGATGTAGGAATTTTTTATGGGTCATGTCAAAAAGTATTTTGACTGGAAATTTGTGGCGAGTGACTGAGAAATTCGTGCCCCACTTGCTGACTCAAGACCAGAACAACAATCGTTTTCTAGCCAAAAACACTTCAGTCATCCCCCACCCTCCCTGATTCCCAGAAATAAAAATGGTACGGGGGGGCAGCGTTTTAATGAAGTACAAGCAGAATCTCAGGCTGTGCTAGATGCTGTTTGGAAAGAAAAGTTTAAAGAAGTGACAGTGGCACTAGTATTGTATAGCCTACCAAGGAGAGTACTTCAACTAGGATTAGGCAAGTCTGTGCATTTCTCTTGCAGCAGTCTAGGCTCTTTTTGATAGCACCTCGTATATCTTCCAATATGTGTGTGTGTTAACTTGTAACTTATGTTCAACTTAATTGAGCTCTTCCCATAGCAAAACAGTCTCTATAAAAGCTTGTCTGTCTTGATGATTAAGCAAGCTAGACATAGGGTGTTAATCTTACTTTTTAGCATTAGCTCTGAACCATGTACATGTGTAAATGTTACCAACTGAGCTAAATATATTGAAGATTTTGCCCATGAGATGTCATTGTACTAAAGTATTAGTCACTGTCATGGCTGCAACAATTCACTCTTAACCCACATGGTCTGTGCTGGAGCCTAATTAAGCCATGTCTTGTGGTCCAAGACAGACTGAAGTGTTGCCTGAAGCTTCCTCTCAAAATTGTGGACTAATTGTTAAATGACAAATACTCTGAGTGATTGCCTATTCAAGTTTGCAGGGAGCAAGTTCCAGCTCTTGTGTATATATATGCAAGAAAAACCTAGTGCACATCAGTGTATAGTTGTATATGTTTTAAGTATACATGTTTATATATACATGTGTATGTAATAGTACATACAGTATCTGTACATATGTATATATATAAGTGAAAAATTCACAAAACTGACATATAAACATTGCTGCATGTAATGTATATACATACACCTTTTTTTGTATATATTTCTCCAGAATTTTATAAGAAAAATGCCTCAGACCTTCCATATATCTACAAGGCAAATCTATTGTAGACTATAAATTTGTAAATAAAATGGCTGTAAAACCACAAAAATTGTACAAATATATAATAGCAATATAATAAACTACAGTCCTTTAATGTGTTTTCTCTTAAAAAACCATCTTGTATTCCTTTCAAAGCAATGAATAGGGTATCTAATGGCTGACAGGCCTCTTATAATGAAGTGCCACTACTTGTCATCTATTTCCATAATTTAACATTGTGAAATTTACTGTGTTGTATCTTGTGATAATCATCCTGGGGGGGGGGGGGGGGCTGAAATTTTAGCAAGCACAAGACGAGCCAGGTTGTGGGAGTAGGAAAACTTTCAGAACTCGTCAGTCATACAGTGCCTACAGGAAAGGAGATAATCAGAATCAAGATCTCCTTACTTATTTAGGATTTAAATCTGAGGTAAGGAGATATTTTGAGGTATTTAGGCAAGAGAAATCTTGGGGGAGGTGGACATGAGAGACTGGTACATGTGTGTGGCCAGCGGTTACAGCCTGGTTAATTAGGCCCTGATCTACCATAAGGACTGGTCTGTGCCACGGACATTCACCCCAGGAACACCCTCCAGGTAGGTAAGTTTGGAGTGTCAATGTAAAGGAAACTGGGGCCCTTTAATTATATAGGAAGATAATAGTGTACTTATTTTAAGAAAAGGAAGGGGGGATAAATATTGATGAAGAGGGAAAAGTTGAGTGGTGCATTGAGGTATCTGTGGAGACAAAGAATGTTGCCCATGAAGGAAAAAGGGATAATGTACGAGTGTATAGTGTTATAACGCTTATGTAGGTGTGAAGCATGTATTTTAAATGTTGCATAAAGGAAGCAGTAGAGATTTTGTATCTGAAGGCAATATGTGGAGTGAATATTATATAGAGAATCATAGTTTGGAGAGGAAGTATGTTGTCACAATGTATTATCCAGAGGGCTGAGGGGGGGCTATTGAAGTAGTTTGGACATTTTGAGAGGATGGAGCAAAACAGGTTCACTTAGAGGGTGCATAAATCCGTAGTGGAAAGAAGGCATTTACCTGGAGAGAGTTTCGGGGGTCAACGCCCCCGCGGCCCGGTCTGTGACCAGGCCTGGCATGGTTAGGGTTGTCATAGGAAAGGTTTTGTATGGAAGGAGTTGATCAAACAGGCATGTTTATGAACATATTAGATTGGAGTGGAGCCAAGTGGTTTTTATGACTTGAGCTGCTGGAGTATGAACAAGGTAACATTTTGTGATTAAAGAAACCAGTTAGTCGGACTTAAAGTTCTGGAGGTGGAAAGTACATGCCTGTACCCTGAAGGTGGGGATGTTGCTGTTTGGAATGGTATCTGAGCTGTAATGTCAGTGCACCTCTGGCAAGATATGAGTATTTTATTTAGGGTCACCCTACCTTAGTAGGAGACAGCTGGTGTGTGTGAAAAATCAAGTACAAGAGGTGTATAGGGTATAATGATAACAGAGTTTGTCCTAGTAGATAAAAGAATCAGTAGAATTATGGGATGTGCATGTTTTTTGGGGCTACAGTAAGAGGTAGATGGAATAAGAGGAGACCCATCAGTGGGTAAAAGTGAAGTGAATGAGCTAGAGGAGACTAATACAGAGATTTAAGCAATTATTGGGAAAAAGGTGGGTGAGAGATTATACAAGAAATAAGGTGCAAGGTAAATTTTGGAATGCAGTGCTAGTGCACAGCATAAGTTTGTGGATATAAGAATAGGTGTGAATGGGAAAAGGCAGAAAGGTGGTATATGAGAGACTTACATTACCAAAATGACAGACTTAAGGTAATGCGAGAAGGAAGATGGGGGTTAAGAGTACAAGAAAGTCTATATCTACAAATTTTGCCAAGAATAAAATGGTTTTGGAGTGAGATCAATAGTCAGGAAGCATGGCGAGCAAATAACTTGAGGAGGAAATGAAGACATTCACAATAGGTCCACTTTCCCTACCAGGTTTTGCTATACAATTCATGTTATTGAACAACAAATCCTCAGGGGTCATACAATACATATATCCAATATTTTCCAGCTTACCACTGCACAATAAATGCAATAATATACTGTATGATTAATATTGCAAGTACATTAATAGGTTCAAGTCAACATTAAAATACCTCCAATCATTTCTACAATGTAAACTCTTAATTATAATAACTACACTAGTAGTAGGCTAACCTAATATCTGTTACTGTAAACTTATTATCTGACATTTACAAGTGTAAACAAATGGTGTCCTGCTTTCCGGCAGTAGCCTGGAACCTAACCTGCCGTACAAGTGGGGCCCTACTGTACTTGTTAGAAAATGTTTCAGTCCTGGGACCTTAATCAAGGTCCCAGGACCGAAATGTTTTCAAATAAATATGTCCCAGTGTTTGTTCATGTGTCTAAACCAATTTATTGGTACAGTGGACCCCCACATACCGTACGCATCGCATACCGTTCAATCTGCATACCGCTCACTTTTATCGCAAAAATTTTGCCTCGCATACCGCCCAAAAACCCGCTCACCGCTCTTCGTCCAAGACTCGTCCAATGTGCGGCCTGAGCCACGCTCACATGTTCCGCCGGTGGCATTGTTTACCAGCCAGCCTCCACGGTAACATCCAAGCATACAATCGGAACATTTCGTATTATTACAGTGTTTTTGGTGATTTTTTTCTGGAAAATAAGTGACCATGGGCCCCAAGAAAGCTTCTAGTGCCAACCCTACAGCAATAAGGGTGAGAATTACTATAGAGATGAAGAAAAAGATCATTGATAAGTATGAAAGTGGAGTGCGTGTCTCCGAGCTGGCCAGGTTGTATAATAAACCCCAATCAACCATCGCTACTATTGGTGGTACAGCTGCTGCTGCACTGTCAGCTGCTGCTGCTGTTATACCACCATCAGCTGCTGCTGCTGTTATACCACCATCAGCTGCTGCTGCTGCTGTAGCACTGTCAGCTGCTGCTGCTGCTGCTGTAGCACTGTCAGCTGCTGCTGCTGCTGCTGTACCACCATCAGCTGCTGCTGCTGTAGTACCGTCTGCTGCTGCTGTAGCACCGTTGTTGGTGTGGCTTATTGAGAATACCAAGAAACAATTAACCCCAGAGGATTTGCCACCCAGGATAACCCAAAAAAGTCAGTGTCATCGAAGACTGTCCAACTTATTTCCATTGGGGTCCTTAATCTTGTCTCCCAGGATGCAACCCACACCAGTCAACTAACACCCAGGTGAACAGGGAAAAATGCCTGGAACTAGTGCTCATATTGGTGAATTTAAAGCCAGCAAAGGTTGGTTTGAGAGATTTAAGAATCGTAGTGGCATACACAGTGTGATAAGGCCTGTTCTGGAAGAAAATACCAAACAGGACCTACAGTACTCAGGAGGAAAAGGAACTCCCAGGACACAGTGTCTCATCAGTCATTGCTGCATCTTCAATAAAGGTAAGTGTCATTTATTCTTCATTTAGTAGAGTAGTACATGCACAATATATATTGTGCATGTACTACTCTACTATTGTGCATGTATCCTTCTCTTTGTGTGTAGGAAAATGTATATTTCATGTGGTAAAATTTTTTTTTCATACTTTTGGGTGTCTTGCACGGATTAATTTGATTTCCATTATTTCTTATGGGGAAAATTCATTCGCATACCGATCATTTCGCATAACAATCAGCCCTCTTGCACGGATTAAAGTCGCTATGCGGGGGTCCACTGTATCTGTTACCAAGGTTCATACCACATTCGGGAGAAATCAGTTTTAACATTCTACTAGATATTTATTCATCAACCAATATACTGTACATACAATATCGGAGGACTACTCTGCTTCACAAAGTCAATCCTCCCTACAACAAGATAAATCATTTACTTACAATAATTGGCATTAACACGAGCAAGGGCTAATAGTATTTACATAAACAACTTCTTAAGAATAATCCCAGAAGGCCAAACCTTGCAAGATGGAATAAATATTGTATTCACTGGAACAGAGTTAGAAATGCAAAGGCATCAGCAACATAAAATATTATTCAGTGTTTTACTATTTTCACGTTATGCTGAAACTTAAATTACAACAGCTAACTCGTACACACATCATGGTTCATACAACAAATGATTGTAAAGTCACTTCTGGCCTAATCTAATTACAATAGTCCCCCCCCTATCTGCAAGTGATACATTCCAAGACCTACTGTGGATAGTAGCGAACCCTATGTGTCGTTTTTTGTTTACGTGCTTGTGATTAAGTTGATAAATTCTGCACAGCAAGTCGAGAATTAGCACTTTTTCACTGACGGGAAGCACTTATGGCTTCTCTTAGACTTTGAATTAGTGCCAGCATCACTACTTTTGCACGTTGGGGCTATTATTAAGCAAAATTAAGGGTTATTTTTGGGTCACAGTAAACCATGGAAAATTGAAACCACGAGAACCGGATCCGGGGGTTCTACGGTATAATAAAAACATTACACTCCCTAAAAATGCTTTAAAAACTTGACAATTATGCAACAAATCACTTGTTTACCTAATATGAAATACTGAGAGATTGGGTTATTTTTCTCCATTAAAGGTAGCTCAATTTTTTATCAAAAAACACATATATGCCTGGTCTTTGGGATCTCTCAGTTCTATCTCGATGATAATAACGATACTCCAGGACATACAATTACCTTGTCTCAAGTCTGTTCACTAGAGATTGGGTTTGTTGTACAGTGGTACCTCAAGTTACGAACTTAATTCGTTCCAGAAGGCTGTTCAAGTGCAGATACCAAATGAATTTGTTCCCATAAGGAATAACATAGATTAGTCCATTTCAGACCCACAAAAATACACTTACATAACTTTGAGTTGGGAGCTGTTCGAAACTCGAGGTACCACTGTAATTTGCTGCAGCCATGGTAGAGCAGAGCCCCAACATTCACAAGTTGAGTATTCCAAAATGAACCTGCTTTTCCTTCTCTTATAATCAGAGCTGTGTTCCTAAACCATAATATTCTGTATCTAATTTCATTTGTGATGAATGGTTTGTGATTTCATTTACTCTTCATAAAAGATTATTTACAAAATATATTAGTCACCCTGCCTCGGTGGGAGACGGCTGACTTGTTGAAAAAAAAAAAAAATTAGTCACTACTCCTTTTTACTAACAAATAGTTACTGTATTCAATAGTATGTTTTTACATTCATGTATACATGTTAATCCATAGGGGATGTGGAGAAGAATCCTTCCTAAAGTCATGCATGTTGTAAGAGGTGACTAAAATGCCCGAGAAGGTGCTAGTAACCCCCTTCTTCTGCATAAATTACTAAATGTAAAAAGAAAAACTTTCTTCTCTTCTTTTTTGGGTCACCTTGCCTCAGTGGAAGATGGCTGTTAAAAAAAACATGTTAATTATTACATGGAACTAACCTAAACGTGTGGTGGCCAGAAGTCTCATCGTCTCGCTGTAAACCCTTGATATAATGAAATGGAATTAAATTCTATATAACAGACTTCAGGAATACGGAACATAATTTGCTGGGCCAATCAATTCAGAAACAATGAGGTCTAATGTTTACAGAATTGTCCGTTATCGTTAGTCATGGTAAAACACACTTCTTCATCCACCACAGTTAGTATCACTTGCAACCTGCTCCTCTATATCAGTCCAAACTCCCACTCTTTCTATATACAGTCTTTGCTGAAAAATTTGCTAAAAAAAAAAAAAAAAAAAAAAAAAATGGAAAGATACATAAAATACACAAAACATTTCAAGCATTACCAGGAAACTTTGAAAATACAAGACATTAATATTTAAATTACACATATGCAACACTTGGGTATCTTTATTGATACCCAAGTGTTGCATGTGTGTGTAATTGATCAACTTGTCGGTTCTTTGAATCATTTATATAGTACATCAATATCTAGTCACCTGACCTTTTGCTTTCATTATCTTTTTAGTCTGATACACAACTGGCGGCAAATTTTTTTTATCTGCATTTATTTTTTATTGAGAAAACTGTAGTAAGACATCACTCTTTACATATACTCACCTAGTCATGGACAAGGCCACAGTGGTGTTAACTCCTGAAATGCCCTCTAGGTACACCACTTAATAATTTGTCATGTATGGTGTGTAGGTGGGTACCTTGACTGTCCCCACTCCCTCATTGTTATAGCAAGGGTTCAACATGCTGGGTATACAGGGTGGGTAGTAGTATGGATAACTGCGTGGCATCAACTCTCACTGCTCTACACCTCACCCACGTCATCCAACACACAGGCAGCAGTCACAGTGTTGCTACTCAACATAGTTCTCAACCAATCATAAAATCTCTATAAACAAAATACCAATGCATTTGGTAAAAACCCTCCAAACAAACATTTATAACAGCCTTAAGAAAATCATAAATAATAATTCTTGACCAATTTTTATCAAACAAGTGTGAGCCCTGTATACATGAATACCATGAACTTGCACAGAGTATGAATGTATTCGATTAAAAAAAAAAGAATACATATATTTATAATTCATCCTTAAGCAAATTGCAAATATTAAATCTATAATTCTTGACCACACAAAATGTGGGCTCTCTATACATACATAATATGTATATACACAGTATAACTGCATTTGGTAAAAAAGACACAATAGTTTCAATATTTGCACTAATGGTAACTGTAGATCAGCATTCTAACTAAGCAACTGGTTGCAAAGTCCCAACATTGCAAGTCTGACTTTTACTGCTCAAGCTTAAAGCTTTGGGTATACCAGTGTCAAAAATTTTCACCACAGATAAACATCGCAATACATTATATGGACAAACTAATAAATTGGAAGCCTAACCACAAGACATGCGAGCTGTCTCCTGTATGCAATAATTGACTCGACATGTAATGTTGACCTCTATGAGATACCTAGTTTATCATTATGAACATGTCTATATGCAATTTTAAAAAGTCACTTCAAAATTTGCCTCTTCAAGCAAAATTTTTATTGTACACCAAAAACACTAAGAATATTCATGGCCCAAGATTTCAAGCTGCAAGTTTTCAAGAGGAAACTGAAGCAATGGCTCTGCCTAGTGCCACATTAACCAAACTGACACATGTGTGCCAGAAGCCTGCTTCCACCAACAGTCTAGGTCAGTAGTCCCCAGCCATTTTAGTAGGAGAGAACTAATTTGAAAAGCCAAGTGGAAGGTGGTTGTTAGAGATGATAATACGGTTTTGGTGTCAAACAGCTTTAAATATTTTGTAATTGTTGACATTGTGCAGTGTGGAACCTACATAAAAGTGAATTCATAATTTCACACAAAGGCCGCATCTCTTTCCTAAAAGGGCCACATGCGGCCCTCAGGGCTCAGACTGGGGACCCCCAGTCTAGGTAAACAGGCAATCACAGCAGCAGGAAGATCTCAGACCAGACTTTATGGGAAAAAGAACCTTAAAACCACCTACAGATAAGGTAAAATTTATGTTAAATATATTAACTTCATTAGCTTAAGAGACTCCATTACCATATTTTTAGTTTTTCTTGGTAAAGACTGATGATCTTCAATTATTTTATTATTTTTTATTATCACACTGGCCGATTCCCACCAAGGCAGGGTGGCCCGAAAAAGAAAAACTTTCACCATCATTCACTCCATCACTGTCTTGCCAGAAGGGTGCTTTACACTACAGTTTTTAAACTGCAACATTAACACCCCTCCTTCAGAGTGCAGGCACTGTACTTCCCATCTCCAGGACTCAAGTCCGGCCTGCCGGTTTCCCTGAATCCCTTCATAAATGTTACTTTGCTCACACTCCAACAGCACGTCAAGTATTAAAAACCATTTGTCTCCATTCACTCCTATCAAACACGCTCACGCATGCCTGCTGGAAGTCCAAGCCCCTCGCACACAAAACCTCCTTTACCCCCTCCCTCCAACCCTTCCTAGGCCGACCCCTACCCCGCCTTCCTTCCACTACAGACTGATACACTCTTGAAGTCATTCTGTTTCGCTCCATTCTCTCTACATGTCCGAACCACCTCAACAACCCTTCCTCAGCCCTCTGGACAACAGTTTTGGTAATCCCGCACCTCCTCCTAACTTCCAAACTACGAATTCTCTGCATTATATTCACACCACACATTGCCCTCAGACATGACATCTCCACTGCCTCCAGCCTTCTCCTCGCTGCAACAATAATTACATACAAGATTTTTTGGATCCACAAAGTTTTGCTCAAACTCTGAAGATCAAAACATATTGTATTGACCAGGTTAACTCACTTTAGGACCCTCAAATTTACATTGTTCCTTATTGGCAGAACTCCATTATTTAACATTTTTTAATGATAGTAACCTATAGATATATGTAACTATTCACAATTTTTTTGGCCTTGACAGACAAACCCAATACTGAAAATTAACTATGCCATTTCATTCAAAAAAGACCAATGAATTTCATGACAGAATCTCTCTCTTACTGTGATTCATTCTCATAAACATCAATAATAACCAGATTATTGCAATGTTTACAAACATATAATCTTTTGAAAAACAAAAGTACCTAAATCTGAAATAAAATTGATTGATGACGACAAATTTGTATAGTGCTCGCAGAGTCTACACAACTTGCTAATCTAATTGTATGCATCCCGTCCTCTAAGGGTATACCAAAGCTTTGAGCAAAGACAGTGTTCCCACTGCTGTAAACATTAGCCACCAATTTATATGTTATTGCAAGTTTGCTGTCAAATATATATTCATATGCTCAATAATAACCCACATTGAGACAGAAATTCAGGAGATTAATTGATCTGTGTATTTTGACCCCACTCTGGGATCCCAGAAAGGGGTCAAAATATACAGATCAATTAATCTCTTGAGTTTCTGTCTTCATGTGGATTACATTAGTAAGCACTGACAAGTGTTCATTATAGTTATTCATAGATTCACATATTTTTAGGTTGGGGTAACCTAACCTAGAATAATTAATGTGTATTTTTCTTGCTGTTAAAATCGTGCATAAGTCAAGTCACTAACAAGTATGACCCTTGCTGCTGGTGAGGGGCTCTTGAGTTAAACAGTTGCAGCTACCCTACCCTTCCTTAAAACGTGATTGCATTCAATACCCAGACACTGTATGAACCCTACAGGTTTAATGCTTCCCCATTAATGTAAATAACAAGGTAATACACACAAAAAAAACTTTTTTACGACAGGCCACAAGATGATCAAAATACATGTAACATAAAAATGTTGCTATCCCACAGAACATTTCCTCTAGCAACACACTTTTTTTTCTTAACACATCGGCCGTTTCCCACTGAGGCGGAGTCACCAGAAAAAAAAAAAAAAATTTCACCATCATTTGCTCTATCACTGTCTTGCCAGAGGCATGCAGATACTACAGTTCAAAAACTGCAACATATCTCCACCCTTAACACTAATACTGTTTTATAATCAAAATAAAAAAAGAAGCGCTAAACCACAAGGGCCAACCGTTTTAAAAAATGGTGAAATATAAGCAATATAAAAAGGTTTGGATCCTAAATGACAGATGTGTCCCTGGAACCTTTCAAGAATTATACCAGTCAGACATTTTTCAAGACTGATATTACATGCTATTTAAGGAATTAAACTTTTAAATGCTGTACTAATAATTTCTCATGATTATAATTTATTCATTTTAGACTAGCAAGATACAGTAAACCTTGATATAACAGACTGAGACAACAGAGCTCAGTATAACAGACTTATAAAATCCACAAAATCCACTGGGTAAATTATATTTTTAATGTTTATAGTAGTGTAACTAAATTATTTTCAATATTTACTGGAGCGTGAGCAGGGTAATATTTTGTGAAGGAATTCAGGGAAACTGGTTAGCTGGACCCGAGTCCTGAAGGTGGGAAGTAGTGTCTGCACTTTAACCCGTAAACGGTCCAAGCAGATCTACGTTCACATGTGTAGTGCTACAAAAGTAGATCTATTTTTTTTTTTACATATTTTCAAATATAACAAAAAAAAAAAAGTAGATCAAAGTTTTTTTACACATTTTCAAATGTAGAAAAACAAAAAGATCTACTTTTTTTACATACTTTTAAATGTTGAAAAAACGTATTTATACGTTTGGACCGTTTACGGGTTAAAGAAAGGGTTTGGGATATTGGCTGTTTGGAGGCCTATGCAAAGACAGTGATTATGTGTGAATGATGGTGAAAATGTTTTTACTTTTTTGGGTTACCGTGCCTCAGTGGGAGAGAGCCAACATGTTAAAAAAAAAAAATGCAAAATGTTTGTACACTACCACATTTTTTGTTATTTTTCTTATTATTATTTTTGACTGAAATGGATACTCAGATAATACCCTCTATTAGTCAATTATATCAAGAGTTTTCATTTAAAAAGTACAGCCTCTCCTCACTTAGCAATGTGCTCGTTTACCGATAACTCGGATTTATGACGGACTCTCAAACAAGTATGCATACTTAAATAATGTATATTAGAGCTGATTTCCTCTATTCTGTTTATTACAATATACAGTACACTACTGTATAAACATTTAAATATATACCAGGAATGTTATAAATGGTCCAATGGTGACATTAAAACAATATCAAAGACTGTTGAAACAAACCCACTACCATTACATTGTGCTCGTCACTTAGCGACAAAATCATTTACTGATGTGGTCTTAGGAACGAAACTTTGTTGTTAAGTGAGGAGAGGCTGTATTACATCATAGACAGCTGTATTTAGTGGGCAACCAGACTACATGTTGGTATAAGGACTTGATTAAAACCACTGTGTGGAGAAAATTGTCAGTAAAGCATCACATTATACTGCATGTGTGTGTCCATTTTTCCAAGGATGTACAGTCCAGAGCAAGCCAACATTTTAGACCACATCTGCCTCTGGGTACACCTCACCTTTAAACCTTTGATGAATTCTGAGTTTGCCTACTCCCACAGCCCAGCCCTGGGCTGGCCTCTGGTGTTTGCCTGGTTAACCAGGAATAGCAAACTTGAACTTCAGTGCCTGAGCTCTGAAAGAGGGGTGATGGTATATTGCAGTTTTTAAACTGTAGTGTAGACACACCTCTGGTAAGACACAATAAATGGTCGTGAAAGAGTGATTCGTTTTCGGGTTACCCTGCCTCAGTGGGAAACCGCCAATGTGTTAATAAAAAAGAATTAAAACAAACTTGTAAAGTCTACAGTGTCTAGGTTTTTTTTTGACTTCATGAAGCTGAATCCTGAGTAAAATTTTGTATTAAAATAAAAGCTTGTTCAGTATTTGCTGTTATATCATACAAAAATAACTGGCACATAAGTCTTTCTCTATGTGTGGGTTATTAGTGTGTTCCAGTCACAATATTGCGCCTCTTTTCTTATTTGTTGTTTTATCTATTGTTTAAGCTTACAAGGGTTTTATCTATTGTAGTGTTGTAATCTAGAAAGCATCAGCAATTCCCACTGTTGTATTTCCTATTCATCATTTTCAAGATATAAAATTTATGCACAACACTGTAACATACATGGTTCTCCTGATATCTCTATTTCTGGCACAGTTATGTTGTTATATTTATGACTGTACATGCAAGTTATCAGGTACATCTTGCTACTTTTACTTACATTTAGGTCACACTACATATTCTTATTTATTTCATCTCCATGGGGAAGTGGAAAAGAATCCTTTCTCCATAAGTCATGTGTGTCGTAAGAGGCGACTAAACTACTGGGAACAATGGGCTAGTAACCCCTTCCCCTGTATAAATTACAACCTCTCCTCACTTAACGACCGCATCAGTAAACAAATTCGTCGCTAAATGAGGAGCATACTATAATGGTAGTGGGTTTATGTCAACCATCTTTCATACTGCTTTAATGTCAAATTTGCACCATTTATAACATTTTTAGTATATTTTTAAATGTTTATACAGTAGTGTATATATATTGTAATAAATAGAATAGATTTAATCAACTCTAATATACATTATTTAGGTATGCATACTGGTCAGAGAGCCTGTCGTAAGTCCGAGTCGTTGGTAAACGAGTATGTCTCTAAGTGAGGAGAGGCTGTATATTATTATTATGTTTATGAGCAACCACTAAGTTCGGTAGTGGTCCTACCAAGCCTGGGGAATTATAAGTGGGATAATTAAGTTTGATCCAAGCAAGGGCAGGATACCTCTACCAAGCCTGGGGAATTATAAGTGGGATAATTAAGTTTGATCCAAGCAAGGGCAGGATACCTCTACCAAGCCTGGGGAATTATAAGTGGGATAATTAAGTTTGATCCAAGTAAGGGCATGATACCTTAAAGTTTTTTCACACCAGCAACAAGACACTGCTTTCCCTTCCACTCTCCAAGAGCTGAACCAGTAGAATGAACTCAGCAATGATAAAATGCAAGCAGACTACATATGGGGGTTCAAAAATCGATATTACTGGGTTCAATCACATCAGAACAAAAAGACAGGACCAAGAGCTTGAGCACACCCTTCGAAAGTTGGAAACAGGTACCACACATACTATAAAAGAGTTTTCAATGTGCTATTCAATTTTGGATGTACAGGTCTCTTTCAATCAAATTTAAAAAAAAAATTCGCTAAAGAGCTTTGTATGAGGTGTGACTATATTTATATTCAAAATAACATTCTGCGATGTTCAATGTTTCATAACTAAGATCCCCCAGTTTTGGTGCACTAATGTGGAAATTAAACTTTAAATACATTCTCAGGATATACAAATTTTCAACACAAGTCACAGTGACAGATTATGCTACTGAAACACACTATACAAATTTACACACACACTGACATTTCCAAAATTATACATATGAACAAAATGGACACCAGATTATGTTTCAAGAAGAGGATTTTTTAAACACAACTGACTGATGTCAACTAACAAACAGGACTACAAATGCAGTTTGTGAATATCCATTTGAAAAGTGTATCACATTCATTTATTTTGTCACTCCTCTTCCCTCACACTTGCTGTGTGCACATGGTTATATACGTTTATGTATGTATATTACACACACACAACATACACACACGAGGCAAGTGTGCACATTTCGGCAAGCTGAGTGTAACATTACCAAGGTAAGATTAGGTGATTATAATTATATTCATGGGAAAGTGCTAAGCCTGCAGGGGGCTCACAGAGCTTGGGGAACAAGAAGTAACTGGGTCTGATCCAATTCCCTGGATCAAGAGCCCTTCACCAGCATCAAGGACTAGGTGAATCAACTCTACTTTCATTCAGACAATATCAACAGTACTGGAATGTCAGTTTCAAGTAGGAATTTATAGGGTCTTTTAAGGCAAAAATTGCATCATAGAATATAAAACAATTCAGAATTGGATACAACCTACAATGTCTTGACACCTCAAGCGAGTGTCTTATAACAAGAAATAAATAGTAACATCTTTGGCTACTGATTAATGTATCAATATAATAATGGTATGCAATACCAACAAGGAGGTGAGCAAGATGCATGTACAGGTGGAATGCTTCACGCAAAATCGTGAGGTGTTCCACATTTTTTTTTTTATCCACCGGGAGGCCTGGTCATGGACTGGGCTGTGGGGGTGTTGATCCCCGGAATACCCTCCAGGTAGATTTGGTATCTATGCCAAGATGATTTACCTGCTCAGCAGGCACTGTTAGTCTAAATACAGAGGATACACAAATAACCCACCCCAGAGCTGAAAGAAACTATGATGTTTCAGTCTGACTTGGATCATTAATAGTCACACTAACACACGAAGGAAAGGGAGCCAGTATACATAGTTTGACTAGTTAATGGTCCAGGTTGGACCAAAGAATTGTCATGAGTTTCCTTCTCCTACATGTGGGTTATTTGTGCACTGTTCCAGTCATGGTATTGTGCCTTTGTGTTCTTTAAATACAGAAGACAACATAAGATATAGATATAAGGTACTCAATCCCCCAGTCTTCATGGATGAGGGACTGATCACCTAACATCTACATCTCATTAGGTTGTCTGCATTTTGACTGAAGAAGCCTAAGCAAGAGAAACATCTCATCAACAAGGATACCTAAATGTTGCATGTGTCATGCTCATCCGCTGATTAATGGGCAAGTATCACAAAAGGATATATGGCAGAGACCAGGGCATTCATTCGTTAATACAAGGGCGACATGCCCACAGGATGTCATAAAATATATACAAAACATAAGCTTTCTTTGTGATTATGTTTTGCTCCTTGTAGAACTGTATCAAGGATGACTTGTAGAGCTGTATCAAGGCTGACTGTAGAGCTATATCAAGACTGACTTGTAGATGAATAAGACATGTCCAACACTTGCGTATCTTAGCTAACCAGTGACTTGCCAAGACAGAGAATAATACTGCAGATGACAGAAGACTGGAAGAATTAGCTGAAAGTGACCAGTCTTTCAGTACCTCAAGCTACAGTACTAACATCTTCCACTGTCTCTAGTAATATTCTCTCCCCTGGATTGGGAGAATATCTCTAGAATAAAGATACGCAAGTGTTGCACATGTATCTTATTCACCTACGTGTCAGCTTTATATACCATTAACATATAAAGCTTACTTAATGAAGCTCTACATAGAGTGAAGTTGTCTCAATAAAAGCTTATTCTGCATATATGTTTAAACTCCAAACTCACTCATCTTAAGCCTTTCTTGAAATTATAAAGAAAATTCTGTATGAAAATTGAAAATAAGCTTTGTATCCTTGCCTGAAAAGACTATTGATGCTCAACCTAAACCCACTAGACAATTTTACCCCTTAAAAATAAATTGACCAAGTTAAGTGTTCCTACAAAAAATCACAAAACTCCTGATTTAAGTAATGATATGGATCAGGAGGGTGGGCCACCTCTATCACCCAAACTAATTTGATTTAGCATGTTTACAATAGAACAAGTACTATATATACAAATTTCACACACATAAAAATCACTGACTTGCACAGGGTATATACACTAGTATAATACAAAGCTATACAAGTACTTTACCTCCTCTGCCCATACAATATTATATCAATGGTTCACTAGAATTTGGAATCATAAAGGAATATTTTACCATGAGAAAAAATGAATTGTAAGCATACATAATAAACACGAGTATAGCTTAAAATTTCTCTGTTACTATTAGTGGGGAGCTACAAGCTACTGCTGTAATCTGCCCACTTGTGTTTGGGCATTAAGCAAACAGCATTGTGCCCACCTGGCATATGGGCATCAATCAAGCAGAGCCAAATGCTGCTGTACTATGTCTCATGTATGGGTATTGATCGAGCGACAGCTGGCTGCTGTTGCACTATGCCCCATGTACGGGTACTGATCGAGCAGCAGCTGGCTACTGCTGCACTATGCCCTGTGTATGGGTACTGATCGAGCAGCAGCTGGCTACTGCTGCATTCTGTCCACCGGTATATGGTCATTGATCAAGACACTGCATGAGAGGCACTGAGGTTGTGGGTTATGTACAATGCCATGTTGCTCATTGTTGTTCTTTCTCACATGGAACAGATTTCCAATTGTCTACAGAAGTCCCCTGATCCCTCAAAGTCTAGTCATATTGTTAAAAGCTCATTATAAACAATAAATAAAAAAAAAAAAAATGTAAAGAATGTAATAAATATTCCCACCTCAATTTTTGTCCATTTGTTACATGTGCCAAAAACTGTATTGCACAAGATGGGACTAGAGCTGAGTGGTCAGCTTTGTGCCTTCCTCACTGATTGCTAACACCTGGGTGGATGACACTCAGGCCAGAGAGTGAAAGAAAACTGGAACTCACAGACATTATTCAAGATACAGGGGCAAGGTTTCACTTGGAATTAACTAGTTCCTGTTCCACAATAGTTTCACTGTCATGATAAAGTATATAGCCTTTCTTTTATCTGGGTGCTCTAATTGTTGCATACTGTAAGATAAATTAAGTATCTGATAAGCAACAAGTAGTCAAAGGTTTCTCCAGTCTTCACGAATGAACACTGTACCAGAATTTCACCGCATTAAATTTTCGTGTGCCAGCCTGATCCTTGCTTCTGTCATGTTGGGAACAAGTTTTGAAAACAAGTCACGGATAAATGCATCGGTAACTCCAGGACTTGATCGCTCGGCCGACTCGAATGCTGACTTGAGTTCCTCGATGGCATCTGTGCGGTGGGAATCCCCGCCTCGACCAGAGTGTCGGTGACGGCGCTGAAGCTGTAAGAGTAAACATTACAACAGTATCAAGCTGGATCAGAAAATGAAAAATAATTTTATTCTTAGATAAGACACCACTCACATCACTTTGAATTTTTTTTTAGTTCAACAGTCACCACCTGCCAAGACAAGGTGACCCAGAGAAAAAAATACATTCACCATCATTCATTCAATTGCTTTTTTTCCAGAAGTATGCTAACATCACAATTTATACGACTCTCCGAATTCCACTCCTCCGAGTACAGGTATCATACTTCCCACTGCCTCCAGCTTCTGCCTCACTGCAAAATTTCAAATCCATGCCTCACACTCATATAAAAGTATTAGTACCACTATACTTTGGTATACCAGGATTGTAAAAAAATGAGTGTTATTATACTGGGGAGAGGTGTGAAATTTTTAAAATATAATGAACTGGTACAAGTACAGTTATTCATTGCTGATGACAGTACATTTATGAGAGGTTGGAGGTGCAAGGGTGTGTAAAAGAAGCTGAAAATACACACACAAAAGAGCAAGTTATTTAGAGTAACAAATGCTCAATATTAACCCATATAAAGACAGAAAACCAGAAGACTGATTGATCTGTATATTTTGATCCCCTTCTGGGATCCTCTCCTGAAGAGGATCCCAGAAGAGGATCAAAATCAATCAATCTTCTTAATTTCTGTCTCTGTGGATTATTACTGAGCATTTATAAGTGCTCATTACACCTTAGTTATTCAGAGTAACAAATCTAGGCAAAGAAAGGTTGGGTATCAGACTCAAGGGAGAAAGTGAATGTATTTAGATATTTGGGAGAGTACCATAAAAACAAAAACAAAAAAAGTATGAAACGGTGAATCAGAAATAGTTGACGGAAAGAAGGCAGCTAGTGTGTAGTCTGTGAAAAAAAGAAATTTTTCACTAACTCGTGAAATCGTAGTAACATGATTGACGAGACTTGAGCTTAAGTTTGCTACAGCCACGCTCACACAAGATTTATTTGTAAAAACTTGCATTCGTGGTCACAGAGTGGTCCATGCTAACCTTCCTATGATGAATAAATATACCTAGTTGGGTGAATCTTATTGGGGTGGCCCGGTGGCCTGGTGGCTAAAGCTCCCGCTTCACACACGGAGGGTTCGGGTTCGATTCCCGGCGGGTGGAAACATTTCGACACGTTTCCTTACACCTGTTGTCCTGTTCACCTAGCAGCAAATAGGTACCTGGGTGTTAGTGGACTGGTGTGGGTGGCATCCTGGGGGACAAGATTAAGGACCCCAATGGAAATAAGTTAGACAGTCCTCGATGACGCACTGACTTTCTTGGTTATCCTGGGTGGCTAACCCTCCGGGGTTAAAAATCCGAACGAAATCTTATCTTATCTTACCAGCTGGCTCTGTGGTTTACTAACTAGCCTGAAGTTTTAAGACCCACTCACCATGGGTTCAACCTTCACCTGTTCTGTAGTAAGTCTATCACTGGATTACAAAATGTTAATGTACCAAAGCACAACAGTGGAAATGAGTGGGTGTGAGGCCTTGTTTGTGAATGTTACAGTGAGGAGGAGCCTGCAAGTAGTGGAGATGCAATGTTGAGACTAATGTATGGTCAGAATAAGAAGCATATTAGTAGGAAGACAAAGTGGTGGCATAATTCAGAGTTGAGATGGTTTGGTCATTTAAGAAGGAATAATCAAAACAGGCTGATCAAGAGACTGTATAAATCTAGGAAGGTCATCAGCTGTATTAAAGGTTATCTCAAGAAAGCTTTGAGAAAGGAAGTCAATGAGGTTTTGAATGGTAGGAACTTGATCATCCAACAGACATGTGTAAAGTGCTAAATTCACTAAGGTTATACAGTTCACCCTTGGTAAGCTAATGCTAATACTAGCATACTAGTGCACTATTTACCATTCCATGCCAGCTAATATAATTCATCAAACTAAGTGTATGTTTATACACACTGGAAAAGTTAGCATGGGCCACCACTATGACCACAGATGACAGTTTTTACAGATAAGTCTCACACCAACATGGATTGATCCAAGTGATCAATGATGCAAAATCAAAACGACATTACTGTTAACAACTTGCTGAATGGTGCGGGGTTGGAGCTCACGTTAGGCCAATGTTAAAACTAGTAGGCCAGTTGTGCACTACCCACTAAACCATGTTGACCTAATAAGATCTATCTAACTATTAGGGCTGCATAGTACAGTGGATAGTACACAAGCCTGCTAGTTTTAGAACTGCCTTACATGAATATGTTAAATCAGAATGAAGAAACACACACAGGTTTAGGACAGAATTACCGTAAGCCTAATGGGAAAAAATAAGAAACAATAGTGTAAAGTTGTTTTATATTCCAATGATTTTAGCTTTTGTATTGCAGGTGTCACAGGTTTTATACAGTAGGTGCATTCTAGACTCATGTTAGCTGTGCTAAGCTCAATCAAGCCACTGACACTTAATTCCTGAGTGATAAGAATCTTTCCACGTTTTACAAAAAGTGCTCATCACAGATTATGAACGGCACTTAACAGAAATGGAATCTCATTGAGATGGCACCTAATAGAAATGGGACCTCAGAGATGAGACCTCATAGAAATGGGACCTCGGAGATGGCACCTCATAGAAATGGGACCTCGGAGATGGCACCTCATAGAAATGGGACCTCAGAGATGAGACCTCATAGAAATGGGACCTCAGAGATGGGACCTCATAGAAATGGGACCTCAGAGATGAGACCTCATAGAAATGGGACCTCAGAGATGGCACCTCATAGAAATGGGACCTCAGAGATGGCACCTCATACAAATGGGACCTCAGAAATGGCACCTAATACAAATGGGACCTCAGAAATGGCACCTAATAGAAATGGGACCTCAGAGATGGCACCTCATAGAAATGGGACCTCAGAGATGGCACCTCATAGAAATGGGACCTCAGAGATGGGACCTCATAGAAATGGGACCTCAGAGATGGGACCTCATAGAAATGGGACCTCAGAGATGGGACCTCATAGAAATGGGACCTCAGAGATTGCACCTCATAGAAATGGGACCTCAGAGATGGCACCTCATAGAAATGGGACCTCAGAGATGGCACCTCATAGAAATGGGACCTCAGAGATGGCACCTCATAGAAATGGGACCTCAGAGATGGCACCTCATAGAAATGGGACCTCAGAGATGGCACCTCATAGAAATGGGACCTCAGAGATGGCACCTCATAGAAATGGGACCTCAGAGATGGCACCTCATAGAAATGGGACCTCAGAGATGGCACCTCATAGAAATGGGACCTCAGAGATGGCACCTCATAGAAATGGGACCTCAGAGATGGCACCTCATAGAAATGGGACCTCAGAGATGGCACCTCATAGAAATGGGACCTCAGAGATGGCACCTCATACAAATGGGACCTCAGAAATGGCACCTAATAGAAATGGGACCTCAGAGATGGCACCTCATAGAAATGGGACCTCAGAGATGGCACCTCATAGAAATGGGACCTCAGAGATGGGACCTCATAGAAATGGGACCTCAGAGATGGGACCTCATAGAAATGGGACCTCAGAGATGGGACCTCATAGAAATGGGACCTCAGAGATTGCACCTCATAGAAATGGGACCTCAGAGATGGCACCTCATAGAAATGGGACCTCAGAGATGGCACCTCATAGAAATGGGACCTCAGAGATGGCACCTCATAGAAATGGGACCTCAGAGATGGCACCTCATAGAAATGGGACCTCAGAGATGGCACCTCATAGAAATGGGACCTCAGAGATGGCACCTCATAGAAATGGGACCTCAGAGATGGCACCTCATAGAAATGGGACCTCAGAGATGGCACCTCATAGAAATGGGACCTCAGAGATGGCACCTCATAGAAATGGGACCTCAGAGATGGCACCTCATAGAAATGGGACCTCAGAGATGGCACCTCATAGAAATGGGACCTCAGAGATGGCACCTCATAGAAATGGGACCTCAGAGATGGCACCTCATAGAAATGGGACCTCAGAGATGGCACCTCATAGAAATGGGACCTCAGAGATGGCACCTCATAGAAATGGGACCTCAGAGATGGCACCTCATAGAAATGGGACCTCAGAGATGGCACCTCATAGAAATGGGACCTCAGAGATGGCACCTCATAGAAATGGGACCTCAGAGATGGGACCTCATAGAAATGGGACCTCAGAGATGGCACCTCATAGAAATGGGACCTCAGAGATGGCACCTCATAGAAATGGGACCTCAGAGATAGCACCTCATAGAAATGGGACCTCAGAGATGGCACCTCATAGAAATGGGACCTCAGAGATGGCACCTCATAGAAATGGGACCTCGGAGATGGCACCGCATAGAAATGGGACCTCAGAGATGGGACCTCATAGAAATGGGACCTCAGAGATGGCACCTCATAAAAATGGGACCTCGGAGATGGCACCTCAAAAATGGGACCTCGGAGATGGCACCTCATAAAAATGGGACCTCGGAGATGGCACCTCATAAAAATGGGACCTCGGAGATGGCACCTCATAAAAATGGGACCTCGGAGATGGCACCTCATAAAAATGGGACCTCGGAGATGGCACCTCATAAAAATGGGACCTCGGAGATGGCACCTCATAAAAATGGGACCTCGGAGATGGCACCTCATAAAAATGGGACCTCGGAGATGGCACCTCATAAAAATGGGACCTCGGAGATGGCACCTCATAAAAATGGGACCTCGGAGATGGCACCTCATAGAAATGGGACCTCAGAGATGGCACCTCATAGAAATGGGACCTCGGAGATGGCACCGCATAGCAATGGGACCTCATAGAGATGGGAAAACATAATAGTGAATTTGTATAAAGCAAGAGGAAAATAAATCATACAGCATAACACACATGCAAGACTTCGGTATCTTTACTGTGGAAACGTTTCGTCACACAGTGGCTTCATCAGTCCAATACAAAGAAGAAGAGTGAAGATCAGAAGGAGATTGAGGTAATCAGTCCCTCAGCCTGGAGTCTATATAATCAGTCCATCACTTTTCTTCTTTGTATTGGACTGAGGAAGTCACTGTGTGGTGAAATGTTTCATCAATAAAGATACCTAAGTGTTGCACATGTGTCTAATTATCAACTTGTTGGTTCTCTGAACCATTTATCTCCTTCTTTCAACACACCGGCCATGTGTCAGCTGATGGATTTATGAAGGATGAGGATAACCATAGAACTGATGAAGGAAAAAAGGTGACTGGTGCATTGAGGTATATGTGGAGACAAAAAATGTTATCTATGGAGGCAAAGAAGGGAATGTATGAAAGTATAGTGGTACCAACACTCTTATATGGGTGTGAAGCTTGGGTTGTAAATGCTGCAGTGAGGAGGCAGTGGAGATGTCCTGTCTAAGGGCAATGTGTGGTGTAAATACTATGCAGAGAATTCGGAGTGTGGAAATTAGGAGGAGGTGTGGAGTTAATAAAAGTACTAGTCAGAGGGCTGAAGAGGGGTTGCTGAGGTGGTTTGGTCATTTAGAGAGAATGAATCAAAGTAGAATGACATGGAGAGCATATAAATCTGTAGGTGAAGGAAGGAGGGGTAGGGGTCGTCCTCGAAAAGGTTGGAGGGAGGGGGTAAAGGAGGTTTTGTGGGAGAGGGACTTGGACTTCCAGCAAGCATGCGTGAGTGTGTTAGATAGGAGTGAATGGAGACGAATGGTATTTGGAACCCGACGAGCTGTTGGAGTGTGAGCAGGGCAATATTTAGTGAAGGGAAACCGGTTATATTTATATAGCCGGACTTGAGTACTGGAAATGGGAAGTACAATGCCTGCACTTTAAAGGAGGAGTTTGGGATATTGGCACTTTGGAGGGATATGTTGTGTATCTTTATACGTATATGCTTCTAAACTGTTGTGTTCTGGGCACCTCTGCAAAAACAGTGATTGTGTGTGAGTGAGGTGAAAGTGTTGAATGACGAAAGTATTCTCTTTTTGGGGATTTTTTCTTTCTTTTTGGGTCACCCTGCCTCGGTGGGAGACGGCCAACTTGTTAAAAAAATAAAAAAGGAGAAGGGGTTACTAGCTCCTTGCTCCCAGCATATTAGCCACTTCCTACAGCATGCATGGCTTACGGAAGAAGAATTCTGTTCCACTTCTCCATGGAGACAAGCAGAAATAAACAAGAACTAGTAAGAAAATACAAGAAAACCCAGAGGGGTATGTATATATATGCTTGTACATGCATGCAACCATTTATCCATATATAACAAAACAATGATGACCTTTACCTCAGAGATAAGTGGCAAGACAACACCAGATAATGTGCTGGCAGGAGCTGGAGGAGACTTTGTTCTTGGAGGTTGTGGGTGTGAGGAACTTTGACGATGTTCTGGCCGCCTTATTTCACGACCATCTACCAAACTTGATTTATTATCCCTCGAATGGTGAACTTCTCGATTGTGGCGTCTGTCATTGAATTCGTTCCTGTCTGGACAATCGCTGTCATTCCTGGGATCTTCAGATTCGATTCTCATATCTGTCAGCTCTCTGGAGATCCGTCGATCATCACCATTAGTATGGGGTTCACTAGAACGTGGAGATATGTCCATGTCTCTTGAATTTCTGTGATCCATGTGACGAGAGTCTTTTCGTTTCTCGTTCTCAACTGGGGGCGGCGGTGCTACTGATGTTGGACGTGTCTGTTAAAAAAGAAGTTTTTATTTACTTTCTTCAATTTTTTATTTTACATACTGATGGTCTTCCACCGAGGCAGGGTGACCCGAAAAAGAAACACTTTCACCATCACTCACACTATCACTGTCTTTCCAGAGGCACACATATAACAGTTTGGCTGTCACTCTAAACAGCAAACATTCCCAACCCCTCCTTTAGAGTGCAGGCACTGTCCTTCCCACCTCCAGGACTCAAGTCTGGCTAACTGGTTTTCCTGAATCAATCACAAAATATAAAAATAATTTGACTGCAATTCTAAAATAAGTTAATTCAGGTAAGCACCATTGGTAAGTATGGATGAGTACAACTAAATTTCTCAGTCAACTGAAGATTTCCTGTAAAAGTTTACTTTAAGAGGATGAACAATGGTGTAAGTTGACAGACAAGTAAGATATTATGTATGCAGCAAAACCTTTACAATGTTTCATCCAGCATTTTTTGATTGAATAACTGAATAACCGGAGTAGAAAGACAAATCTGAAACAAGAAGTATTGGGAGGGACTTAGAAGAAAACAAGCAGATTTGAGTAGGATTTTTTGATATAGTATAGTATATTGCTGTTGAAATCACACTAAGGTAAGGAGACACTTTTAAACAATAGCCCTTAAGTGGCTGGCAGATAAAGAGCCTCGGGAACCATATGTCTGATATTGCCCAAGCCTAGATGAAACAAGTATTGAAGGTTTAACTCCAAATTCTGTCTCTTGAATAACTAAAGTATAATGAACACTTGTCATTGCTCAATAATAACCCACATGGAGACAGAAACACAGAAGGCTGATTGATCTGTATATTTCAACCCTCTTCTGGGATCAAGAGGATACCAGAAGTTGGTTGAAATATACAGATCAATCAACCTTGTTTGTTTGTGTCTCCACGTGGGTTATTATTGAGCATCGTCGCTCTCATTAATTTGGGATTTTAAGCAACCTACCGGCGATGATGTTTTTTCTCTGAAAACTACACCATTATTTTCTTTGGGTGGAGAATGAGCCAGGGAAGACACAGAGGATGCTGGCAAATCATTAAACTGGAGCGGCGGAGACGAGGATAGTGGTGAAGTCGATGTGACTGGAATTGCTTCCTGTTTGCTAGTTGGAGACAATCCACCAGGTGGACCCCTTACAGTCATAATCCAGGCCGGATCTTCAACATCACTTTCAACTCTGCTGTCCTCACTGCAAAGAAATAATTAAAAATTAGAATTAAGTTACCTGGATGAATTTTTATTATCAGCCATTTCCTACCTAGATAGAGTAATCTAATTTTTGTTTTTAACACATCAGCTGTCTCCGACCAAGGTAAGGCAACCCAAAAAAGAAGAAACACTTTCATCAACACTCACTCCATCCCTGTCTTGCCAGAGGCACGCTGACACTACAGTTCAAAAACTGCAACGTATATCCACCCCTCGAAATTATAATTATGACAATCATGAGGAAGCACTAAAACTGTATGGGTCATACAACTCCAAAGGAATGGGAGGTAACCAAGTTTGATCCAAGGAAGGACAGAATGGCCCTATTCCTTGAATAAAGAGCTATTTACAAGCATAAAGGCAACCCGGTAGAAGAGGTGATACAGAGAAACATTCACCAGCACTCAACCTCTAGCTATCTTTGAAGCATTTATTTATTTATTAACACTGTGGCCGTCTCCCACCAAGGCAGGGTGGCCCGAGAAAGAAAAACTTTCATCATTCACTCCATCACTGTCTTGCCAGAGGTATGCTTAAACTACAGTTATAAAACTGCAACATTCACACACAGGAAGATATTACAAATTAAATGTCCTTACATACCACAACTTTAACCTTGAATTAGATAATTATATTCACAATCTATTACTAAATGTAAAAGGGGAAAAGTTTTATGAGGTAGGTCCCATGGCTGGGTAGGCTCAGCTCTTGTCTCACAACAAGTGTCCATGAGTCAATACCCAGCCAGGTGTTAACACTGGGTATGTTTTCTTATACCTGTCACTGTTTGCCTAGCAGTAAGTAGGTACCTGGGTGTTAGTCAACTGATGTTGGTGGCATCCTGAGAGACAAGACTCAAGGACCACAATGGAAATAAGACAGTCCTCGATACACTGACTTTCTTGGGTTATCCTGATTGGCTAACCCTCTTGGATAAAAATCTGAATAAATTTGATCTCTTCTTATCTTAAGCTTGAGTCACCCTGCCTCGGTGGGAGACAACCAGTATTTTAACAAAATTACTCTTAAATTTCATATTTAAAAGAGTGACTTGTTACCCTATTAATAGATTTCAACCTGTTGGCAGGTGGCCAACAATTATGTCTAATGGAAGAACACTTCAGCAGAGAAAACACTATACAGTCATCATTACAAATTCACAGCCTTTGTATTTGCTGGTTGTAATTATTAAACTTTTAAATGACGGCTAACCAACACTCATTTATTGACAAAAAAAAAAAAAAACTATTAGAGAGAGGAACAAGCTTTGTTTCCAGAGTCATTTATGCAATGTTTTTCTGGCTTGATTGCCTTCCCATGAGGTTATTTTAGGTTGTAATAATAAGAGTACTTTTTTTTTGTGCTCCTCAAATATAAGATTATACACGATGGCTGGACTGCTAGTGTCCTTTTTCTGTCTCATAAACATGCAAGATTTCAAGTACGTCTTGCTACTTCTACTTACACTTAGGTCACACTACACATGTACAAGCATATATATACACACCCCTCTGGGTTTTCTTTCTAGTTCTTATTCTTGTTTATTTCCTCTTATCTCCATGGGGAAGTGGAACAGAATTCTTCCTCCGTAAGCCATGCGTGTTGTAAGAGGCGACTAAAATGCCGGGAGCAAGGGGCTAGTAACCTGTATAAATTACTCAAGTTAAAGAGAGAAACTTTTGCTTTTCTTATTGGGTCACCCTGCCTTGGTGGGATACAGCCGGTTTGCTGAAATAAGAAGAAATATAAGATCTGATGTTACCACTCACAAGTTCCTCAATTTCATCTTCCACTCTATTCAGTGGTTTGAATTTGTTTTATACTCTGTTCCAATCTTCTCAAATTTTCCTTAGTAAAATAACTAAAATTTGACCTCACTAATGATTATATTGTTTTCTGTGGCCCATTGAAGTCATGATTTATGTCATCGTGGAGATTTTCCGTGTCCTCAATGCCTGACCTTAAATTTAGTTATTTTATGCTTTACAACTTTAAAATATCTCCATGTGGAAGTGGAAAAGAATTCTTCCTCCATAAGCCATGCGTGTTGTAGGAGGCAACTATAATGCTGGGAACAATGTGCTAGTAACACCTTCTCCTGTATAAATTACTAAATGTAAAGAGAAGATAACGGTGAGATTATGATAATTAAAGCCAAAGTTGCTGCAACAATATTGTAACTGTATCAACTTCGTGCAATTAACAGATTTTTTCATTGTAAAATGTATAAACAAAAATTGTGCTGAGTTTAGTTTAGTTATGGCTGCAATGTTTAAAAAAATAAATTAAAATAGTACACGACCACTTACGAATCTGATGGATCTGAGTCAGTGTCGGTGTCGGTGCAATTCTTCTTGTAGGACTTGTACCTGTCTATCAGGTCCATCAGGTATGCATTCTTTTTTGCCTTACGGATGAATGGAAACTTGAGCAATTCTTTGGCAGTTGGTCTCTGCAAATCAAAATGGCTAATTATTTGTTGAATAAGTAATAATAATAATAATAATAATAATGCACATATCCCTTAATTTATGCAGTAAATGTTTTTCAAAAAAAATTCTTGGAACATTAAAACAAAATAAATACCTGAAGTAAAATCTAAATAAAAATTTGTTTACTATTAAAATGAATTATTTTGCAATATTAAAACACAATAACTATCTGTAATAAAATCTTACTCAGAGAAAATTTTGGACTGATTCTGGCCAGTGTTGGTCTCAGTTTTCTGTTTTTGAACAAACTTGAAAACAGAAATACGTACTTTTTTCACGAGATAAATTATCGAGTATCGCATCTGATTAGACCTGAAGATCTTTATCAAATATCAAATAATACTTACGTTTTCAGGATCCTTATTTAAACAGGCTTCTACAAACTCCTTGAAAGGTTTGCTATAGTTGCCAGTAAGTTGTGGAGGATTATTCTTGGGTATAAGGAAGAGAACTCGCATAGGGTGAAGGTCACTGTTGGGCGGCTCTCCTTTAGCAAGTTCAATTGCAGTTATCCCAAGTGACCAGATGTCTGCCTGCATGTGCAACAAACCAGTTACATTGTCATTGCAATACACTAAGTCCTCAACTTACATGTTGAGAATTTTCTGTATTGTGTATAACATCATTATTATATCATTAATGAGTATAATATCGTAATTATATACTACAGTGGTACCTTGGGATACGAACTTATTTCGTTCCAGTAGGTTGTTCGAGTGCTGATACTGAACAAATTTGTTACCATCAGGAATAATGTAAATTAGATTAATCCGTTTCAGACCCCGAAAAATACACTTACAAAAGCAGTTACATAAATACATTTACATAACTGTTTGCGTTTTGAGGTGTTCGTATCCCAGGCTACCACTGTATTAATATACACAATTCAGGTCGTCCCCGATGTGTTTGTATTAGTATTTTCTCACAGAAATTTACTTGGAAATATAAAATAAATAATAATACATTAACGATAAGTATATCTTATCTGTTAATGGTTTCAGGTATTATGTCTTAACCCCAGGCCAGTCTCACACTAGGCTTCTTATACCTTATACCTCCGATGAATTTTGAAGTTTTTTCGCCAGGCTTATCTGGTGCTTGCCTGGTCTAACACTAAGAACTATTAGCAAACACAAAGGATAGTCAAGTGTATAGTGAATGCAAGTAGAAGTTTGTATAATTTGCTTGTCATGTTACATGTTCATGAGACAAAGACAGGATGAACAAACCTGCCAGAGTGTAACCTGTTTACCCCTTAAACTGTCCAAAGATACATCTACGTTCACATGCGTAGGGCGCCAAAAGTAGATCTATGTTTTTTATATATTTTCAATAAAAAAAAGTAGATCAAAGTTTTTTAAACGCTTTCAAATATATAAACAAAAAGATCTACTTTTTTTACATACTTTCAAATGTTGAAAAAACGTAGATCTACGTTTGGACAGTTTAAGGGTTAACAGGCTCCCATGTCCCTCTTATATGGCAGGAGGGTAGTACCTCCTCGGATGGTTGCTGTCTAACTATAATTTATTTTCCATCAATATACAGGTGCTCCTCGACCTACGATGGGGTTATGTTTCAACGAACCAATTGTAAGTCAAAAAACAAATAAATGCTAACAAATAAGTAAATAATTATTGTAACTAAATACCAGTATTGAAAAGTAAATATATGAATACAAGTTAGGGACTTGCCACCTTCATGCTGGGTAATTATCTTAAGTTTCACCTCCAAAGTAATTGCTGCCGCACCATCATAAAGTTGAAATATCCTAAGTCACGGAGCATCCGTACATCAGTGTTACAAAGATAAGTTAACAACTTGTCTATTCCTAACATGGAAAAGCTCATATTTAAGTGTAGTAATCTGGGCAAATGTAAACTAGGAATAATACAAGTACAGTGGACCCCCGCATAACGATCACCTCCGAATGCGACCAATTATGTAAGTGCGTTTGTACGTGTATGTTTGGGGGTCTGAAATGGACTAATCTACTTCACAATATTCCTTATGGGAACAAACTCGGTCAGTACTGGCACCTGAACATACTTCTGGAGTGAAAAAATATCGTTAACCGGGGGTCCACTGTACTTCGTTTTTTGACACTCCAGCTGTCTCCCACTAAGGCAGGGCGATTAAAAAAAAAAAAAAAAAAACTTTCATCATCGCTCAGTCTATCACTGTCTTGCCTTGGCATGCCGATATTACAATTCATACTTTTTTTTTCAACAAACCGGCCGTATCCCACCAAGGCAGGGTGGCCCAAAAAGAAAAACGAAAGTTTCTCTTTTTAAATTTAGTAATTTATACGGGAGAAGGGGTTACTAGCCCCTTGCTCCTGGCATTTTAGTCGCCTCTTACAACACGCATGGCTTACGGAGGAAGAATTCTGTTCCACTTCCCCATGGAGATAAGAGGAAATAAACAACAACAAGAACTAGAAAGAAAATAGAAGAAAACCCAGAGGGATGTGTATATATACATACATATATATGCTTGTACATGTATGTGTAGTGTGACCTAAGTTTAAGTAGAAGTAGCAAGACATACCTGAAATCTTGCATGTTTATGAGACAGAAAAAAAGGACACCAGCAATCCTACCATCATGTAAAACAATTACAGGCTTTCGTTTTACACTCACTTGGCAGGACTGGTAGTACCTCCCTGGGCGGTTGCTGTCTACCAACCTACTACCTAGAACAATTCATACATCTTTAAATATTACTCTAATCTGTTTAACACTGACATTCAAGCTTAACACACTAGACTAAGTGAAAATTGTATTCATATAAAACATAATACCACCTTAGAGTCATACGCAGACTGCTTGATGACCTCCGGTGCCATCCAGAAGGGAGTCCCCACGAAAGTATTTCTTTTGCTGGTTGTGTTGGTCAGCTGTCCGGCCACACCAAAATCTGCCAGCTTCACGTCTCCCATCTCGCTCAACAACACATTGGCAGCTGTAAATATAAGAATGAATTAATTATCAGGATACCATATTAAGTATATACCTTTGATGAGTTGTAAGAATTTTTGACGAGTTCTAAGAATTTTTGACGAGTTCTAATAATTTTTCTACTCCCGGAGCTCGTCCACAGGCCAGGACAATGTCTGAGGACAATTTTTTAATGCATCTGCCATTTGTTATCAAGGTAGGGTAAGCCAAGTGAAAAAAACCACATTCACCATCACTCACACTCTGGCTGTCTTTCTAAATGTGTTTTTAATTTTTAACTAAAATATGAATATAAATCATTGAAAAACACATTTATAGTTTACTACTTGAAATAAAATATGACTTGGTTAACTTTTTCAAATAAAATGCAACTGTAGCAAGAATTACAATTAAAAATGTGATAATTTACCTATTTTAGCTAAAAATAGACATGCCTGTCACCAGTTTTCAGGTTTTTCTAGCCTTGCAGCCCAGCCTGAGGACAGGCTTTACTTTTGAACGTCTATTAAATCAGCGTGGGTGTTTACAACCCACTGGAGGAGAGCCATCACAGCCTGGTTAATCTGGCACCTGGTGGAGGAGGTGATCCACCATCCTCCTGCAAACTTCTAACTTTGTACTGCAAATATTTTTTGTATCTCTTGGTAGAGGGTTGAAGAGTCTGCATAATACACCTACCATCCGACTTACGACCTGCTTGACTTATGACCACTCGACTTACGACCGTGTGTTTTATGCCAAATTTCTGGGAAATAAACAAGTATTTGTGTTGTACACAGTGTTTATCCTAAACCTTACAGTATAAAATACAGTACTAACAACATAAAAAGTAAAGTAAAACATGAAATACCAAAATAAAACAATAAAATAAAGTCATTACAAAAATGTTTTGTTGATATTCAGTAGTAAAGTTCGACTTACGACCATTTCGACTTACGACCGGTTTCTTGGAACCGAACTCGGTCGTAAGTCGGATAGTAGGTGTATATGTTATACTGTTACCTGTTATACTGTTACTTTGATGAGTTCCGAGAAAGTTTTCTACTCTCAGAGCCCGGCCATGGGCTAAACTCATCTGGTGCTACCTGATCAATTTGGCTGTTGCTAATGGTGGCCCACTGCAAGTTTTGTTTTCAACAAACTAGCTGTCTCCCACCGAGGTAGAATGACCCAAAAAAGAAGAAACACTTTCACCATCATTCACTCCATCACTGTCTTGCCAATGGGGCACCAATACTACAGTTCAGAACTTCAAGTACGTATCTCCTCCACTCCTCCAAAACTCTAGTCTGGCATAAGGGTTTCCTTGAATCCCTTCATAAATGCCACCTTGATCACACTCCAACAGCATGTCAAATCCCTAAAACCACTTCAGTCTCTGAGTGGTTGGGAAATGGAATGATCTTAGTGAGGACATAGTCGAGGCAACATCCATACACTGTTTTAAGAGCAGGTACAGTAGTACCCATGAGGCTAAAAGGGAGTGAATCTGGAGAGTGGCAAGAGGCAGGGCCAGGAGCTGAGAATGAACCCCTGCAATGACAAATAGGTAAGTACATGCCTGTGTGTATACCCTATTTCCTTTATGCTTTCTTTTCTTTACCTACTGATTTGACTACCACCTTATTATCCTGAAGAGGAAAACCTGATTTGGCTCATTAACTTGAGGATTAATAATCCAAAATGTTGTGTAACGTGACTTATTTCCTTTGTGGTCCTTAGGTCCTGCCCCAGGATGCCACCCACAAAAGCCACAAATTACTGCTAGGTGAACAGTGGCAGTAGGTGGTAGTAGGCTTCCTCTTCCTCTCCCAGGATGCCACCCACAACAATGTACTTACTCTTAACCCTTAAACGGTCCAAGCAGATCTACGTTCACATGCGTAGTGCTACAAAAGTAGATATACGTTTTTTTTTTTACATACAGGGACCCCGTTAACGATATTTTTTCATCCAAAGTATGTTCAGTGCACTGTCTTTGACCGCAGATGCACCCAAAAGCAAATTGTGGTGAAGTGAGTATTAGAGTCCTTTCTCAGACCCCCAAACAATACTTACTCAAACAAACTTCCCATAAATACCTTACGTTAATGGTCGCATTACGAGTAATACGTTATGGGTTTCCACTTATTTTCAAATCTAACAAAAAAAAAAAAAAAGTTGATCAAGTTTTTTTACACATTTTCAAATGTAAAAAAAAAAAAAGATCTACTTTTTTTACATACTTTCAAACGTTGAAAAAACGTATATCTACGTTTGGACAGTTTAAGGGTTATAGTAGCTATTTGCTAAGTGAATAGAGGTAGCAGGTGAGAATAAACTTGCCCACTTACTCCCAAAATGCCATATCTAGGTACCTATTTACTGCTAGGTTAACAGAGGCAGGAGAAATCAACACACCTGAACCCTCCTCCTCTAAGATGCCACCCACAGTCAGCTAGGTGCTAGGAATCTATGCATTTACTGCTAGGTGAACAAGAGGCAACAGTTTCAAGGAGACCTGCCCATCCTTTCCCAGGATTCCAACAATAAGGTCTGGTCACAGACCGGGCCACAGGAGCATTGACCCCTGAAACCCTCACCAGGTATACTCCAGGTAACAACAAGAGTCCACTAGCCTCCATGTCACACTGTTTACCAGTGTCCCTTAAGAGGCAGGAATCTATGCTTTTAAGTCTTAACTCAAAGTACATTTCTTTTCAAAAGCTCATACTATCACTCTTGAATATAAACTACAGTATTCTTTTTCATCTCGCACATCTCTGATGTGAGAGTCTTTGTGAATTTTTTCAAAAGAACAGGTGATCAAGAAATATAAAATCCCAAATAATTATTATTATTATTGGAATAAAAAAGCAAAATAGTGTGACTGCAACAATACACAAATAACCTGAAGATTTTGGTCTGACCTGAACCATTAACTAGTCACACACTAACACACGAAGGTAAGGGAGCCAGTATATATGTGAGGAGGGGTTATTTGCATATTACTATCATCATCATCATCATCAAATAGGTATGGTTTGTTTGCAATCATGTCATTACGATTTCCTGAGTCACCATCAAATAGTTTCTGTAAAGAATCACATGCCTGCTGACCTTTAATATCACGGTGAAGTTTCCTCTCTGAGTGAAGATAATCAAGACCTTTAATGACTTCACGCAGGATAACAGCGATGTGCATTTCTTCAAAACTTCCGGCCTTCATTAAATCCAGTGCCGATCCGCCTCCGAGATATTCCATTATAATCCATAATTTGGTACCTGTAAATGTCAATACATTTTTATCAAACTCAGGGCCTTGTTTTTTATTAAAATAAAAAAAAAAATTTGTGGTGAAGGAACTCATCAGCAAATGTCCCATAAGTACTCTGAAAATGCCAGCTATAGAGAAGACTGTGTATTTACATACACTGTGGAGGTAAGTTTGCTCTACCTCACTGTGATCAAAGTGGTGTACAAAGCGATGTACAGGGTGAAGGTATGCAAGCTGGAGGTGTACAGAATGAAGGTGTGCAAGCTGGAGGTGTACAGAATGAAGGTGTACAAGCTGGAGGTGTACAGGGTGAAGGTGTACAAGGTGTACAAAGTGTTGTACACACCTGAGGTGTACAGAGGATCATTAAAGCTGAAGGATATTTAGCATTCTTGTATTTCAGTATATACTTCTTATGCTATATTTTTGCAGCCTAGCCCCGGGCCAGGCTGGTCTGGTGCTTGTCTGGTCACCCAGACTGTCACCTTCCTGCTTCAGGTAAAGTACTGTCAGTAAGTACCTGACGACAATTTACTTTCCCACCTTATACTATAGAAATTCAGTTCTCAGCTAGCCTTCGCAGAGAGCTACATGCTGACATGAAGCGATGAAGAGTATAAGGACCCCAATAGCAATAAGTCAAGGACCCCAGTGGAAACAAATCACTTTGACTTTATTGGGGTTATCCTAGATAATTAACACTAAGTGTGATATCTGTAATTATGTGTACCTGTGCATAAATAAATTTCCTAAACACTTGTTGGGTAGGTAAAAGCCCACATGGAAACTATTTTTTTTAAAGCTGATTTGTATATTGTGGCCACTAATTCGGGTCCTCTGATCAGATTTATTGAAGAGGCCTATATTTTTTATTTTAGGTTGATCTGCATACAGGTGGTCCTCGACTTACGATGGGGTTACGTTCCTATGAACCCAGTGAAGGATGAAAATATTCTATAGGTTATATCCTATATGCTATAAATAAGTAATTAAATAACTACTGTCACTGATTAAGGAAACGGACAAATACAGTGGACCCCCGGTTAACGAACTTTTTTCATTCCAGTAGTATGTTCAGGTGCCAGTACTGACCGAATTTTTTCCCATAAGGAATATTGTGAAGTAGATTAGTCCATTTCAGTCCCCCAAACATACACATACAAACGCACTTACATAAATACACTTACATAATTGGTCGCATTTGGAGGTGATCGTTAAGCGGGGGTCCACTGTAATTACTGTAACTAACTAAATACCAGTATTGATAAGTAATAAATGAATACAAGTTATGGACTTGCTGCCTTCATGCTGGGTAATAATCTTAAGTTTCACCTCCAGAGTATTTGTTTTTGCACCATCGTAAAGTTGAAATATGGTAAGTCGAACCATTGTAAGTCAAGTAAGATAAGATAAGATAAGATAAGATTTCGTTCGGATTTTTAATCCCCGGAGGGTTAGCCACCCAGGATAACCCAAGAAAGTCAGTGCGTCATCGAGGACTGTCTAACTTATTTCCATTGGGGTCCTTAATCTTGTCCCCCAGGATGCGACCCACACCAGTCGACTAACACCCAGGTACCTAATTGCTGCTAGGTGAACAGGACAACAGGCGTAAGGAAACGTGTCGAAATGTTTCCACCCGCCGGGAATCGAACCCGGGCCCTCCGTGTGTGAAGCGGGAGCTTTAGCCACCAGGCCACCGGGCCACCATAGCACCTGTATTTTTACCACTAATTCAGATCCTCTGACCAGATTTGTTTAAGTGGTTTGTTTTAACATATCTATAGTCAAAAGATATTGCCTTATTAGTCTTAATTTGACCCATAATGCTCTGCATATAATGGGCTTCCTGTATGCACACATAAATGTCACCCATCATTGTACAAACATTGTATCATGATGAAATAAAGAATCTGAATCAAAGTGAGTACGATAAACCTCAATCTAATGGACTAATAGGGACCAGTGGCTGGTAATGGCAGCTGTGATAGATGGAAATGAGATTGTTTTGCTAAGATCATATTATTATAATTAAAATTAAGTGCCAAACTCAGAAGGGTCATATAGCGATGCTGCTAAAATCATAACAGACAATTATGTAGCAACTGAACCTTGTCTAGTTTAATTCAAGCCACCCAGTGGATTTTGTCTCGCATTTACAAAAACTGTTAGATTGAGGTTGGTTAAAACAAGGGTTTAAAGCAGACACTGCCTGTGATATCTACTAACGTACACTGCCAGTAGTGTGTACTAACTAACCTTTAAGATAAGATCCATAATACTTGGTAACATAAGGGGAGTCACACTGAGAGAGAACCATGATCTCCTGCTGTATATCCTCTATCTCATCCTCAGCTTCCTCCAGGTCAATGATCTTTATAGCGACAACCTGTGTCGTCCGCTTGTCCACTCCCTTGAATACTTCGCCGAAGGAACCCTTGCCGATTCTTTCTTGTTTAGTGAAAATGAGCTCCGGATCTACCTTCTGTGGACGAAAATTGAATGTTGTATTAGAGTACATCAACACTTATATTCAGATGAAAACAAATATGTACTTGAGGAAAATGAAGAGGAAAAAGAAGAGGGGGAGAGGAATGGTAGAAGTTGTAGGAGAGGGGAGAAGAATGGAAGAAGTTGTAGGAGAGGGGAGAAGAAGAATGGAAGAAGTTGTAGGAGAGGGGAGAAGAAGAATGGTAGAAGTTGTAGAAAAGGGAAGAAGAATGTTCTACAATTTACAAAGGTCATTCAGCATTTATATAATGAAAACTAACATTTAATCACCGAAATACTGTACATGGTGCAGCACCGCCCACACTCCTACCTAGAGAATGTGGTGGTGGAGGCTGGATGGATCTCATACCAAAACAGAACAAAATGTCACAATACCATGACTGGAACAATACACAAATAACCAGCGCACAGGAGAGAGAGAAAAGCCTATGACGACACTGTGGTCTGACTTGGACCATTTACAAGTCACACTGTGTAACTTGTAAATGGCCTCTCTCCTATGTGCTGGTTATTTGTGTATCTCATACCATCATAGCTGTGATAAGGTGTTAGATGACTGGTGTGCTGAAAAGAAAATTGCAACAACATGATGAATAAAATATATGTGTAACACCTGTGACACTATTTCCAATACAAGAATATCAGTGTTGCACACATGTCTTCTTCAGCCAGATACACAATAGTAGAAACTAACAAAAGGTAATTCAGATGCTTTAAACAGGGGAAACATTAAACATTTCACCCACTGTGGGTGAAACGTACAGGTTTAGGTTAGGTAAGGTTTGTCAGGAAACAGGACAAGTGTTTCCTGATGCTGGTCTTAGTTATATAAAGACCCATAGCTAGAGCTATGGGTCAGCTATGGGTCATCGGTCATCTGACCGAGACCTTCGACTGGCTTACTACTCCACCACTTTAAAAATTATGGTTATGATTATAACTTATTACACTAAGAAAATATATATAGGTTTCCATAATTAATATAGCTACAAGTTATGAAAGAAGTGAGAAGCAGTTACGTCAGTAAATACTATGCCACACAGGTCAAGTGTCGAGGCCAAACACCAACTTACTTCTAGAGTGCACTTCCTGTCTCTTCTGGTACTACCAACACGTAGGTAAGTACACATGAACTAACACCACATGGAAGGTTAGAACTCATGGCAAGCCAGTAATAAAACCAGCAGGCCTGTGTGCTAACCCCTAAACCATGCCTCCTTAATAACACTCATCCAACAATGTGTATATACAATCAAGTCACTAACAGTTACTGCCATTATAGCATTAAGTTAAGCTTAACCTTGCCTAAAATACTCTGCATAACAATGGGCTTTCTGCATGTACACCTAAATGTCACCCATCACTATATTTCATACCAAAATAAAAATTATTATTATTATTTTCAACAAACCGGCCTTATCCCACCGAGGCAGGGTGAAAGTTTTTCTTTATAAATTTAGTCATTTCTACAGAAGGGGTTACTAGCCCCTTGCTCCTGGCATTTTAATCGCCTCTTATGATACGCATGGCTTATGGTGGAAGAATTCTTTTCCACTTCCCCATGGAGTATTAGTATCATTATTATTATTATTATGATTATGATATATCAAGCCATTCAAGTACACATGGTAGTGCATCTCTCTCTCATGTGGACAAATGATGCACCCTTTGATGCTCCTGAATAACCCATACGAGTTTAATGCTTCCCATACATTTTACAGTCGAAGACGGTATGTTTCTTTTTTGACAAACTGTGGAAGATGATACTTGCATACATTTCAGGATGTTTATTTGATATCCTGAAGTGTATATAAGTGTCCCTGGTCTAGATTTTATATAGATAATTTAGAACTACTTCCAACCCCACCAAACCTCACATAAACCATGGAACTGATGGGGTTTGAACCCATGGCAAATAAGTCGTAAAACTCACATCTGCCTCAACCTCACAAAAGCTAACACAACCCACAGTACATACTAAAATTACACACACCAGCCCAACCTCATAGAAACACAACCCCAGTACATTATACATACTATTATATACACCAGCCCAACCTCAAAGAAACAACCTACAGTACATTATACATATTATAATGAGTAAATATGTCATAATCATAATTTAACTGCACTATTACAATCGGTTCCATTATGACACATCTATATAGTGGGATAAACTGTAAATATGACTGAAAGTGTACATCCAGAACCGAACACAGAATGGAAAGGTCGGTATAGTAGCAGATGTTCAGTACTGGATGACCTTGTTTCAAACACCTTCATAAACAACTGTATGATACAAAAGTTTTATAAACAACTGTATGATGTTAAAGTTTTATACAACATTTGACAACATATAATTAACCAATACATTTAGTTATTTGTAAATAAACTCGCCCACTGGATTATTTCTCGGATTTTTCAGTTATAGAATGATGGTCAGATGACAGAATAAATGAGGATTAGGAGAATTAAAAAAACACGTAAGAAAGAGAAAATAAGAGAACGAAAGAGGGTTGGGGGAAAGAGAAGAGACTTGAGAGAATGAAAGAAGAGAGAGGAAGGAAGGATATAGGATAGGCAGTGTTGGCTTACACACATCCTTACCCAGGGGATGAACACAGGACACACCTCTCTGGCTTCTCTCTTTCAGTCTTGTAGCCTATGTGTTACCCACGTCAGGTGCTGTTTTAAGTACTACCCACATCAAGTGCTACTCATGTCAGGTGTTATATTAGGTAGTACCTACTTCAAGTGTTGCCCACGTCAGGTTTTGTTTTAGGTGCTACCCACATCAGGTGTTATATTAGGTAGTACCTACGTCAAGTGTTGCCCACGTCAGGTTTTGTTTTAGGTACTACCCACATCAGGTGTTATATTAGGTAGTACCTACGTCAAGTGTTGCTGATGTCAGGTTTTGTTTTAGGTACTACCCATGTCAGGTGTTATATTAGGTGGTACCTACGTCAGGTGGTGCCCACGTCAGGTGCTATATTAAGTGGTACACACATTTCAGTCCTGGAACCTTGACCACTTCTAATACACAGAGGTTAAAAAGACAGTATATACAGGGAAAGAGTGAGGTGTGTGATACATGGTGACCTGACAATACACACAAGTATGCACAACGACCACTGTGAAAAATAGTGAACTTCCATGTGCTTTCGTGATCTCACATTATCAAGGAACTGTGATAATGTCAGAACTCACTAAAACATTTAGAAGTTCACTATTGCCTTACAGTGGTTGTTCTGTATATTGTGATAACACCTGCTTACTGTGTTCTTATTGCACAAGTTCTGTATACACATATTTCATAATTTATATACATACAAAGATATACACCCCTCTCTCTCTCTCTCTCTCTCTCTCTCTCTCATGATTATCCACCTGGCCATTGTGTGTGTTATATAGTGAGAAATAATGAGGAATCTCTGTTTGTTCCAAGGCTTGTCTCACAATTACTTAATTACTAGTGTTAGGTCAACCAACAAGGATCAAACAAAGCCTGGGAAATAGAAGGTAATTATGCTTGATTCTAGGAAGGCCGGTTCCAAGTCCTCGGATGAAGAGCCCTTCACCGACCTTGGAGGACATAATATCTCTTAGTTTTAAAACTATATTTTACTAGCATCCTGCCTGGCCAGATGTGTGTATGTTACACACACACACACACACACACACACACACACACACACACACACACACACACACACACACACACACACACACACACATGGAGAGATTGGACACAGTAACAAGGGGACACAGTTGGAAGCTGAAGACACAGATGAATCACAGGGATGTTAGGAAGTATTTCTTCAGCCACAGAGTAGTCAGTAAGTGGAATAGTTTGGGAAGTGATGTAGTGGAGGCAGGATCCATACATAGCTTTAAGCAGAGGTATGATAAAGCTCACGGCTCAGGGAGAGTGACCTAGTAGCGATCAGTGAAGAGGCGGGGCCAGGAGCTCGGACTCGACCCCCGCAACCTCAACTAGGTGAGTACAAGTAGGTGAGTACATGGGGCCAGGAGCTGTGAATCGACCCCTGCAACCACAAATAGGTGAGTACAGGCAGGATCCATACATAGCTTTAAGAAGAGATATGATAAAGTTCTTAAAGGAGGGAATGGACCTACTAGCGATCAGTGAAGAGGCGGGGCCAGGAGCTGTGAAATGACCCTGGCAACCACAAATAGGTGTACACACACACACACACACACACACACACACACACGAGCTAGGACTCGACCCATGCAACCACAAATAGGTGAGTACGTCATAAGCAATTTGTACACAGGGAAAGGGGGGGGGGAGAGCAGAATTACTCAACACATTGCAGGTTGTACATGGTTGTGACTACTGGACCAGCAAGTAACAGTACATCAATGTCTTGTACATGTATGGTATACAATACTGACAAAATGAAGTATGACACACATGTACAACATCTGAGTATCTTTATTGTAGACGTTTCGCCCTCCAGTGACTGTATACAAGGACATAATGTGAAGACAGTAGAACTATATACAAAAGATGAGGTAATCAGTCCCTCAGTCTTGAAGTTGAAGATCACCGGAGTCATGAACAATGTACACATTCTTGGAGCACTGTAGTCATGAACAATCTCCACATTCTTGGAGCACTGTAGTCATGAACAATCTCCACATTCTTGGAGCACTGTAGTCATGAACCATCTCACATTCTTGGAGCACTGTAGTCATAAACAATCTCCACATTCTTGGAGCACTGTAGTCATGAACAATCTCCACATTCTTGGAGCACTGTAGTCATGAACAATCTCCACATTCTTGGAGCACTGTAGTCATGAACAATCTCCACATTCTTGGAGCACTGTAGTCATGAACAATCTACACATTCTTGGAGCACTGTAGTCATGAACAATCTCCACATTCTTGGAGCACTGTAGTCATGAACAATCTACACATTCTTGGAGCACTGTAGTCATGAAC